CACATCTTCATACTTTCCACAGAAGTGAAAAAAAAAACACTGCAGAAAGAGGTATTCTTTATTAATACTAAGATACTGAAAGAAAAGAGAGAGAGAGAGAGAGAGAGAGAGAGAGAGAGAGAGAGAGAGAGAGAGAGAGAGAGAGAGAGAGAGGGAGAGGAGTGGTTGGGCTAGGTATGCATTTAAAAAGAAAATCAAAACATATATGCATATGGAAAAATAATTACCTTATCACTGATGTTTTCACACACAATTTAAATTAGTCTGCAAGGAGGAGTAAAATGTTAATAGATACTTGAATAATTAAAAGGCCTTCATAATCACAACCAAACTGATTAAAACAGTACAAATTACAACTTAATTCTCCCCAAATTCTAATAACCTTCTCCATTTCCTCCATTCATTTTCTAAAATCTGCCGTGCATGGTCACCTTGACTATTTGCAATATATTTTTGACAAATGTAATGCTCTTTAATTGAATTTATCAGAGCATTTGGATTTAGAATTTTATGTAGACATCTTGTCTTATATATATAAGACTTAATCATGATTAAAATTTCATTATCCACCCTATTTCTTAAAACATTCTCATGACTCGAGGTAACTCCAAAAAGAAAACTTTTCTTATTAAATGAAAATGGTATCAAAAGTGCATCAAAGAGTGTTTCAACAATAAACAGAAATCTCTGAGTTTCTCGACATTCCCACATAATGTGAATAATTGTTTCTCTCTCCAAGTTACAGAGAGGACAAATAGGATTATTTGATAACCCAATTTTAAACAAGTATACATTTGTTGTTAGAATATGCTGCACTATTCTATACTGAAACCACTGTAACTTTGTATTTTTTGTAGCTCTAAAGGGAGTTTTATAAATATCAGTCCAGTTCAAATCAATATCTTCAAATATTTCTTCCCACTTCTTCCTACCTGTAGAAACATGACTGTGTTTTACCATTAGGTTATATAAATCCTTGGTCCCCATAACTTTTTTCAAGAAAAAAAATATGTTACTTGGGATAATTGGGTAGCAAATTAATTGCTTTTTGTAACCTACCTTTCATAGAAATAATTTAATAGCAGAGATCACACCATTATATTGAAGAAAGTTTGTTTTAACTTGATAAATTTCTGTAAATTCTTGAAATGTGTAAAAAGAGAAAGTGTTTATATCTTTTACTAAATCATGAATTATTGTTACTCCCTTCTGATACCAAGCCTTGTAAAAAATAGTACTTTTCGCAATAGTTAAATTCCTGTTATACCATAATGGTGATGTTAAAACTGAGTTTTCCATATTTTCCTTTACTGCATCTGAATCATTAAATCTAACCCAAGCTTTGTACACATCCTTCCAAAACATATTTTTGCATTTATTTTGACAATCCTGAATATAGGCATTACCAAATGTAGATATCTTATGCAAGTCTGTAAATGTTTCAAAAATATGTTGCCACTTAGATGTTTTCTGATATAACCTTCTTATCCATCCTAATTTTAAAGAATCTATAAATGACCTAACATTAACCATTTTAAGACCACCATCATAATAATTCTGGGTGATGATATCTCTCTTAATTTTATCCACCTTACTATTCCACAAAAAGTTAAATAAGACTGAGTTGAGATTTTTCAAAAACTGCTCATCAGGATCAGGTAAAGCTATAAATAAATGATTGAACTGTGAAAGAAGAAGAGATTTTATTAAGACTATTCTACCAATAGGTGTAAGTGTTCTTCTACTCCAAGATTAAATGAGTGTTTTCAATTTAATTAATTTTTTATCAAAATTTAATCTGGGGATCTCATGTAAGTTCACACTAAAGTCTATTCCTAGCATATTAAATTTCATCCTTCCCCATTGCAAGCCTAATTCAGGTAAAAAAGTATCGTCACTGTAACTTTTGCTACCTATCCAAATTACCTGGGTTTTATCGACATTAAGATTTAAACCAGATATCTTTGCAAAGTATTTCAATTCAACAATAGATTCTTTTAAAGACATTTTCGAACCATCTAATATAAGTGAGGTGTCATTTGTGTATTGAGAAAGGAGAATGGGACAGTTATTCACATTGATACCTATAATCTTACTATTATTTCTAAGTCTGATGCCTAATACTTCAACACATAGTATGAAAAGGTATGGAGCTATTGGGTCACCTTCACGACAGCCTCTTTTAATATTTAAAAAAGAAGATAGATTGCCCCCCTGATTTACTGCCGCAGTAACATTAGTGTGAAACAATCTGACCCAGTTTCGAATATCATGACCAAAATTGAAATAATTTAAAACTATGTCAACAAATTTCCATGAAACTGAATCAAAAGCTTTCTCAAAATCCAACATTAATAGCATTCCTGGAATATATCTTTCTTCTGCATATTGCATAATGTTGTACACTAATCTAGTATTTACTCCAATATAGCGACCTGAAAGAAAACCTGTCTGATCCTCACAAATTAACTTATCTAAAACTGTTCTGATTCTACCTGCTATACATCCTGAAGCTATTTTGTAAACAATATTGAGTAATGTTATGGGTCGCCAATTTTTCAAGAACTGTCTGGGCTTATCTCCCTTGGGAATACAAGTAATAAGACCTTGTCTCTGTGTTACAGAAAGCAAACCTTTACCATATCCAAAATTAATTGATCTAACAATAAAAACTCCTAGCTGCTTCCAAAAGCATTTGAAAAATTCAACTGTAAAACCATCTGTACCTGGACTTTTGTTATTTTTCATGTTTTTCAAAGTTTTTGCTGCTGCTTCTACAGTAATAACCCTTCTAAATTTTTAGCTTCATCATTATCTAATTTTGGAACATCAAATACATCTAAAAATTCTGTAAAATCAACATCTTCTATTTCACTACTGTCATCATACAATTTTTCATAAAAAGAACGTACCTCCTCAAGAATATCCTCCTACTGTGTTATTATGACATTAGTTTCTTTCTCTATCTTTGGTACTATTTTAGAGATAAAATTTCTATTTTCTAAATTAAAAAAATATTTAGTCGGCTTTTCACCTTCTTCTTGCCATCTTGCCCTAGATCTTACAATACTACCTCTAATCTTCTTAAGTCTAATATTTTCTAATTCTTTCTTCTTATTTTCTAATTCTTCAGTATCTACTTGCTCTTGTTCCTCCAACCTCTGTATCTCTTTATTAATAATATATTCACTTTTATTTTGCTGTTTTTTCCTAAATGATGAATAAGAAATGCTCTTGCCCCTAATTTCCATTAACAATGTTTCAAGAAAAAGTTGATCATCAATTAAAAATTCAATTTGAGTATCTGGAATGTTAATTATATTGTTTCTGTTGTAAACAGGAAGACAATACTGGGTTTTTGTCTGTAAAATAACACTTTTAACCAAGTTAAGATATGCTTTATATATTCCCTCCGCAGTTAGTCGTTACCTTGATATATTCCCTCCGCAGTTAGTCGTTACCTTGATATATTCCCTCCGCAGTTAGTCGTTATCTTGATATATTCCCTCCGCAGTTAGTCGTTACCTTGATATATTCCCTCCGCAGTTAGTCGTTACCTTGATATATTCCCTCCGCAGTTAGTCGTTACCTTGATATATTCCCTGCGCAGTTAGTCGTTATCTTGATATATTCCCTCCGCAGTTAGTCGTTACCTTGATATATTCCCTCCGCAGTTAGTCTTTATCTTGATATATTCCCTCCGCAGTTAGTCTTTATCTTGATATATTCCCTCCGCAGTTAGTCTTTATCTTGATATATTCCCTCCGCAGTTAGTCTTTATCTTGTTATCTTGATATATTCCCTCCATAGTTAGTCGTTACCTTGATATATTCCGTCCGCAGTTAGTCCTTACCTTGATATATTCCCTCCGCAGTTAGTCGTTACCTTGATATATTCCCTGCGCAGTTAGTCGTTACCTTGATATATTCCCTCCGCAGTTAGTCGTTATCTTGATATATTCCCTCCGCAGTTAGTCGTTACCTTGATATATTCCCTCCGCAGTTAGTCTTTATCTTGATATATTCCCTCCGCAGTTAGTCTTTATCTTGATATATTCCCTCCGCAGTTAGTCGTTACCTTGATATATTCCCTCCGCAGTTAGTCTTTATCTTGATATATTCCCTCCGCAGTTAGTCGTTATCTTGATATATTCCCTCCGCAGTTAGTCTTTATCTTGATATATTCCCTCCGCAGTTAGTCGTTACCTTGATATATTCCCTCCGCAGTTAGTCTTTATCTTGATATATTCCCTCCGCAGTTAGTCTTTATCTTGATATATTCCCTCCGCAGTTAGTCTTTATCTTGATATATTCCCTCCGCAGTTAGTCTTTATCTTGATATATTCCCTCCGCAGTTAGTCGTTATCTTGATATATTCCCTCCGCAGTTAGTCGTTATCTTGATATATTCCCTCCGCAGTTAGTCGTTATCTTGATATATTCCCTCCGCAGTTAGTCTTTATCTTGATATATTCCCTCCGCAGTTAGTCGTTATCTTGATATATTCCCTCCGCAGTTAGTCGTTATCTTTATATATTCCCTCCATCGTTAATTTACTTAATCTTCCTACATTTCCTCTCCAGTTTATTTTAACCGTTCCCTCGGCTCCTTTAATGTGTTTCGTGTTGTTTAGATACTACATACTCTCCCCGTTCCTGTCTTTCGTTTTGTGTTTTATGTGACTATCTGTGTTGCATTTAATTTCAACTGCTTTATTATACCAGTTATAACTGATTTCTTTAGACCATCTGTGTACTACGACATTCCAAATAACTTTGTGCATTCAATTGCAACAATTAACGCAAATATGTGAATATAATACAGACCGTGTGTAGTTCACTACCCAGACATGTAGTATTGAAATACAATAGTTTATAAAGGCAAATCAATCGACGGTACCAGGAAGTCTCTTCACTTAACACTACATGCCCACCATTTTACTCGCTGTCGGACACGGGGTTTACTGATTATATAAGTTGTTGTATGGAAGAGTTGGCTGGCAATGGCGACGAGTTCCCTTAAGTCGGTGTCCGGGCCGGAGAGATACCGAGTGTCATGTGTGGACGACATCCTTAAAATCCCTGATATGAGAACAGCACGGGATCTCATGAAGGACTGGAATATTGACACTCGTGGGGTCAAAAACAGAGATGAGGCACTCCGACGACTTACTCAATTCTGGAAGACTACTCCAGAAAATGTCCAGAAACAGGTCGGAATTTTTTACAATTCGTTATACGATTATTAAGCACATAAAGTAAGAAACACCACGTCGAAGAAACAGAAGACTGAAGCTATTTAAACATCATTACAGGGTATAGTGGGAGTGTCATAATGTTGGTAATTTCTTACACAGATATCCGTGTATATCTGTTCGGTTGTTTTTTATCCAATGTTCTCTGTATACCGTGTGGCTGTGTCCTATGTTCTACGTATAACGTGTGCCTGTTTCCTATGTTCTCTGTATAACGTCTGGCTGTGTCATATGTTCTCTGTATACCGTGTGGCTGTGTCCTACGTTCTCTGTATACCGTGTGGCTGTGTCCTATGTTCTCTGTATACCGTGTGGCTGTGTCCTATGTTCTACGTATAACGTGTGCCTGTTTCCTATGTTCTCTGTATAACGTCTGGCTGTGTCATATGTTCTCTGTATACCGTGTGGCTGTGTCCTACGTTCTCTGTATACCGTGTGGCTGTGTCCTATGTTCTCTGTATACCGTGTGGCTGTGTCCTATGTTCTACGTATAACGTGTAGCTGTGTCCTATGTTCTTCGTATAACGTGTGGCTGTGTCCTACGTTCTCTGTATACCGTGTGGCTGTGTCCTATGTTCTCCGTATAACGTGTGGCTGTGTCCTATGTTCTCCGTATAACGTGTGGCTGTGTCCTGTGTTTTCAGTATAACGTGTGGCTGTGTCCTACGTTCTCTGTATACCGTGTGGCTGTGTCCTATGTTCTCCGTATAACGTGTGGCTGTGTCCTACGTTCTTCGTATAACGTCTGGCTGTGTCCTGTGTTTTCAGTATAACGTGTGGCTGTGTCCTACGTTCTCTGTATACCGTGTGGCTGTGTCCTATGTTCTCCGTATAACGTGTGGCTGTGTCCTACGTTCTTCGTATAACGTGTGGCTGTGTCCTGTGTTTTCAGTATAACGTGTGGCTGTGTCCCACGTTCTCTGTATACCGTGTGGCTGTGTCCTATGTTCTCCGTATAACGTGTGGCTGTGTCCTGTGGTTTCAGTATAACGTGTGGCTGTGTCCTATGTTCTCCGTATAACGTGTAGCTGTGTCCTATGTTCTCCGTATAACGTGTGGCTATGTCCTATGTTCTCTGTATAACGTGTAGCTGTGTCCTATGTTCTCTGTATAACGTGTGACTGTGTCATATGTTTTCAGTATAACGTGTGGCTGTGTCTTATGTTCTTCGTATAACGTCTGGCTGTGTCCTGTGTTTTCAGTATAACGTGTGGCTGTGTCCTGTGTTTTCAGTATAACGTGTGGCTGTGTCCTATGTTCTACGTATAACGTGTGGCTGTGTCCTATGTTCTCTGTATAACGTGTGGCTGTGTCCTATGTTCTCCGTATAACGTCTGACTGTGTCCTATGTTCTCTGTATAACGTGTGCCTGTGTCCTATGTTTTCAGTATAACGTGTGGCTGTGTCCTATGTTCTGCGTATAACGTGTGGCTGTGTCCTATGTTCTCCGTATAACGTGTGGCTGTGTCCTATGTTCTGCGTATAACGTGTGACTGTGTCCTATGTTCTCTGTATAAAGTGTAGTGGTATTAAATTTCGTTTTTGTACATAAATCAGTGATCCGTATAATTCCACTGTATTAGACAATACTTATGTGAATCAAATGAATGACTGATGTTCAAATCCCGATACATTTTCCCATTCCTTCAGGAATATTCGTAACATGACTTGTTACGACGTTTAACTATACCATTCCTTAAGGAATATTCGTAACATCACTAGTTACGACGTTTAACTATACCATTCCTTCAGGAATATTCGTAACATCACTTGTTACGACGTTTAACTATACACTTGTTACGACGTTTAACTATACCATTCCTTCAGGAATATTCGTAACATCACTTGTTACGACGTTTAACTATACCATTCCTTCAGGAATATTCGTAACATCACTAGTTACGACGTTTAACTATACCATTCCTTCAGGAATATTCGTAACATCACTTGTTACGACGTTTAACTATACCATTCCTTCAGGAATATTCGTAACATCACTAGTTACGACGTTTAACTATACCATTCATTCAGGAATATTCGTAACATCACTAGTTACGACGTTTAACTATACCATTCCTTCAGGAATATTCGTAACAGCACTTGTTACGACGTTTAACTATACCATTCCTTCAGGAATATTCGTAACATCACTTGTTACGACGTTTAACTATACCATTCCTTCAGGAATATTCGTAACATCACTTGTTACGACGTTTAACTATACCATTCCTTCAGGAATATTCGTAACATCACTAGTTACGACGTTATACCATTCATTCAGGAATATTCGTAACATCACTAGTTACGACGTTTAACTATACCATTCCTTCAGGAATATTCGTAACAGCACTTGTTACGACGTTTAACTATACCATTCCTTCAGGAATATTCGTAACATCACTTGTTACGACGTTTAACTATACCATTCCTTCAGGAATATTCGTAACATCACTTGTTACGACGTTTAACTATACCATTCCTTCAGGAATATTCGTAACATCACTAGTTACGACGTTTAACTATACCATTCCTTCAGGAATATTCGTAACATCACTTGTTACGACGTTTAACTATACCATTCCTTCAGGAATATTCGTAACATCACTAGTTACGACGTTTAACTATACCATTCCTTCAGGAATATTCGTAACATCACTAGTTACGACGTTTAACTATACCATTCCTTCAGGAATATTCGTAACAGCACTTGTTACGACGTTTAACTATACCATTCCTTCAGGAATATTCGTAACATCACTGATTACGACGTTTTACTATACCATTGAAACATTTCTTCTTTTTATGACTTTTCACCCTCACAATTTTGAGATCAGTGTTTTTTGTTACATGATGTATGATCGTATTTGTCTGATCGTTTTATCGTATGTTTGGAGTATCCAGGTCTTAGGGTATCACGCTGAACCCACTTTCCAGTTCACAAAGGTCAGATGTGTTGGAATCTTAAACTCTATTTTATCATTGACCAAGAGGCAAAACGTAATGGCATTTGACCTTTAGCAGGCTGATATGTAAAGTAATCATGTCTGTTCAAATGAATGACCTCGACCCCTTTTCAGGTCACAGGTGTCAAATGTGCATTTTTATATATATATATTTTTATTTTTGTATTATTATCAGTACTTTATGTATGTTAAACAAAACCCTAAACTCAGTACTCCTTGTGTGAACTTGTATATTGTCTTTTTGTGTCACTAATTGTGTTGTCCTTCCAGCAGTAGATCGTGTTTTTATAACTTTATATATATATATATTTCTTTGGCATCATTAGTTGTGTTGTGATATTTATAGAAAGACAATGGGTTTCAACAAGCTTTGTCAGACGACAGGAAAAACAGACGCTTTCTGTCGGAAAAGTATGATGAGGTCGTGGAGTACTACAAGAAGCTTCCAGAACAACACCAACGTGACCTTGATCATTTTTTCAAAGGCGTTGTTGAGACAGTGAAACACAAGAAAGGCGAACTGGCAAACATTGACTGCGCGATTTTAGTGGCAGGTATATATATATACATATATATTTGTTTTATTTATATATGTATGTATCCTTTATCAGGTATATTCAAAATGTCAATTTCCTATCTTAGTTTGAAGTCTTTTATTAATTCTATAAGGTAGCAATTGTTTATAAGTAAAACAAAGAACAACCTCCAACCAAATTCCTTGCGAGACAAATACTTACCCGGCCATGACGTTCCCACACACGGTCCTTACCCGGACATGACGTTCCCACACACGGTCCTTACCCGGACATGACGTTCCCACACACGGTCCTTACCCGGCCATGACGTTCCCACACACGGTCCTTACCCGGCCATGACGTTCCCACACACGGTCCTTACCCGACCATGACGTTCCCACATACAGTTCTTACCCGGCCATGACATTCCCACACACGGTCCTTACCGGCCATGACGTTCCCACACACGGTCCTTACCCGGTCATGACGTTTCCACACACAATCCGTACCCGGTCATGACGTTTCCACACACAGTCCATACCTGGCCATGACGTCTCTGCACACGGTCCTTAGCCGGCCATGACGTTTCAACTCACGGTCCTTACCCGGTCATGACGTTCCCACACACGGTCCTTTTCCGGCCATGACGTCTCTACACACGGTCCTTACCCGGTCATGACGTTTCCACACTCGGTCCTTACCCGGATATGACGTCCCCTCACACGATCCTTACCCGGCCATGACGTTTCCACACTTGGTCCTTACCCGGCCGTGACGTTCCCACACACGGTCCTTACCCGGTCATGACGTTTCAACTCACGGTCCTTAGCCGGCCATAATGTCCTCAGACACGGTTCTTGCCCGTCAATGACGTTCCCACACACGGTCCTTACCCGGCATTGACCTTTCCACACACGGTCCTTAGCCGGCCATGATGTCCTCACACACGGTTCTTGCCCCTCCATGACGTCCCCACACAAGGTCCTTACCCGGCCTTGACGTTCCCACACTCGGTCCTTACCCGGCCTTGACGTCTCTACACACGGTTCTTACCCGGTCATGACGTTTCCACACACAGTCCTTACCCGGTCATGACGTTTCATCTCACGGTCTTCAGCCGGCCATAATGTCCTCACACACGGTTCTTGCCCGTCCATGACGTCCCCACACACAGTCCTTACCCGGCCATGACGTTCCCACACACGGTCCTTACCCGGTCATGACGTTCCCACACGGTCCTTACCCGGCAATGACGTTTCCACACACGGTCGGGTGTATATTAAATTTTACTACATGGCATAAAACAACACTCACAATCCTTACCCGGCCATGACGTTCCCACACACGATCCTTACCCGGCCGTGACGTCTCTGCACACGGTCCTTTCCCGGTCATGACGTTTCAACTCACGGTCCTTAGCCGGCCATGATGTCCTCACACACGGTTCTTGCCCCTCCATGACGTCCCCACACACGGTCCTTAGCCGGTCATGACGTCCCTACACACGGTCCTTACCCGGCCATGACGTTCCCACACTCGGTCCTTACCCGGCCTTGACCTCTCTACACACGGTCCTTACCCGGTCATGACGTTCCCACACGGTCCTTACCCGGCAATGACGTTTCCACACACGGTCGGGTGTATATTAAATTTTATTACATGGCATAAAACCACACTCACAATCCTTACCCGGCCATGACGTTCCCACACACGATCCTTACCCGGCCGTGACGTCTCTGCACACGGTCCTTTCCCGGTCATGACGTTTCAACTCACGGTCCTTAGCCGGTCATGACGTCCCTACACACGGTCCTTACCCGGCCATGACGTTCCCACACTCGGTCCTTACCCGGCCTTGACCTCTCTACACACGGTCCTTACCCGGTCATGACGTTTCCACACACAGTCCTTACCCGGTCATGACTTTCCCACACACGGTCCTTACCCGACCATGACGTTCCCACACTTGGTCCTTACCCGGTCATGACTTTCCCACTCACGGTCCTTACTCGGCCATGACGTTCCCACACACGGTCGTGTGTATATTAGATTTTATTACATGGCAGAAAACAACACATATTTATGATCAACAATTACCTTAATAAAAGACTTTCATGTACCTTCCTCACTGTTACAGGGGAAACGTCAGCTGGAAAAAGCAGTTTCATCAATCTGTTGTTAGGAACGGACCTCTTACCCACCAGCGATCTTCAATGTACATCAACCATTTGTGAAATACGGCACTCAAGAGACGGAAAGAAATATGCAGTCCTGCATCATCGCTCAGTCGGAAACCAGAAACGGAGGCCAGAAGCTATAGACCTTGAACACGACGAGGGTGTGAACGTCTTGACTAAAGTTGTTACTGAGATAGATGAGGATACCGGGGAGAGTCCATACTCCAGGGTGGACATATTTTGGCCTATTGATATCCTAGAAGTAGGCTGTTTTTATTTTATATGTAAAATGTACATTGTAGTACATTTCGTGAGAACGTCCATACAAATGTACATTGTAGTACATTTCTAGAGATCGTCCATACATATGTACATTGTAGTATATTTCGTGAGAACGTCCATACGTATGTACATTGTAGTACATTTCTAGAGATCGTCCATACAAATGTACATTGTAGTATATTTCGTGAGAACGTCCATACGTATGTACATTGTAGTACATTTCTAGAGATCGTCCATACAAATGTACATTGTAGTATATTTCGTGAGAACGTCCATACAAATGTACATTGTAGTACATTTCGTGAGAACGTCCATACAAATGTACATTGTAGTACATTTCTAGAGATCGTCCATACATATGTACATTGTAGTATATTTCGTGAGAACGTCCATACGTATGTACATTGTAGTACATTTCTAGAGATCGTCCATACGTATGTACATCGTAGTACATTTCTAGAGATCGTCCATACATATGTTCATTGTAGTATATTTCGTGAGAACGTCCATACGTATGTACATTGTAGTATATTTCGTGAGAACGTCCATACAAATGTACATTGTATTACATTTCGTGAGAACGTCCATACGTATGTACATTGTAGTACATTTCTAGAGATCGTCCATACATATGTACATTGTAGTATATTTCGTGAGAACGTCCATACGTATGTACATTGTAGTATATTTCGTGAGAACGTCCATACAAATGTACATTGTAGTATATTTCGTGAGAACGTCCATACGTATGTACATTGTAGTACATTTCGTGAGAACGTCCATACGTATGTACATTGTAGTATATTTCGTGAGAACGTCCATACGTATGCACATTGTAGTACATTTCGTGAGAACGTCCATATATATATATACATATAAACATTGTAGTACATTTCGTGAGAACGTCCATACCTATGTACATTGTAGTCAGGTTCAAAATTCAAGAAGTGTTTGATATACCGTTTTATCTCTTAGCTGTACATCAGAATTATTCTCGTGTAGACTTAAAGGGTTAATTCACCAGTTTTAGGAAAGTATTAAGGTAACTTTTCTTTTATTAGAATGATGTGTGACAATTTAGCGTTAGGATATGTCTCCCATGACACTGATGATGTCAATTCTTTGTTTTGAGCACTATTCAGTTCTTGTGCATAATCTAAAATTATGTTTCTTGGTACACTGCCTTGTGAAAGATAAATAAATTTAAATTGAATTGATCTAGCTCTCTGAGAGGATGATGTACGGAGTGTGAAAATTTGCAGTATTTTTACATCACGTGCTTTATGTATTACATGATATCAAATGGAGCGAAAAATAAAAATATATATATGATATACAACACCCAGTAGATTTAGATATATATAAATAACCGAATTCGCTATATAATATACACTATACCATGCTGACAGAACACTAGCTGGAAAGATATTTTTCTCTTTACGGTGAAGATGTATGGCCCATGAGATGTAAGTTATAATATTATAAGAAACTGTGTGTGCTGGGATCTTCTGGAAAGTCATACAATATATTTCTTTATATACAGACTGTCGTGTGGAACATGTTACAAACTTATTGCGCGGATTTCATCCCGCCAGTCTTCCACTTTCCTGTAGTCTAAAGCCTGGACTGCACATCACCCTATTTGTCTATATTTTCAGTCTGGTATTGTGATAGTGGACACACCTGGTATAGGCGCTAGTCGACAGCTGTCAAAGAGTGTAGAGAGGTTTCTCTCTAAATCTTTCGGATTCATCTACATCATCAACAGCGCCAATGCTGGAGGAGTACAGAAAGGAAGGGTAAGTTGTTCTGTTAGTACAGATCAACATTAGCGTCGGTTTGTACAGGTAACAAGTCAACTTTACCGTCGGTTTGTACAGGTAACAAGTCAACTTTACCGTCGGTTTGTACAGGTAACAAGTCAACTTTACCGTCGGTTTGTACAGGTAACAGGTCGACTTAACCGTCGGTTTGTACAGGTAACAAGTCAACTTTACCGTCGGTTTGTACAGGTAACAGGTCGACTTAACCGTCGGTTTGTACAGGTAACAAGTCAACTTTACCGTCGGTTTGTACAGGTAACAAGTCAACTTTACCGTCGGTTTGTACAGGTAACAAGTCAACTTTACCGTCGGTTTGTACAGGTAACAGGTCAACTTTACCGTCGGTTTGTACAGGTAACAGGTCAACTTAACCGTCGGTTTGTACAGGTAACAGGTCAACTTAACCGTCGGTTTGTACAGGTAACAAGTCAACTTTACCGTCGGTTTGTACAGGTAACAGGTCAACTTAACCGTCGGTTTGTACAGGTAACAGGTCAACTTTACCGTCGGTTTGTACAGGTAACAGGTCAACTTAACCGTCGGTTTGTACAGGTAACAGGTCAACTTAACCGTCGGTTTGTACAGGTAACAAGTCAACTTTACCGTCGGTTTGTACAGGTAACAGGTCAACTTTACCGTCGGTTTGTACAGGTAACAGGTCGACTTAACCGTCGGTTTGTACAGGTAACAGGTCAACTTTACCGTCGGTTTGTACATGTAACAAGTCAACTTTACCGTCGGTTTGTACAGGTAACAGGTCGACTTAACCGTCGGTTTGTACAGGTAACAAGTCAACTTTACCGTCGGTTTGTACAGGTAACAAGTCAACTTTACCGTCGGTTTGTACAGGTAACAAGTCAACTTTACCGTCGGTTTGTACAGGTAACAGGTCAACTTTACCGTCGGTTTGTACAGGTAACAGGTCAACTTAACCGTCGGTTTGTACAGGTAACAGGTCAACTTAACCGTCGGTTTGTACAGGTAACAAGTCAATTTTATCGTCGGTTTGTACATGTAACAAGTCAACTTTACCGTCGGTTTGTACAGGTAACAGATCAACTTAACCGTCGGTTTGTACAGGTAACAAGTCAACTTTACCGTCGGTTTGTACAGGTAACAAGTCAACTTTACCGTCGGTTTGTACAGGTAACAGGTCGACTTTACTGTCGGTTTGTACAGGTAACAGATCAACTTAACCGTCGGTTTGTACAGGTAACAAGTCAACCTTACCGTCGGTTTGTACAGGTAACAAGTCAACCTTACCGTCGGTTTGTACAGGTAACAAGTCAACTTTACCGTCGGTTTGTACAGGTAACAGGTCGACTTTACTGTCGGTTTGTACAGGTAACAGGTCAACTTTACCGTCGGGTTGTACAGGTAACAGGTCAACTTTACCGTCGGTTTGTACATGTAACAAGTCAACTTTACCGTCGGTTTGTACAGGTAACAAGTCAACTTTACCGTCGGTTTGTACAGGTAACAGGTCGACTTTACCGTCGGTTTGTACAGGTAACAAGTCAACTTTACCGTCGGTTTGTACAGGTAACAAGTCAACTTTACCGTCGGTTTGTACATGTAACAAGTCAACTTTACCGTCGGTTTGTACAGGTAACAAGTCAACTTTACCGTCGGTTTGTACAGGTAACAGGTCAACTTTACCGTCGGTTTGTACAGGTAACAAGTCAACTTTACCGTCGGTTTGTACAGGTAACAAGTCAACTTTACCGTCGGTTTGTACAGGTAACAAGTCAACTTTACCGTCGGTTTGTACAGGTAACAGGTCAACTTTACCGTCGGTTTGTACAGGTAACAGGTCAACTTTACCGTCGGTTTGTACAGGTAACAAGTCAACTTTACCGTCGGTTTGTACAGGTAACAAGTCAACTTTACCGTCGGTTTGTACAGGTAACAGGTCAACTTTACCATCGGTTTGTACAGGTAACAGGTCAACTTTACTGTCGGTTTGTACAAGTAACAGGTCAACCTTACCATCGGTTTGTACAGGTAACAAGTCAACTTTACCGTCGGTTTGTACAGGTAACAAGTCAACTTTACCGTCGGTTTGTACAGGTAACAGGTCAACTTTACCGTCGGTTTGTACAGGTAACAGGTCAACTTTACCGTCGGTTTGTACAGGTAACAGGTCAACTTAACCGTCGGTTTGTACAGGTAACAAGTCAACTTCACCGTCGGTTTGTACAGGTAACAAGTCAACTTTACCGTCGGTTTGTACAGGTAACAAGTCAACTTTACCGTCGGTTTGTACAGGTAACAGGTCAACTTTACCGTCGGTTTGTACAGGTAACAGGTCAACTTTACCGTCGGTTTGTACAGGTAACAGGTCAACTTAACCGTCGGTTTGTACAGGTAACAAGTCAACTTTACCGTCGGTTTGTACATGTAACAAGTCAACTTTACCGTCGGTTTGTACAGGTAACAGGTCAACTTAACCGTCGGTTTGTACAGGTAACAGGTCAACTTTACCGTCGGTTTGTACAGGTAACAGGTCAACTTTACCGTCGGTTTGTACAGGTAACAGGTCAACTTAACCGTCGGTTTGTACAGGTAACAAGTCAACTTTACCGTCGGTTTGTACATGTAACAAGTCAACTTTACCGTCGGTTTGTACAGGTAACAGGTCAACTTAACCGTCGTTTTGTACATGTAACAAGTCAACTTTACCGTCGGTTTGTACAGGTAACAGGTCAACTTAACCGTCGTTTTGTACAGGTAACAAGTCAACTTTACCGTCGGTTTGTACAGGTAACAAGTCAACTTTACCGTCGGTTTGTACAGGTAACAGGTCAACTTTACCGTCGGTTTGTACAGGTAACAAGTCAACTTTACCGTCGGTTTGTACATGTAACAAGTCAACTTTACCGTCGGTTTGTACAGGTAACAGGTCAACTTTACCATCGGTTTGTACAGGTAACAGGTCAACTTTACTGTCGGTTTGTACAGGTAACAGGTCAACCTTACCATCGGTTTGTACAGGTAACAGGTCAACTTTACCGTCGGTTTGTACAGGTAACAGGTCAACTTTACCGTCGGTTTGTACAGGTAACAGGTCAACTTTACTGTCGGTTTGTACAGGTAACAGGTCAACTTTACCGTCGGTTTGTACAGGTAACAAGTCAACTTTACCGTCGGTTTGTACAGGTAACAGGTCAACTTAACCGTCGGTTTGTACAGGTAACAAGTCAACTTTACCGTCGGTTTGTACAGGTAACAGGTCAACTTTACTGTTGATTGGGAGAGACCGTAATAAGTTTCATGTAATTGTCTTTATTTTTACAGCCACAAAAGACCTACATCTCTCAGTATAATAAGTATATTGAGTTTTTATCTTTCAGTTAAAGGACTTCCTTAGAACTGTTGACGCGTCCCTTGACGAGGAGTTTAACTTTCGTGCTACCATGTTTGTGTTAAATAAATGGGATGTAACAATTTCCATCATCATTTTCCAATATTCATATGCAAGTACCACATTTTAAGAATGATGTCAGATTTACATCAGTGATACTATATATCTGTAACCCTGACAAGATACGTTGATGATGTCAGATTTACTCCCTGTCAGTGATACTATATATCTGTATCTGATGACATACATTGAATGGTGTCAGATTTACTCCCTGTCAGTGATACTATATATCTGTAACCCTGATGACATACATTGAATGATGTCAGATTTACTCCCTGTCAGTGATACTATATATCTGATAATATATCCTGACAACATACATTGAAGCTCTATGTATAAAGGGCAATAACTCCTACACACCTAAAAACATCACATCGAATGATGTCAGATTTACTCCCTGTCAGTGATACTGATGTCAGATATTACTCCCTGTCAGTGATACTATATATCTGTAACCCTGATGACATACATTGAATGATGTCAGATTTACTCCCTGTCAGTGATACTATATATCTGTAACCCTGACAACATACATTGAATGATGTCAGATTTACTCCCTGTCAGTGATACTATATATCTGTAACCCTGACAACATACATTGAATGGTGTCAGATTTACTCCCTGTCAGTGATACTATATATCTGTAACCCTGACAACATACATTGAATGATGTCAGATTTACTCCCTGTCAGTGATACTATATATCTGTAACCCTGATGACATACATTGATGATGTCAGATTTACTCCCTGTCAGTGATACTATATATCTGTAACTCTGATGACATACATTGAATGATGTCAGATTTACTCCCTGTCAGTGATACTATATATCTGTAACCCTGATGACATACATTGAATGATGTCAGATTTACTCCCTGTCAGTGATACTATATATCTGTAACCCTGACAACATACATTGAATGATGTCAGATTTACTCCCTGTCAGTGATACTATATATCTGTAACCCTGATGACATACATTGAATGACGTCAGATTTACTCCCTGTCAGTGATACTATATATCTGTAACTCTGACAACATACATCGAATGATGTCAGATTTACTCCCTGTCAGTGATACTATATATCTGTAACCCTGACAACATACGTTGAATACATGATGTCAGATTTACTCCCTGTCAGTGATACTATATATCTGTAACCCTGATGACATACATTGAATGATGTCAGATTTACTCCCTGTCAGTGATACTATATATCTGTAACCCTGACAACATACATTGAATGGTGTCTGATTTACTCCCTGTCAGTGATACTATATATCTGTAACCCTGATGACATACATTGAATGATGTCAGATTTACTCCCTGTCAGTGATACTATATATCTGTATCTGATGACATACATTGAATGGTGTCAGATTTACTCCCTGTCAGTGATACTATATATCTGTAACCCTGATGACATACATTGAATGATGTCAGATTTACTCCCTGTCAGTGATACTATATATCTGTAACCCTGATGACATACATTGAATGATGTCAGATTTACTCCCTGTCAGTGATACTATATATCTGTAACCCTGATGACATACATTGAATGATGTCAGATTTACTCCCTGTCAGTGATACTATATATCTGTAACCCTGATGACATACATTGAATGATGTCAGATTTACTCCCTGTCAGTGATACTATATATCTGTAACCCTGACAACATACATTGAATGATGTCAGATTTACTCCCTGTCAGTGATACTATATATCTGTAACCCTGATGACATACATTGAATGATGTCAGATTTACACCCTGTCAGTGATACTATATATCTGTAACCCTGACAACATACATTGAATGATGTCAGATTTACTCCCTGTCAGTGATACTATATATCTGTAACCCTGATGACATACATTGAATGATGTCAGATTTACTCCCTGTCAGTGATACTATATATCTGTAACCCTGACAAGATACATTGAATGATGTCAGATTTACTCCCTGTCAGTGATACTATATATCTGTAACCCTGACAAGATACATTGATGATGTCAGATTTACTCCCTGTCAGTGATACTATATATCTGTAACCCTGATGACATACATTGAATGATGTCAGATTTACACCCTGTCAGTGATACTATATATCTGTAACCCTGACAAGATACATTGAATGATGTCAGATTTACTCCCTGTCAGTGATACTATATATCTGTAACCCTGATGACATACATTGAATGATGTCAGATTTACTCCCTGTCAGTGATACTATATATCTGTAACCCTGATGACATACATTGAATGATGTCAGATTTACTCCCTGTCAGTGATCCTGACAACATACATTGAATGATATCAGATTTACTCCCTGATAGAGAAACTATATATCTGTAACCCTGACAACATACATTGAATGATGTCAGATTTACTCCCTGTCAGTGATACTATATATCTGTATATATACATTGAATGTGATACATTGAATGATGTCAGATTTACTCCCTGTCAGTGATACTATATATCTGTAACCCTGATGACATACATTGAATGATGTCAGATTTACTCCCTGTCAGTGATACTATATATCTGTAACCCTGATGACATACATTGAATGATGTCAGATTTACTCCCTGTCAGTGATACTATATATCTGTAACCCTGATGACATACATTGAATGATGTCATATTTCTATATATCTGTAACCCTGATGACATACATTGAATGATGTCAGATTTACTCCCTGTCAGTGATACTATATATCTGTAACCCTGATGACATACATTGAATGATGTCAGATTTACTCCCTGTCAGTGATACTATATATCTGTAACCCTGACAACATACATTGAATGATGTCAGATTTACTCCCTGTCAGTGATACTATATATCTGTAACCCTGATGACATACATTGAATGATGTCAGATTTACTCCCTGTCAGTGATACTATATATCTGTAACCCTGATGACATACATTGAATGATGTCAGATTTACTCCCTGTCAGTGATACTATATATCTGTAACCCTGATGACATACATTGAATGATGTCAGATTTACTCCCTGTCAGTGATACTATATATCTGTAACCCTGATGACATACATTGAATGATGTCAGATTTACTCCCTGTCAGTGATACTATATATCTGTAACCCTGTACAGTGATGTCAGATTTACTATATATATATATCTGTAACCCTGATGACATACATTGAATGATGTCAGATTTACTCCCTGTCAGTGATACTATATATCTGTAACCCTGACAACATACATTGAATGGTGTCAGATTTACTCCCTGTCAGTGATACTATATATCTGTAACCCTGACAACATACATTGAATGATGTCAGATTTACTCCCTGTCAGTGATACTATATATCTGTATCTGATGACATACATTGAATGATGTCAGATTTACTCCCTGTCAGTGATACTATATATCTGTAACCCTGATGACATACATTGAATGATGTCAGATTTACTCCCTGTCAGTGATACTATATATCTGTAACACTGATGACATACATTGAATGGTGTCAGATTTACTGTCAGTGATACTATATATCTGTAACCCTGACAACATACATTGAATGGTGTCAGATTTACTCCCTGTCAGTGATACTATATATCTGTAACCCCCTGATGACATATATCTGTAACCTGACATGTCAGATGTCAGTGATACTATATATCTGTAGACATACATTGAATGATGTCAGATTTACTCCCTGTCAGTGATACTATATATCTGTAACCCCTGATGACATAATTGAATGATGTCAGATTTACTCCCAGTGATACTATATATCTGTATATATCTGTCAGAAGTGAAACTATATATCTGTAACCCTGACAACATACATTGAATGATGTCAGATTTACTCCCTGTCAGTGATACTATATATCTGTAACTCTGATGACATACATTGAATGATGTCAGATTTACTGTCAGTGATACTATATATCTGTGAACCCCTATGACATAACCTGGCTGATGACAGACTTGTACCTAGCAGTGATACTATATATCTGTAAACCCCTATGACATAACCTGGCTGATGACAGACTTGTACCTAGCAGTGATACTATATATCTGTAAACCCCTATGACATAACCTGGCTGATGACAGACTTGTACCTAGCAGTGATCAGTATATATCTGTAAACCCCTATGACATAACCTGGCTGATGACAGACTTGTACCTAGCAGTGATACTATATATCTGTAAACCCCCATGACATAACCTGGCTGATGACAGACTTGTACCTAGCAGTGATCAGTATATATCTGTAAACCCCTATGACATAACCTGGCTGATGACAGACTTGTACCTAGCAGTGATCAGTATATATCTGTAAACCCCTATGACATAACCTGGCTGATGACAGACTTGTACCTAGCAGTGATCAGTATATATCTGTCCCTATGACATAACCTGGCTGATGACAGACTTGTACCTAGCAGTGATCAGTATATATCTGTAAACCCCTATGACATAACCTGGCTGATGACAGACTTGTACCTAGCAGTGATCAGTATATATCTGTAAACCCCTATGACATAACCTGGCTGATGACAGACTTGTACCTAGCAGTGATCAGTATATATCTGTGAACCCCCATGACATAACCTGGCTGATGACAGACTTGTACCTAGCAGTGATCAGTATATATCTGTGAACCCCTATGACATAACCTGGCTGATGACAGACTTGTACCTAGCAGTGATACTATATATCTGTAAACCCCTATGACATAACCTGGCTGATGACAGACTTGTCCCTAGCAGTGATCAGTATATAACACCGATTCTCTGTCTGAACAGGCAATAAAAGCGATGGATTACGCCGATTCTACCACGACAGACCACGAAATGGTTCTCGAGGGACTCGAGCGCCTCCTACCGACCAGTCTAAAAAACCAGCTTGCTGCTCATTACGGGTGTGTATTAGTCGTAAACAAATGTTTTCTGACTTTTGATTCCGTAGTTACTTCGACATTCAATATGTTTTCCCAATATCACGATTTCCGGACACAACATGCTTGAGATAATAAAGATCTTGATCTCATTAGTAAATATTCTACCTCTGAAGTTTGTCCTTTCATCGTATTCGGAAGGTCAACATTTTTGTGGTATTTTACTCTCTTCTGAGGTTCGTCATTTTATAACACGCTGAAGGCACTATCTTATCGCATTCTGAAGGTCGGCATTTGATCTTTCTCTTAAAGTGGCCATTTGATCGTATTATGAAGGTCACCATTTGATCGTATTCTGAAGGTCGTCATTTGATCGTATTCTGAAGGTCACCATTTGATCGTATTCTGAAGGTCACCATTTGATCGTATTCTGAAGGTCACAATTTTATTGTCTGAAGGTGACCTTTTCATCATATTCTGAAGGTAGCTATTTTATATTACTCTGAATTTCAGCATTGTATTATATTCTGAAGACCGCCATTTAGTCGAATTCTGAAGGTCACCATATAATCGTACTCTGTGGTTATCACCTCTCTAACAAAGGAAGTCACAGTTATTTTTGGTAGATAAAGCTAAACCGCTGATCCTATTTACCATGTACTTATCTATCTATTGGTATACGGGTATAAAGATTACGGGAAATACAACAGTATAAGCGGGAAATATAGGGATAGGGAACGGAAATATTCCTTAAACATCAACATTATTGACCGATCAAAAACAAAAGCGATTAAAACAAAATAAAAGGATAGGAAACAGAAATATCCGGAAACAGAAATATTATTAACCGTTCACAAACAAAAGCGATGAACACAAAATATTAGGAAACCCATAGTCTTACATATATATTGCTTACTTCATATTTCAATAAGACTATTGATTAAAATAAGTTTGTCACCAAAATATTGTTGTGATTAAGTCCTAGTTTGTACCGTTTGATACTGTGATATTCCTGTTTCTACCACAATACCCCGTGTTATTCAACTCCCTAAACATTGGATAATTAATGCAACTGTTGAATAACATTTTGTTTATACCACACGTGGTATAAATTGTTTGGCGGGAAAGCCGCTTTACTTGACTTAAACAAAATAGGTCCGTAAAGTAAATAGTTCATGATAAAATTTGAGATAAAGGACATTTTATACATACACCTATTTATTATAAGCTTTACTAAAAGTAATATGTTCGTTATTATTGTAATAAATTACATTAGTTGAATACATGTTTGTGACTTATCGTTTTTGCATATTGATTTACAACACTCACTACGGGTCATATTCTTGCGCATCAAGCGAAAACGTAAACAAAACAACCGTGAGAAAATATATCCCTTTGATCAATGTTTTGTATTGTTGAAGAAACAGGTCACACATACTCGTGGTCATTGTATATTGAATTTATTCAACTCTCATTAGTTATTTTTCTAAAACTACAAAAAAAAACACTCGCTTTAGCTTGAGTTTTTTGTAACTTTTGAAAAATAACTAACTCGAGTTGAATAAATTCAATGCACAATGACCACTCATTGTGTAAACTCTATGTATCTGTAACGTGTTTACGATGTCGTTTCAGATGGATAGCACAAGTACTGAAGCGGTCTCACTACTCTATAAAGGTGGCCAAGTTAATGAATGCCAAAGGCCTAGAGGAAAAGGCAGAACTACAGATGAAGTTAAGGACACAGATGGATCGTTTGGAGAGAGACGCCAAGTACACTCTCGACAGCATGCGTAGGGAGATTAAAGAAGAACTGAAATACCTGTACGAAAACATCGACCGTTTGCTATCCGGAACAGATGTCCAGGCTCGCATATGTTGCTGGGAAGCTGACCAATGTCCCCCAGCGGAAAATTGGAAAAAAGTAGTGAAAGAGGCTGAAAGTTATATCGCTAAACGTGTAGCCGAGGAGGTCAATATCTGGGACCATCATAAAGGCATTGTTAAACATCTAAAGGAAAAAATTGTCAAAAAGTTCAAACGAGACTTTCAACTGATGGAAGACCAGATGCGAGATGTTGAAGGTAAATAATATCCGTGTGTATGGTAGATTGTTTAATGTGCGTTCTATAGCTTACATTGAGGGTTAATTGTTGATTTATGGACATGTTCATTAGCACGAGAAAATAAGTTTACTATCTGATACAGAAACTGTTAACGACTCAGACCATAGACAAATAGTACATATGATACTGATTTACATGTTAATGTTGTCTTGCTCCACCAGTTGTACTTCTGCCGGGCGATAAACGTGCCGTGTCTGACTTCCACAAATCAATGAAAAGACCTGCGCCCGTAAAGAACGTATTCCAGAAAGCGGGGAAAAAACAGAAGGAAAAAGCTACCACTGACGACCTCAAGAGACTCGGTGGAGCTGTAGCCTGCGCCGGGTCACTTAATACAAAATCTAAGGACGTCCGAGCTATATTTAAATCGTACAGCAAACGAGACGCAAGGAAGAGGATGGAGGACGCCACAATGATATTTATCCATAGTTTAACACAAGGAAACTCACTTTCGGCAAAGCTTGACTTATTTTTAGGCAAATATGTCAAAGGTATAGATGACATAGGTAAAATGATCCCAGATCTTCTGAAAGCGGACAGGATACTGATGGATACTTTGAACACAGAGATGAAAGAAAACAAAGGCCTTTTGTCAAATCTCTACCCAGAACTTCTCCGTGATAATGCTAGGAAACAGGGCTTACTTGACATGTTCTATATCAAGTGTATCATGGAATCCGACTTCAGACTTCGAGAACTAGACATCAACAGGACCAAGCCGCTTGGAAGTGGCACTTTTGCTGATGTCTTTAAAGGTGATCTGCGACCAGCTGGGGAGGTTACCACAAACGTAGCCGTGAAAATCAACAAAGAGCATATCACAGCATCCAATGTGAGCGACCTTCTCTTGGAAGACCGAACATTACGGTATGTTATGTCTACACAATAATTAAACTATTTACCGTTTACTCTTATGTTAGGCATAACATACACAGATACATTTTACTGGATAACCCGGTGTACGTGAAATGTACGTGGTTTACATAAAAGATCTAGCGTGACTCACCATTTGGGGTTCTTTTTTTATTCATTTATTTTTTTTAAATTTTCAGTTTTCTAATTCGAAGTTCCTAGATTCATAATTCTATGGAGCCTTTGGCCAAGATAAAAATGTTTCATAATCTAAATAGCAAATGAAAATTAATTTAATATCCTTCTATCATACGAGTGATTAATCAGGTAAATTATAATTAAGGAAACGGACATTTCCGCAACAAATTTAATGTCATTCGCCGCCCATATATCTATTGTATCTTTGATTATTGTTTAATATACAAAGATATTACTTGAGTGAATTATGTATCAACGGAAGCACATCCCGTGTAACGGTACCAAATATTTCGTTTTCACGTCATTGAGTGAAATACCAATGCCTTGTTTACAGGGATCTCAAACATAAAAACATTGTCAAGTATTACGGATCAGTTCTCAGCCAGAATGAAAAATCCAAGGTCAGTTGGATTATGCTGTTAGAATACTGCCAGGGCACCCTGAAAGACGTGTTTCTGGAGGAGTCGTTCGAAAACCCTGGCAAGCTTGGACACAGTCGCAGTAAGCAGGCACATGCCATGAAAAATATGGCTCGGTATGTGGTGGAGATGTGCAATGGGCTGCAATACTTGCACGAGAAGGGTCTGGTGCATAGGGACCTTAAACTGGAAAACGTGTTGGTAAGTTAAACTTATCCACGATTCGTTCGTTTTGTTCGTTGGAAGCCTGTTGCAACAAAGGGTACAAATACATATTGAGTTCTGCTTGTATTACTTTTCATCACGCGGCGGCAGTTATTTAGATCTTCACTTAATACGTCAATGCCCCGCTTAATACGTCATTGTCCCGCTTTATACGTCAATGTCCCGCTTAATACGTCAATGTCCCGCTTAATGCCTTTAAATCACTGATACTATATTGTTTGTCCAATTCAATACCGTTTGGTCAGCATCGACCTTTACGTAGAAAAGTTATCCTTTTTGTTTAATATAAATGAAGTGTACAGGTCAAATTCAGGAAAAGGTTTTATTGATTCTCTACATATATCACACCGCATGGCGCGGAAGTATATGTAATTTAGTGTGTACGATCATCTCTCGCCTAACATTTGTATATTCTTTCCTCAATGTTGTTTTCTTTAAAGTTTGAGATTGTTTATGATGGGAATTATTTGTTTGATATAGATATCATTGGAAGGCACTGTCAAGCTCACAGATGTAGGACTGACAAAAGGCGTTGAAATGATATCGGGAACTCTCGCGGGATCTCCTATTTACATGGCACCGGAAGTACTATTGGCACGTGATATATACGACCACAAGGCAGATATTTACAGTCTGGCTGTAATGTTGTGGGAGATGTGGTATGGTATGGACGCCGCGGACCATATCCAACACTACATCCAAAAAAGACTTGAGGATTCCGTCAGAGATGGTCTCCGGCCAAAACTATCCCTCCAACACCGTCCCCCAGACGACTGGATAAGCGTCATTGAGCGGTGTTGGGACCTCGACCCCGCAGTCAGAATGGAAGCACATTTCATTGGAAAGTTCTTTGAAAAGGTGTAAAGTGAGCAGCTGTAATATCTTGTGTGACATAATTGTGACTTTGAGTGAATCGATTATTAAGAATATATATCACCGCAACGTTTGTGGTTCCTTTATGGAAGGGAGGTTACTCTGACAGAAAATAAAGTACTTTGGTATTGAGTGGATACTTATCAACAGTGCTTTGTCTATCGTCTGTGAGATGATAACAAGTTATCAAGTAGAAAACAACAATGCGGGATGAGTCCTACTGTTGTTTACCCCAGCTATTGCTAACTCCTACTGTTGTTTACCCCAGCTGTTGTTAACTCCTACTGTTGTTTACCCCAGCTGTTGTTAACTCCTACTGTTGTTTACCCCAGCTGTTGTTAACTCCTACTGTTGTTTACCCCAGCTGTTGTTAACTCCTACTGTTGTTTACCCCAGCTGGTGTTAACTCCTACTGTTGTTTACTCGTATTTTGTTTCAGCCCAGCTAGTGTGTATATTTACACAAGCTTTGAAATGTGTTTTCGCTTTTAAGGCTTTGTCTTTTTATTAGATGTCATCAAAGTGTAAATGACTTGTAACCTTGAAAGATGTCACACTACAACAAAATCTTTGTAAATGACACCATATAGATAATATACTGTATTTGTTAATGTATAAGGATATGTAGAATTTCACACTAAATTCACGTCAGCTACAAATCACAAAATCAAATTGTTGTGTTATTGTCGGAATGCCACATATTCTTTGTTTATGCGGTAGTGACAGAACATGTTAGTATCTTAGCACTTGCATTAGTGATTAACTTTAATATTTAGTTATTTTAAAACATTAATAAAAACCTATCTTATTTATTGCAATAAACAAGTTTATTTACAAATATTAATAGAATTAACCTTCTATCTGTTACCGCGCGGAGCCATTGTTTTGACGTACGTCATCAGACATGATTCAGTGAGAAATCATGAAGAGTCAGGTGAACAAAGATGGAATAGACTTGACAGTTTTTAATTTCGATAATATTAAATAAATGTTACAGGACATATAGAACACATGGACAGTGACTTGAAATTTATGCTGCATTTTGTCTTGGGGACACACTTTTCACGCTACTTTTGTTTTCCTTCACCCTTGTCAGCTCCTATCTTATGATATTGACCGTATGCTGTATGTTTTACTCTGATTCTAACTTGTATAGTAGAGCTTTTGTTGTTTTTCATTTAAAAACCAGCGAAATGTATGTTATCTATTTGTTATTTATTTATCATCACAATTTTTGCTGTATGACGATGTGAAACGAACCGAGTTCACCCAACACTACTCAGTCCTGTGTTTTTGCTCTGGGACATTTCTATAAATTTTTCATTCCCACATCCACATTTCACAATAAAAGTTGGCAGACTGTTGTAGTTATGTCATCTGAACATGACTGTGTAAAAATGTGTGATTTAAATGACAGATGCAAAATTGGACTATTCCATAATAGTGTTGTGCACGAATCTATGAAGCTGAGGTAGACTCTGGGGAAATCAAGTGTCACGCCTGAACAGTCTATTTTTACCGGTATACTACTGGGGATTACCTTGGCTATTGTGTATTGTGAATGCCTCTGCGGTACCCCACTGTCCACCTGTAGTGATATGTGTTTACCTACACAAACTTATGTGCAATGCTTCGCTGGTGAGTTGTTAACTGGAAATACTCTTGCACATATTTACAATGGCCATTCCCAGAACTTCTTTGATCACACATTGCCCGCTGGTCTCCGATTTTTTTCGTGGAATATAAGGACCATGTACAATAAAATGCTTGAACTTTCTTATCATGTAACAAGCAACAACTTTGGTGTTGTTTGTCTTCAAGAGACTTGGTTAAATTCTCAAATTAGTGATTAAGAAATATCCATTAAAGGTCTAACACTGGAACGTTCCGACAGGTCTGATGGTCAGCGCCATGGTGGTGTTGCTACCCCATTTGTTAGGAGACATGGCATTGAAACTCCTGACATGGAAACTGTCTGTCTCGAGATGAAGTTCATAAACTCCAAACCACTACTTATAGCAAATGTCTATAGGCCACCAGCATCTCCTGTTTCATGGATGGAGAACTTTGAGTTGTTTCTTGATAAATTATTTGACTTCGATCTTGAAGTAATAATCGTGGGGGATTTGAACAGTGACCTTTTAAAGACCAGTCAACTGGCTGATATCACTTCCGGCCACTATTTATCTCGGATGGTAAAAGATCCTACTAGGGTCTTTGAATCAGAAACCTTACTTGATCATGCGTATACATCGTCACCAGAGTTCATTCAAGCCACACATGTAATACAAAATGGGCTAAGTGACCATTACTCCATTTCTTTCGTCCGCAAACGGAGTTTTGGTTCCAAATTCTCTCATACAGATATCCGTTACCGATCATTCAAGGGTTTCGACGAGGAGACTCTTCTCTGACGTCGCATCAGCCCCATGGACGGTCATTGAAATGTTTGACGATGCTCTCTATGCGTGGACTAAATTATTTACTTACATTCTTGACCAACATGCACCTTATCGCACGCGTCGAGTTAAGAAACTGCCCAACCTGAATGGATGACAAATGAAATAATCCAAGGTATGCGCGAACGCGACCGTTTAAAGGCCGCTAGTGACATGGCAAACTACCGTGTTCAACGTAACAGGGTTACATCTATGATTCAGGAGGCAAAATCCACATATTACCAATCTGTCATCGAAAGTAACCTAGACAATCCTAGTAAACTATGGAAATTTGTAAGGGATCTTGCGCCAAAAAAGAATATTTCAACAACAGGCATGGTTCTAAATGGAAATTGTGAAACATTTGACAAATGTGAAATAGCTGAAAGTTTTAACCATTATCTCTCTACTATTGCTGGTAAATTAACAGAATCCCTTTTTAAAGTTTCGTCAAATTTTGTGAAACTTACTGAGTTCTTGAGAGGCATGTACACTGTGAATTTTACAAATATCTATGTGCAAATAACCTGTTGGTGTCCTCTCAATCTGGTTTTAGAAAAGATCACTTCTGTGAAACTGCCTTATTGTATATTGTTAACTCATGGACACAGGAAGTTGATCAAGGAAATATAAATGTTGTTGTATTTTTAGACTTTCGAAAAGCATTTGACTGCGTAGATCATCATGTTTTAATCCAAAGGTTGAAACTCTACAAGTGCAATGATTTAGCGGTGAGCTGGTTTAAACCCTATCTCACCAATAGACTACAAAAAGTAAGTATTTCAGGTGAATTATCCCAAAGCATGACTATTACTCAGGGATCTATATTGGGACCTGTTTTATTTTTAACTTTTATAAATGATCTTCCCTTAGAAATACAGTATAAAACTGATATGTACGCTGATGACACAACTCCATCAGCTTCTGATTCTTCTATTTTAACTGTCCAAAATTAATTACAACGTGACCTAAATGCAGTCGAAAACTGGTGTACTGAAAATAGAATGATTATTAATGCTGACAAAACAAACTGTATGGTTATAACCACAAAGCAGAAACATAGTAGAAATTATTATGTCTTAGATCTGTCTTTAAACAATACAGAGCTTGACCAGGTACAGTCTGCTAAACTGCTGGGTGTAAAAAATATTAAGTGTTTATGCTGGGAAGATCATGTCAACTATGTATCAGGAAAAATAAATAAGGGTGATTTTAGATGTACCATATGACACTCCATCTGCTGATTTGTTTTGTGTTTTAAACTGGTTGCCTTTAGCTGATTTTTATCATTACAGGACAGGTTCAGTGGTATACAAATGTGTCCATCATCTTGTTCCAGAATATTTATTTAGTTTGTTTAACTTGAAGTCTGATATCCATACCAGATGTACAAGATCAAGCCATAGCAATATTTTACATATTCCTAAACATCGTACCAAGTTTTATGGCAATAATTTTGTAGTTGCAGGAAGCCAACTCTGGAACAATTTGCCGAATGAGTTAAGGACGGCAACACGTTTTGCCTCCTTTAAACATTCCCTCAGCAATCACCTCATGGAGCATGGATGAACAGATTTCATAATAAAATTCTCTAAAGAACTGTTTTAAGTCTATTCAATATTTTAGCAGATTATTATCCTGTTGTCTTACCTATAAAATTTTTAACCCATAATTAACTGTTTATCCTCCAGTGTATTTCTTGTGTCAACATTGTAAACACATTTTTATATTATTGGTATTTTCTTGTGTCATTTTTTATTTTTCTTTACTACACTATTATATATATGTATAAGGCTGGAGCTGTTTAAATTGATTTAATATTATGTATGATATTTATGAATCCTGTGATATTCCAATTCAAATTGTTATCTGTAATATCTTGCCTTCTTACTACAGGTTTACTATGTATATACAATATGTAACTTTTAACTAACACATATATACTGTATTTTACTAACAAGAGGATCATATGGAAGATTAGCCGTTGTCTAAATATGTAATCTTCAGAAAATAAAGTTTATTATTATTATTATGAAACGAGTAAATTTACAAAAAGTTAACAACAGACTTATTGTCACCTTCATATCATCCAATATGGTTAAGAGTACAATTTACTCAAAGTTTCACATAGGACAAAATATAGCACCGCGTCATCACACGGGACAAAATATAGCACCGCGTCATCACACGGGACAAAATATAGCACCGCGTCATAACATGGGACAAAATATAGCACCGCGTCATCACACGGGACAAAATATAGCACCGCGTCATCACACGGGACAAAATATAGCACCGCGTCATCACACGGGACAAAATATAGCACCGCGTCATAACATGGGACAAAATATAGCACCGCGTCATCACACGGGACAAAATATAGCACCGCGTCATCACACGGGACAAAATAAAGCACCGCGTCATAACATGGGACAAAATATACCACCGCGTCATCACATGGGACAAAATATAGCACCGCGTCATCACATGGGACAAAATATAGCACCGCGCCATCACATGGGAAATAACATACCACCGCGTCATCACACGGGACAAAATATAGCACCGCGTCATCACACGGGACAAAATATAGCACCGCGTCATCACATGGGACAAATATAGCACCGCGTCATCACATGGGACAAAATATAGCACCGCGTCATCACACGGGACAAAATATAGCACCGCGTCATCACATGGGACAAAATATAGCACCGCGTCATCACATGGGACAAAATATAGCACCGCGTCATCACACGGGATAAAATATAGCACCGCGTCATAACATGGGACAAAATATAGCACCGCGTCATCACACGGGACAAAATATAGCACCGCGTCATCACAAGGGACAAAATATAGCACCGCGTCATCACATGGGACAAAATATACCATCGCGTCATCACACGGGATAAAATATAGCACCGCGTCATAACATGGGACAAAATATACCATCGTGTCATCACACGGGACAAAATATAGCACCGCGTCATCACACGGGACAAAATATAGCACCGCGTCATCACACGGGACAAAATATAGCACCGCGTCATCACACGGGACAAAATATAGCACCGCGTCATCACACGGGACAAAATATAGCACCGCGTCATCACACGGGACAAAATATAGCACCGCGTCATCACACGGGACAAAATATAGCACCGCGTCATCACACGGGACAAAATATAGCACCGCGTCATCACACGGGACAAAATATAGCACCGCGTCATCACACGGGACAAAATATAGCACCGCGTATCACACGCACCGCGTCATCACACGGGACAAAATATAGCACCGCGTCATCACACGGGACAAAATATAGCACCGCGTCATCACACGGGACAAAATATACTATCGCGTCATCAAACGGGACAAAATATACTATCGCGTCATCAAACGGGACAAAATATAGCACCGCGCCATCACACGGGACAAAATATAGCACCGCGCCATCACACGGGACAAAATATAGCACCGCCCCATCACACGGGACAAAATATAGCACCGCGTCATCACACGGGACAAAATATACTATCGCGTCATCAAACGGGACAAAATATACCACCGCGTTATCACACGGGACAAAATATACTATCGCGTCATCAAACGGGACAAAATATACAACCGCGTCATCACATGGGACAAAATATACCACCGCGCCATCACATGGGACAAAATATAGCACCGCGTCATCACACGGGACAAAATATACTATCGCGTCATCAAACGGGACAAAATATACCACCGCGTTATCACACGGGACAAAATGTACCACCGCGTCATCACAAGGGACAAAATATACAACCGCGTCATCACATGGGACAAAATATACCACCGCGCCATCACATGGGAAATAACATACCACCGCGTCATCACACGGGACAAAATATACAACCGCGTCATCACATGGGACAAAAAATACAACCGCGTCATCACATGGGACAAAATATACCTGCGCGTCATCACATGGGAAATAACATACCACCGCGTCATAACATGGGACAAAATATACAACCGCGTCATCACATGGGACAAAATATACAACCGCGTCATCACATGGGAAATAACATACCATCGCGTCATCACATGGGAAATAACATACCACCGCGCCATCACACGGGACAAAATATACAACCGCGTCATCACATGGGACAAAATATACAACCGCGTCATCACATGGGACAAAATATACAACCGCGTCATCACACGGGACAAAATATACCACCGCGTCATCACATGGCACAAAATATATCACCGCGTCATCAGACGGAACAAAATATACAACCGCGTCATCACATGGGACAAAATATACAACCGCGTCATCACACGGGACAAAATATACAACCGCGTCATCACACGGGACAAAATATACCACCGCGTCATCACATGGGACAAAATATACCACCGCGTCATCACACGGGACAAAATATACCACCGCGTCATCACATGGGACAAAATATACCACCGCGTCATCACATGCGCGTCATCACACGGGACAAAATATACAACCGCGTCATCACATGGGACAAAATATACCACCGCGTCATCACATGGGACAAAATATACAACCGCGTCATCACATGGGACAAAATATACAACCGCGTCATCACACGGGACAAAATATACAACCGCGTCATCACACGGGACAAAATATACAACCGCGTCATCACACGGGACAAAATATACAACCGCGTCATCACACGGGACAAAATATACCACCGCGTCATCACACGGGACAAAATATACCATCGCGTCATCACACGGGACAAAATATAGCACCGCGTCATCACATGGGACAAAATATACCACCGCGTCATCAGACGGAACAAAATATACAACCGCGTCATCACATGGGACAAAATATACAACCGCGTCATCACACGGGACAAAATATACCACCGCGTCATCACATGGGAAATAACATACCACCGCGTCATCACCTATAATTGATACAATCATGTCATCTCATCAGACAAAATTCACCGCCGCATTATCACACAGGACAAGATATACCATCGTACCATCACATCACATCCGGTGCAATGTATGTCACTACATAGGCCAAAGGTCATCTCAGCTCAATGCACAATGGCGTCGTCATCAAACATGACAAAATAAAAACCATTGTCAACAAAATGACAGAAAAATTCTTGATTTGTGATTAAGTGTTTTCTTTTCGTCTTTTTTCTTGACATGCTAAACTTCCTAAGTCACGTGCGATTCAGATAAACTAACTCATAACATCTGGATATTTTTAAGTACTCTAGTCATATCTTGCTCAGAAAACTAAACAGTTTATTTTGCGTTCCATACATTTTATTATGTGGAAAGATAACAATAGAGATGTATATCTTAATTTCCATTATTTCTAAACCATCGCACTTGGGATAAAACATCGCACCTGGGATAAAACATCGGATTTATTTCATCAAATAATAATCTCACTATACTCTAATTGACAAACTCGGTTCTTTATTGATATGATCTAAAATACAGACAGAAAATCCCAATCATTTCTGCCGCTTTGTATATGGTCAATGGACTGTGTCCGCTTTGTTAGGTTAAACGGGTCTGTTCCAACTACTCATAATCCCAAAACAATTCGGTTTGCCCTCCCATCTCCTCTTCATAAACCAAGCATGAACGTAGAGAATATAAATGATGGGCGAGTGCCGTGATGAATGGAGAGTTAATAAACGTCACTAATTATCAATCAGAATAAATGTTCGTAGATCCCCTGGGTATAACGGATATATCCCCTCGTGTGTACCATACATCAGCAAAGAAGCAGAGTTCACTCCCTTCTTAACGTCAACAGCATCATCAAAATCAAATTAAAACTAGTACTAGAGAAAGAATGAGTCATAATGCTACATCAATAATTCTGTTATGTTTAGAAGTTATGAAAAAAGCCAATCCCTCTATCAATAATTAATCTAATTAACTGCACATCTTACACATGTAGTATATCGTTTCTATCAATATGTTTGTAGGTTTATTGGTTTGTCGGATTATTCTTTGGAGACGTAAAACAGTGACAAGTAGGAGGGTTTGGTGAGGGGGATTCTGTGTTAAACATGTGTTGTACTATCACTACCGTCAGGTACACCCAATCAATAATCCAATCGCTGGCTTTCATAGCAGGTATACCAACACACCAATGTTAATCATCCGGGAATCTAATCGAGATGTAAACGATATGTTGTGTGAGAATTGTGTCGCCAAGCCCGGAGACAATAAAAGATTATTAACTGCTGACATGGAAAGAAAATATCCAATACTTTATTCCGTGTTTACACACCCGTGACATGTAAAGCACGTGTCACGAGGCACGCGCATTCAGTCCACTCAGTTTGGGTAGGAAATAAGCAAATATTAGACTGCATAGAGACATGACGTAAAACCTGCGATTTGATACATTCTTATGGAGCGTCTTTTTTCCTTGATATTCGGAAAACTACTGAGAAAGAATCCTTTATAAAGGACGCATACCTTCGGATATATCCGGGTAAAAATACAGAAGAATAGGGGAATGGATGATTAAACACAGTCAATCACATAGACGATATTTCTGAATCAGGACCTAATCAGACCTATATTGTGTTCAATGTGAAACAGACGAAAAAGTCCGGATCACTGAATGAGGGGGAGGTTTATCATGACGTTTTCGTAAACACCAGGAGGTGAATAGACACATGTTTAAAGGAACACGTAACTGAACAGCAAGTCCTCCTTCATAGTATATATATAATTATATACAGCAATGTTTGGTGGTCACTAAGTCGGGAAACAGACGAAGATGAAAGTGGCGTTTGCATTATTTGACATCATTAAGGCGATCTCGGTACGTCTGGTGTTGCTGATCCACAGCTTGTTGGCAGTGTGGAGGGCAGTCAACATCAACAACGATACATTTTACTGGTGGTTCGCTATCGTGGATGTCGCTCTTGTTCTGGAAGGTCTGGTGGTCGTAGTTGTGAGAAAAGGCATGGAATACAAGTGGTAAGTGTTTAGTCATTAGTGGTTATTATCTATAGGCAAGCATCATATTTAGGACGGCAGTATTGAAAAGTAAGGACATGTACTGTTTAGTGTCATTGTGTAGACGTAAAGGTCTACTGCTGATAAATGTAATAGGTACTGTTTGTGCAATACGTCGTCATGTGTTTTGGCAATGAGTTGTTAAAGAATTTGACAATAAGTCGTTTAAGATTTTAATAATAAGTCGTTTACGGTTTTGATAATAAATCGTTAAAGATTTTGACAAATAATCGTTTAAGATTATGACAATAAGTCGCTTAAGGTTTTGACAATAAGTCGTTTAAGATTTTGACAACAAATCGTTGAAGAATTGTGATAATAAGTCGTTTAAGATTTTGACAATAAATCGTTGAAGAATTGTGATAATAAGCCATTTAAGATTTTGGCAATAAGTCGCTTAAGATTTTGACAATAAGCCGTTTAAGATTTTAACAATAAGTCTTGAAGAAGTGTCATCTTTCAGAGATGATATATATCTACGACACGCTGTTTGTTCAGAAGTAGGTGATAATGGTATCAAATACAAGGTGAATACATGTACTATAGACAAATACTGGTCACTTTCATTACCAACTTGGCCCCAGTAGTTATCCAGTGGTTAGAGAAAAATTCAAATTGTTGCCACTGAGCGGACGAGTGTTTAACGCAAGATTCACACCCAAAATCTATCAATCTGACAGTCTGTAGAAGGTTAACTTGTCTTATTGATACCAGGATCCTTTTCTCGCTCGTCTAACTGTCTTCCTGTAAATATATAATTAAATGGTATATATAAACATGAAAAATTTTATGAAGCTAATCTGATAGAATCTTATAATTTTGAAGAGTGGAGTTACAAAGCTCTTATCTACATAATTTTGTATAGTGGGGATACAAAGCTCGTGTCTACATAATTTTGTATAGTGGGGATACAAAGCTTTTGTCTATATTATTTTGTAGAATGGGGTTACAAAGTTCTTGTCTACATCATTTTGTATAGTGGGGTTACACATCTCATGTGTACATAATTTTGTTGAATGGGGTTACACATCTCATGTCTACATAATTTTGTAGAGTGGGGATACAAATCTCTTGTCTACATATTTTTGTAGAGTGGGGTTACAAAGCTTTTGTCTACATAATTTTGTAGAGTGGGGTTACAAAGCTTTTGTCAACATAATTTTGTAGAGTGGGGATACAAATCTCTTGTCTACATCATTTTGAATAGTGGGGTTACACATCTCATGTGTACATAATTTTGTAGAATGGGGTTACACATCTCATGTCTACTTAATTTTGTAGAGTGGGGTTACACATCTCATGTCTACATAATTTTGTAGAATGGGGTTATAAAGCTCGTGTCTATATTATTTTGTAGAGTGGGGTTATAAAGCTCGTTTCTATATTATTTTGTAGAGTGGGGTTATAAAGCTCGTTTCTATATTATTTTGTAGAGTGGGGTTATAAAGCTCGTTTCTATATTATTTTGTAGAGTGGGGTTATAAAGCTCGTGTCTATATTATTTTGTAGAGTGGGGTTATAAAGCTCGTTTCTATATTATTTTGTAGAGTGGGGTTATAAAGCTCGTGTCTATATTATTTTGTAGAATGGGGTTATAAAGCTCGTTTCTATATTATTTTGTAGAATGGGGTTATAAAGCTCGTGTCTATGTTATTTTGTAGAATGGGGTTATAAAGCTCGTGTCTATATTATTTTGTAGAATGGGGTTATAAAGCTCGTGTCTATATTATTTTGTAGAATGGGGTTATAAAGCTCGTTTCTATATTATTTTGTAGAGTGGGGTTATAAAGCTTGTGTCTATATTATTTTGTAGAGTGGGGTTATAAAGCTTGTGTCTATATTATTTTGTGGAGCAGGATTACAAAAAGCCAGTCTATATATCTTAATTCTGAGGAGCGGTATGAAAAAGACCTTGTCGATACCATTCCGTGGATCGCGATCAAAAAGTCCTGTTCGAAACAATTCAAAACTCTGGATTTTTTTTTTATTATTTTGAGGTATACAAAGTCCTGATCTATATGATGTCGAGGATCAGGGTTAGAATGTCCTATTCGATATAAATTTTGTGGAGAAAGATTCACAGTGAACCTATCAGACAGAATTATTCAGGTGTATCTAATACTCTGATGAAACAACCAGTCATTGAATCTCGTCAACACAGTCGAACTATCGCCTTGTAACATCTAACATTGGGTTACATCTAATGGGCCCAAACAGCCAATCAACATGCTCTGTTTGAGTAACACATAGTCCTTGTCTCACTCCATAATTCGGTATTTTTTTAACCTTCAGTTCTATTATAGTTTTTGTTTATCGCTGACATGTTTTAATTAGCACTACATGTCACATTGTTAAACTAAGTGGACCCCATCTGTTCAATCTATTTATATTTACACACGAATGGCTTGATCTGTTACCTCCAGAGTACATGATCTTTTGTAACAGTGAGATATTGTCAATATGTTATTGGTTTATTGATCTCGGTTTTATGTAGAAATGCGTGGGCAAATTTCAATATGTTCCTTATACCATCAAATAATCCGGTATAATCCTGTTGTTTCTTATTAATGAACAAACAAGAACATTAAAGGCAAAAGTGACATTCAAGATACATCAATCTGACCTATCTCAACAAACCTACTCGTGTGAAAAGATAAAGAATGTTCTACATTCTGTTTAATTCACGTTTGAATATTTTCACTAACCACTGTTTCTCTCTAACCTGTCGCCCAACACAACACCCGGGGCCAGATCTCTATACAAACCGATACATACGATGACATTGGGTTAACTATGTAATGAGATCAATTGTATATGACCGTGTCATACATGATACATACATAATATGTTATTATAAAGGACGATTAGCTATGTTAATTTTTTATCACTGTAATATTTCATATGTCTTCCCAGGTGTTGCCCGTGTTTCCTACTTTACCTTGGTGGAACAGTCCCAGCAATATGGCTTTTGGAGCTGGACAGAAGAGAACGATTCATTCAAAATATTCTTCCGGTTCCGGTCACTAACGCCACAAACGTGACAGAAACCACTACATCTAACTACGAGTTATCTACCTTAGCAGTACGGACAACACCTGCCAATACTATCAGCGTGTACGGTGTACGTATAACAATGACTGTTGTACCCACAAAACAAAAATTGAAAAATGATAATAATGATAATACGTTAATACTAGTAATGATAATAATTACGAGTTACGTATATTTGAGGACTAGTTAGAGTTAGAAATGATTAAATGAATTAATTATCTACAGTCCTTATCGCATGTTAGTGTTTGAGATTTAGCAACACAAATAAATATCATTTCAGATCTTCACTTAAAACTTTAATGTGGAACTCAATATTTTATTGAAACTCTTGGAACATATCATGGTAAAAACATATACAAAGCTTATAGCATGCAGATCAACGGTAGAACTAACAGTCTCTGATCAAAGTGTAATTCACAGTTAATCGTCAGAGGATGAACATCATTCTAGCGATTCCTCCACCTTCAAATGTATACAAATAAATTTCGAATTTGCCAAGGCATAATCTATAAAAATTAAGAAAAAAAAAAAAAAAACCCACGAAATCCAAGATGAACTATATTGATATCAACTGCTGTCTCTCCCTTATTTACCTCAGTATACAATGTCTTGTATCAACCAACTGGTGTAACCTTACACTGCTAATTAACATGACGCAACCAGAGTGCTTCCTTTCATTTAAAGTATAAACGTTTGTTTGTCGTTGGGCCTACCATTTGTGAAAGGATATTTACTAATATTAAAATCAGCTGTTATAGAGAAAATTATAATTTCAATTCCTTGATGCAACTCTTAATGTAATAACGGCGCTTAATGTAATAATTATTACAATAAGCGTTGCAACGGCTACGTTTAATGTAATAACTATTTTTTTTATTACATTAAGCGCCGAAACTGTACTATTGACAAATTTAAGAAGGTCCTTAGTGTAATAAAGTCCGAAATGAAGGGGGACATATTGAGTCTTCTGTTTTGTATTGTTATGTCATTTTGGGTATTATTAGGGCCCCATATCGAGATCCGGAAGCCCTATAGATCACCCTGTCCGTCGGTCCGTCTGTCCATCCGGAAAGCCGGACGTACGGATGTCAGCACTTTTGTTTTCCGATGATAGCTTCAGTTATGGTTAGATTAATGATTAGAATGCCATCAAACCTTGCATGTGGTTAAAATGCCAGTTACCTCACTTTTTGTATGCATACCCATTATGATGATCCCCGTCAGCCGTGTCATATCAAAGACGTTTAAAATGGCACTTGAAGCTTCCCCCCTTGAAACATTAATACTGCAAGGAGCAAGGAACTGAACGGCACGGAGTCAGTATAACGGTGTGGGTAGTGGGTTGGGTACATGTATTGAGTCTGCCATGCATGCCATGTACGTATGATATTATCTGCAAATGACTTAAGCTGTTGCACGGACGTTACAACACCACCTTTTTTTGGTCCAACTTTCAAGGTCACGTAATCAAAGGGCCATTGCTTTAAACCTAGAAGGTGATAGGCTACAACGATCACGGGGCACAACGACCTAGACCGTTCGGCCACGGACACCACGGCCCCTCCAAACCTTGACGGGAACATACACCACTATAGTATATTATTGCTATATTGTCTTGTAATCGACACGCAGTGTACTTCCGTAACAGTATAAAAAATGTTAAATTAGCGGTAATTTAAATACAACCACAACGCTTAGTGTAATAATTTATTTTGTATTAATCTAAGCGTAACAACTGCAACTCTTAATGTGATAAAGATAAGTTTATTACATTAAGCGTAACACATTTACATTACACATTATCTGCATTTAACTTTGATAACTAAAATTCATCTTGATTAGAAACTAAATATAGAAGTGACTGCATCGTCAACTCTCAGATCTATATACATCGTCAACTCTCAGATCTATATACATCGTCCACTCTCTGATCTATATACATCGTCCACTCTCAGATCTCCATACGTCGTCCATTCTCAGATCTATATACGTCGTCCACTCTCAGATCTATATACGCCGTCAACTCTCAGATCTATATACGTCTTCCACTCTCAGATCTCCATACATCGTCAACTCTCAGATCTATATACGTCGCCCACTCTCAGATCTATATACGTCGTCCACTCTCAGATCTCCATACGTCATCCAATCTCAGATCTATATACATCGTCCACTCTCAGATCTCCATACATCGTCGACTCTCATATCTATATACGTTGTCCACTCTCAGACCTATATACGTCGCCCACTCTCACATCTATATACGTCGGACACTCTCGGATCGATATACGTCGCCCACTCTCAGATCTATATACGTCGCCCACTCTCAGATCTATATATGCGTCCACTCTCAGATCTCCATACGTCGTCCAATCTCAGATCTATATACATCGTCCACTCTCAGATCTCCATACATCGTCGACCCTCATATCTATATACGTTGTCCACTCTCAGATCTCCATACATCGTCGACTCTCAGATCTATATACGTCGGACACTCTCAGATCTCCATACGTCGTCCACTCTCATATCTATATACGTCTTCCACTCTTATATCTATTTACGTCGTCCCCTCTCAGATCTATATAAGTCGGACACTCTCAGATCTATATACGCCGTCAACTCTCAGATCTATATACGTCTTCCACTCTCATATCTATTTACGTCGTCCCCTCTCAGATCTATATAAGTCGGACACTCTCAGATCTATATACGCCGTCAACTCTCAGATCTATATACGTCTTCCACTCTCAGATCTATATACGTCTTCCACTCTCAGATCTCCATACATCTTCCACTCTCAGATCTATATACATCGTCCACTCTCAGATCTCCATACATCGTCCACTCTCAGATCTATATACGCCGTCAATTCTCGGATCTTTATACATCGTCGACTCTCAGATCTCCATACATCGTCCACTCTCAGATCTATATACGTCTTCCACTCTCAGATCTCCATACATCTTCCACTCTCAGATCTATATACATCGTCCACTCTCAGATCTCCATACATCGTCCACTCTCAGATCTATATACGTCGTCCACTCTCAGATCTATATACGTCGTCCACTCTCAGATCTATATACGTCGTCCACTCTCAGATCTATATACGTCGTCCACTCTCAGACTTATATACGTCGCCCACTCTCACATCTATATACGTCGGACACTCTCGGATCTATATACGTCGCCCACTCTCAGATCTATATACGTCGCCCACTCACTATATACTCGCCCATCTCATATACGTCGTCCACTCTCTCTCGTCCACTCTCAGATCTATATACGTCAACTCTCCCACTCTCAGATCTCCATACATATCTATATACGTCGCCCACTCTCAGATCTATATACGTCGGACACTCTCAGATCTATATACGTCGTCCACTCTCAGATCTATATACGTCGTCCACTCTCAGATCTATATACGTTGTCCACTCTCAGACCTATATACGTCGCCCACTCTCAGATCTATATACGTCGCCCACTCTCAGACCTATATACGTCGGACACTCTCGGATCGATATACGTCGCCCACTCTCATTTCTATATACGTCGCCCACTCTCAGATCTATATACGTCGGACACTCTCAGATCTCCATACGTCGTCCAATCTCAGATCTATATACATCGTCCACTCTCAGATCTCCATACATCGTCGACTCTCATATCTATATACATTGTCCACTTTCAGACTTATATACGTCGCCCACTCTCACATCTATATACGTTGGACACTCTCGGATCTATATACGTCGCCCACTCTCAGATCTATATACGTCGCCCACTCTCAGATCTCCATACGTCGTCCACTCTCAGATCTATATACGTCGTCCACTCTCAGATCTATATACGTCGTCCGCTCTCAGATCTCCATACATCGTCGACTCTCAGATCTATATACGTCGGACACTCTCAGATCTCCATACGTCGTCCACTCTCATATCTATATACGTCTTCCATTCTCATATCTGTATACGTCGCCCACTCTCAGATCTATATAAGTCGGACACTCTCAGATCTATATACGCCGTCAATTCTCAGATCTATATACGTCTTCCACTCTCATATCTATTTACGTCGTCCCCTCTCAGATCTATATAAGTCGGACACTCTCAGATCTATATACGCCGTCAACTCTCAGATCTATATACGTCTTCCACTCTCAGATCTATATACGTCTTCCACTCTCAGATCTATATACGTCTTCCACTCTCAGATCTATATACGCCGTCATATACATCCTCCATCTTTCCATACATCGTCCACTCTCAGATCTATATACGCCGTCAATTCTCGGATCTTTATACATCGTCGACTCTCAGATCTCCATACATCGTCCACTCTCAGATCTATATACGTTGTCCACTCTCAGACCTATATACGTCGCCCACTCTCAGATCTATATACGTCGCCCACTCTCAGATCTATATACGTCGGACACTCTCAGATCTATATTCGTCGTCCACTCTGAGATCTATATACGTTGTCCACTCTCAGACCTATATACGTCGCCCACTCTCAGATCTATATACGTCGCCCACTCTCATTTCTATATACGTCGCCCACTCTCAGATCTATATACGTCGGACACTCTCAGATCTATATTCGTCGTCCACTCTCAGATCTATATACGTCTTCCATTCTCATATCTGTATACGTCGCCCACTCTCAGATCTATATACGTCGCCCACTCTCAGATCTATATAAGTCGTCCACTCTCAGATCTATATACGCCGTCAATTCTCAGATCTATATACGTCGTCCACTCTCAGATCTATATACGTCGTCCACTCTCAGATCTATAAACGTCGTCCACTCTCAGATCTCCATACGTCGTCCACTCTCAGATCTATATATTTCGTCTGTTCAAGATCGGTGTTGTCCATGCCTTTTCTATCTATCCCAACATTATAAAATTCTTTGCAAATTCAATGCAACTGACATAAAAGCAGATTTTTTAAACAGAGAAACAATAATAACTAGAAATTGTTGCTAACAATTTTGCGGGCTTTTCCCTTCTTTGTCGACAATCTTGGATATCGGACAGACTCACCGAAAAACAAAATACTATATTCTGTTCTGCATCGATCTGAAGAAGAAAATTTCAAGAAAATTGAAAAAAAAAAGAAAAAATTTGTTAAATTTTGAAAACTTTACCCCGCAGCGAGTTTTTTTATTTGACATATTTTGTATTAATATGGCATGGAAAAAAGTAAGATATGGAAATTCACTACAAATAATATTATTGCACAAACTCTGTACAATGGTTTCGAGATATTGCCGTTTTTAAGTTTTTAACTTATGACGTCATGGCGGCCATATTGGAGTTTTGACCTACTTAAACAATCGGCATCGACAACTTCATATACGTATCTACAAACAGGTGAATAGACTGTATGTCTTGCTTGTTTAAAAGATTACAAACCCACAAAATTGGAAGGAGAATAATAAGAATAAGAAACATAACAAAAACAGTAAGTCTTTTCACAAGTTGGTGAAAAACCCTGGTAATAATTATATTATTATGACTTTCTAACGGCCCGTCAACACATAAAATGTCATTAGGGACAGTAACCGGTAAAAACACAACGATCTAAAAGGAAATTACATTAAACAAACCAAAAGGTAAAATACAAATGCTAAAAATCTTAAATGGATATATTAACACAAAAGATTAAAATGGTACGTCATAGTCTTATATAGACCAACATCTTTCAGGTAATCTAGAACTTTACAAATCTCAACAGTTTCAGTCATTGGTTTTAGACCTGCAATGTTACAATAAAATCACTTTCGAGTAGACAGAAGGTCAATGCAGTTTAATAAAAAAAAGAAACAATAAATTACGACGTTAATAAAGCAGGAATTGCTAGGAATTCAGTGAATATGTATCACATTAGGTTTATATTGATTAAAACGTCTGTGTCAATCTGTTGAGGTTTAATCTCTGGTAGTGGTCTTCTTGCAATAAAACTCTAATACACTGAGATTAATCATGCTTCTACAAAGTAATTATAATATTTAACAAAAAAAAAACTAAAAAAAAAAGAGAAAAAAAATTAAAAAGAACCCTAGAGAATTTAAACGTATGTTTCTGACAACATCGACACACTCGCTGTTAGGTATTGTAGTGAAATATTGGATTTTTTTTTATACAAAACTGAGAACATCAACATTTGATTCCTGTCACAATCAAACGTATGTTTACCTTATTAATTTGATAATAACTCTAGAACTACCTACGGAGCAATATTTAGATGGAAAACGTAGCTGAGAGTTTGATTATACTCCAGCCGACCAACCCTGGAGCACCAGACAACTCAACCTGTTTACAGTAGGTAAACAATAGCCTGCACAAGTAAGAGGGCCATACAATATAGGCACAGTGTGCACACTATACAGGCATTTTAAAATTACTGCTCCAGCAAATATTCAGACAACGCCTTCTCCTAATTTGGTTTGTCTATGCGTAGTTGTCCCGGGTATAACTAAACAGAGTGATGAAGGAGATATAGATTAATTAGAACGACTAAGTAGATAGTACACACGGGACTAATAGCCCATTAGTAGTGTAGGTGCTGTTAATTACAGGTAAGTGCTATTGACTGATACCTTATTATGTAACGTATGAACTCTACCCTACCTGAAAACGAAGCATTATAATATGTACACTCCAGAGTATCAATAATAACGGCACAAGTATTTATCAATCAGGCACTGAGTATTGTATTAACTATGGTCGTAAATTTGCTTACAAAATAGGAACCCTGGATAGCTCGGCCAACATCGGGCTTTGTGGTCTGAATCGCTTCACAAAACGGTTTGTGTTTCTCTGAAAGCTGAAAAGTTGTGTCATTGGGACAGTTTATCACAAAACTACCATGTAATACCTTAAATAAATTATCGTTAATTCACTTGTGTAATATGACCTAACAGAACATTGATTGACTGTTGGTTTCCATTGTTTTCATTATGGCTTCATAGCTTCATGGCGTCAGTTCAGAATTACCACGCCATGACCAGCCAACGAATGAAAATAGCATTAACTATAGTCTTTGTGATTCTAAAAGTTGAATGTTCAGACGAATCGTTGTCAAATGTCTCCAATAGATAATAAACAGAATCTGATACTCTTTTCAATAACACTGCAGATTTATGAGACTCTTCGTGAATTTTTCATTTTAAATCGCTATTAGAACGAATGTGTTTCCAATAAAACAATAACGACAGCACGGACAAACAGATTATAGAATTGACGAGACAATCTGCCCCTTTATCAACACACAAATATTAGAAAATTACATCAAATATATATAGAATATAAAACAAATACAAAGTTATGAACTTAATCCAGAAAACGGTAGTGTCTTGATAGTCCCTTCAGCAGATGGACCCCGAAGGTCCTTTGTAGGGAGCACAAAACCGTGTCAAAATTGGTTTCATTAGAACACTTCATCGTGACGTCATCACATTAACGGCACGTTCATAAACATTTTGAGTACGTCAGCATACAGTAAATGTGATGGCAAAACCATTTACACTTGAGTAAATAATTTTATTTCGATGAATAGAACCAATGGGGATGGTAAGCTTTATTTAGAGACTATGTAGCACACATTTACTTATTACAGAATAGTGTGTATAGAGAATACTACTACCAACAGTCTAATCGTACCAATAACATCTTACAACCATTCTGACATTTCGGTGATTTGTCCTATGATTGTAAACTAAAAACTTTTTTTTCTGTGTTTAGGTGACGATACCACTGACCATCGAACTGGAGCCGGACACGTGGGTAGTGATTATAGAACAACTACTCCTTTACTTTATGATACTCGGTAGATGGATACTTCCTCGAGGTAAAATTTCCCGGAACGAGTTATCTCAGCTGCTTTTTGTTTTTATTGGAATGGCGTCAGATATTACTGAGCTTTTTGCTCTGTTTGACGAAGCACCGGTCCGAAAGAGCCTCGAATTGACGTACGTCATTTTGATTATGTGGTCAGTAAGCCTACTCCAGTTCTGCTTCGTCCTCACTGCCACAAAGAATCCTTCTCGTCCCCGTGTGGCATTAGCGTCTAAACGGGACATGCGTAGAAAGCTGCACTGTTCGACCTGTTACACCACGGAGCTATGGAGTATATTTGTGCTGATGATGATGCAGGATTTACCTTTCTTAGTAATTCGTACCTACACCATAATCTCTCTTAATCTAATTACATATAGCATCATCTTTTTTACGTCTAAAAACATTCTTATTGTTCTTCTTCTCATCTACCGTGTGGCTGTCATATGCTTCGTGAAAAAGGATGACGATGACAACGATCAAGGAAATACATCATCTACAGCCGAAAACAATGTTCAGAGAAAAAACAAGACAGATGGTCATCTCGAAAGTATATCAGTTATAGAACACAAGAACCATTACACACCTGTTAACAAACTCAGTCATAACCACCTACCCACTCATCGCTTACATCTTCCTACAAAAGGGTATACATGGAATGGCTATCACAATAAGGGAGTTAAAATAAATCCTCATATGCTGACACTCTCTGCCAGAAAACACCATATACCGAAACAATACATTTACCACAACTCTAGGAATCTGGGTAGTTTGTGAGGACAAACCCATCTACATCAAACACGAAATATATCGACCATTGACTCAAATTCAGTTACTTTTTCCTGCAAATTAGAATATTTTAGTCTAGAAAACACTAGATGTTTGGTTGCCGTTAAAGCAAAATGAATATAAATTATTTCATAGGAAACATTTTTATTTATATTCACACCCTAAAATGTATGTATGTATTGTATTATTTACTAAAAAAAAAGAGAATTCGTGAACTGATCTCAATCCTGGTTTGTAAGAAAGAGGTTTAATTCTTCAGATTTACTCGAGGAAAAGAGAATTCGTGAACTGATCTCAATTCTAGTTTGTAAGAAAGAGGTTTCATTCTTCAGATTTACTCGAGGAAAAGAGAATTCGTGAACTAATCTCAATCCTGCTTTGCCAGAGAGAGGTTTAATCACTATGTCATATCAAATAAGTGTTAAACAATTATTTTGAATTATTTTCTTTTTCCACTCTCTGTCCAATTTTTCAACTTTATTCTTATAATCCTACCGTCATAAAATGTTTCTATCAACCCTTCCTTCACCTGTATTCGTGTTGATTGTTGTTTACATTTTAGAACTTAGAAATATAACTTGTACATTAAAATACCAACTATCTGCAACGAACAATATGAACCATGAAATGTTAGGACGACAGACTATTGATTAGGGATCTAATTCCTGTGATTTGTGTACGTGATTAATAGGTAAATCAATTATGCTGTTGGTTAAAGCCTCTATACTTGTCTGGAGACACGATTAAATAAAAAACCGTTTGATATGATTAAAATGTGCCTACCACGTGAATTAGTATTAGTCAATCAACTATTGGGCACTTACGTCAGTTCGTATTACGACTAATGGCCGTCATTTTCTCAAGTAGCATATATGAAAAAAAAAATCAAAATGCAATTTTGAAAATTATTTTTTTACCAGTAAGTTAACTGGTTTTTAACAAATGCACTGAAGAGGTACATGTAGATAAGCATCGTTTCCTACTTCATGTTGATAAGGTCAAAATCTACAGTAATTGCCGTAACTCTTGACACTTTCTGATATCAATGTGACCCCTGTCCTTCTTTATTTACATAAATTACCACGCATGTCGTGAAAGATCACCTTTTAGTTGTGGAATGTTATTGACTTTTGAGTACTTAGGCGACAATAGAAGTCATAGCACGTGTTCTCTGTGTATCATAGACTATAAGACGAACATATGACAATGTTTGATGCAAATCAATGCATAACAATTATTGAATATACTTCCTTTGAACTGCCTGGGCAATGATTTGCTTTATAAATTAAACTTGCACGAGCATGTAGCGAAGGGGTTTTAGTATTGTTTCCAACTTCCTTTTACATATCCTAAGACATAAATTCGTCTGTGGTATCAATTTGTCTATAAATAGCAATATTCGATACATATTTTGTCCTCATCATCCTTTGATGTACAAATATTTTTGTATTTAATCACATCACCTATAGTGGGGCAATAAACAGCATCGTTAACGTTACTAGTGTGAGTTAGCAAGGCTATTAATGTAGGGCTGATTAGTATGGCTGTGGTGTTCGTCTAGGACAGGTGAGAACCTGATTGACAATCCCTGGCACGTTAATGAAATAGCAGGTAATGATTGCTAGGGCTGTAAACCTGTCTTTAATCTGATTTAATCATCCAGTGTGAAATGTAGCTGACGTATGTTGCTCACGCCATCAACGGTTTAATGTCGCACTTTAATGTAACTCGGTAAAAAAAATATCAAAAACAACACTTTAAAATGGTTATACATATTACACCACTGGAAATGATGTTAAAGAAACTTCACCAATTCACTTGTACCAAATCACCTAACATTTTCACTACAGCAACATACTCTGAAATCAGTGTCTCAGTATCGGGTTCCTCTGTAATGGCACCTTAAAATTATTTTCATAGTAAGTGTAAATGGCAACTAAAATGTATAAATCTCTTGTAGACACAAAGAAACGAGGTCAGTATGAATCCTGTGTGTTTTTCTACCGCAAAGTATACCTTAGGTACATGCACCTGTTATAATGTAATAATGGAAAATAAATAAGTGTGTTTTACCTTCAGTGTTCCGTGTTCCAGTTTATCTCTTAATCATTTATTTTTACCAGTGACACACAGTCAAAACCTTACTTATTTTACCTCGTGTGTCTCAATCACCCTCACAGCATACATCTGTAAAGGCAATATTGCTATTTCATTCATACAAAGCAAAACAAAAAGTGGTTCTTTCGCGAATTCACAATTTGGATTGCTTGACGATACCGAGCAACGTCGTTTGAAATGATGCAGATTGTCTTTATGATTTTGTGATTTGATACATTAGCAAATACAACAGATATCAACATATCCTTAAAGTGAGAGCACAGGGGTCGTTCTAATAACCTCAAAAAGCGTTGTATTTGCCAAATGACATATTCCAAAATATTGTCGCACTTGCTGTCATTTTTAACCTAATTTGTATGTGATTTTCCGTCAGCGGCGACATATGTTTAAATTGACAAGACATCAGCACATGTGTTTATCTGAATTTGAAATTCAAGGACAACGTGAATGCTGTTAAACATTTTCTGATCTGTGTTTTGCCAACTGTCTGATTGAAATATTTGCCATCGAAAACGGCAGTGATTTAAAAAAAATATCCAGCATATTTTGTTGGCATCCTCCTTAATCATGGTAATTTAATTAATCATTATTCAAGAGAGGTCATGACTATGTCTTGTTTTGTCGTTTACCTTTATGGAAACGAAAACTCAGATGAAATGACGAACGCAATCCATCCCATCCCCCGCTTGAATATAGCGAGTGGTGGGATGATCTGACGTTTGGAGGTCGGGGCGGAAATGTATGATGAGCTGCAGTAGATGTCAAACTTAATTGGTCACGACCATTCTTTTTTATGAAAAGGTCAAATCAAATATGGATGTCAAATGGTCAATTATACACTGAGCAATTACTAATTAGGAGCCGGTATTTAAATCTAAAGAGTAATTATCCTTGGTCATTTCTCTCGAGGGATAACCTATTCATCGTACCAAAGGAACGGGTAAGATCTTTCTTTAATGTTAATACCACCATTATGGATACATTTTGTTGTGTATATGCTTTCCAGTATTTTGTTATACTATTTTACAAAGTCTGCAATTTGATTTCAGAGGAAAAAATATGTAATTTTTGTGAAAGAAACTGAACTGAATATTTCGTGATCAAAACTCTTCAGGAAAAAAAATGACATTTGCCAAACTTGGAACTTCCATAAATTTAGAAATATGTGTTCTATGTGTTCTAAAAAAATGGTCAATACTACACTGCACGAATGTACCAGCGCCACACCCACACGAAAAATGAATCCCATTTCTTTTTATATTATCATATTAAATTGTAAATTAATAAATCAATAAACTACTCAATTAATTGTATACGTTATAAAAAAACTACAATCGAATAATTTGTCAAACAATGCCAGCATGTTTGCTTTCAATTTACTTTATTTTTTGTCAATAACATAATTAAGTCTGTTTACACATAATCGTTCTGTCTGAATATTTTATCGAGGTTATATTAAACGTTAAACAACGATAACATGATAAGTAAACAAACGTAACATATCTCTCAGGACATTTTATGGTGCATACTCAGTGCATTTCCTAAAAACGGCAACCAGTTATAGAATTATATGTGACGTTTCAATGACTGTTACCGCCATCGGACAAGTGACATGACTATCAAAACAAAAAATATATAAATAAACCCACATTTATGAAAGTCATCGCTATTTGTTATAGAGAGATTTGATATTTAACTACAATTTGATTGATATAATTACAGCGTGACTAGTTAAGGGTAGTTTTTGGAATTGAAATTCTTTGATAAGCAAATCATCGGTTCTGGTATCAAATACCTTTAAACACGTTATAATCCAATCCATCATTGTCTTGTTGTGTAGTCATGAGGAAAATTGCATTAAGTTGCACGTACAATACCAGAATTGAATAATTGAAATGTGATTGTTCTGTTTTTCTGATGTTATGAACAAAGAACTATACGAACATTTATAATAAACATCTATACATTTTAATACATTTAGCAATGTATCAGATACATCATATGTTAAACAATAGAGTGAACTGCATATAGCCTTGTTGCGTCTTTCTTGTACTCGTCGGTGTTGAATTCTAGCTGGCGAGTTAAGAAAACCATAATCGGACGATACAGGCTTCAAGTATTAATGGGGCCTCCACTGAACCGCTACTTCATTGAATGTCGTAAATCGTAATAATTGGATTAATTAACGGAGCATAAAATATGTGTATGTATTACATGGGAAGTCCGTGCGGTTATGACAGAGACAAATAGCAGATTCTACATTTTGTAATCTAAAAGGTTGTACCAAACACTGAGTATTTTAGATAAAGACTACATCAGATAAGGTATGAACACTAAAAACGTTCAACGATGATTTGTTGCTGACAATATTACGTTAATATACTACAGGGAAAGTGTTCCATGATGAAACAGTTCCTTGTGCTGGTGCTTGTGGCCCTCCTGGGAGTACGAGGGGACAATGATAACGATAACCAACAAAGCAGCGGTGGAGATGGTGGTGGCAGCTGGACAAGCGGCAGCAGTTGGACAAGCGGTGGCAGTAAATCACATAGCAGTTCATCTTCTAGTCATGGAAAGGAAAGTCATGTAAAATCCAAAGGATCCCATGTTGTAGAAACCATTCCTGTTCATACGTACCAGCTGCAATATGTCAAGGCACCACCCACTGAGGTTCGCACTGTGTACCAGCACGTACCTACTCCCTATTTCGCCGGGTATCGCGACGGAGGATTCCACAACCGTGGTTATAATGGAGGCTGGGACGATGGATACCAAGGACCTGTGCACATCAGTTACTCCACGTTTAACCATGTATATGGTCCTAACGGTGGATATGGATCTGGCCCCGGTTGGTACAATGGTGGTCCAGGTGGTTACTGGGGTGGTTACGGCAGGCCAGGTTTCGGAGGACCTGGCTTTGGAGGACCCGGTTTTGGAGGACCTGGATACGGAGGACCTGGTTATGGTCCTGGGTACGGTCCTGGTTACGGTCCCGGTTATGGTTGGCAGGGAAATCATGGTGGCTACGGTAACTACAGAGGATACTCAAAAGGCGTAAGTGTTATCAAAAGGGTCGATTAAGAACTCATTAATCTGTTTTCACTTTATGGTCGTGATTGCCAGTTTATGTACAGAAAAAACATAGCTTGGGCCGTGAATGCGTGTTAATAACCTTATGATTCTAAATATCGAAAAATAAGCCTATCCAGAAAACAAACCTATAGTCTCGTACATAAACAAACCTATAGTCTCGTACATAAACAAACCTATAGTCTCGTACATAAATAAACCTATAGTCTCGTACATAAATAAACCTATAGTCTCGTACATAAATAAACCTATAGACTCGTACATAAATAAACCTATAGACTCGTACATAAATAAACCTATAGTCTCGTACATAAATAAACCTATAGTCTCGTACATAAATAAACCTATAGTCTCGTACATAAATAAACCTATAGTCTCGTACATAAACAAACCTATATTGGCATAATATTAAAGAAAATCAGCCGCGTCCTATTTCCGAGGTTTTTAGGATGGTCAGTATATGCGAATCAATCGTATCCTATTTTTGAATTTGAGTTTTTAGAACAGTCTGTTTGTTCGACTAAGTGCTACTACCTAAAATGCTTGACATTCAAAGTTTTGATCTTTTATCTTTTACCGTCGTTGTTTCCTTGTGTTACTAATAATTTTACTCCAGTTATATACGCTCATTAGATCAAATTGAAAGGAATGAATAACGATGTATTAAAGAAATCTAATACTTTTAACATGATGCTTTGTCATGTAAGTCTAAACATGTCAAATTTATCGATTAAAACTAAAAGCATGAAAATAAAACCTATGTAGTGTTAAAGCTATGCACAAAATTTGTATCTAATTGATATAATGCTGTTAAAATCATAGACATACCTTGAATATAATTACCATAATGCAGTTTACTTTTGTTTTATTTCAGAAACCCTACTGAAGAATTCGGCTCATATTTAAATGATGTGATAAAACTGTGTCAAACTGCTTTTCTGAGACATTTTCTTTTTCATTATGTAATAAATCTATTTCTTAAGAACAGCTTTAATAAAATTGCCCTATAAAAGAGCTCGTCTACGTCATTAAATGGCATGGACAGGGTGGATATTGCCTATGGTCAGTATGTATATATTGTCAACAGCTTACATCAATCCTATGGTTTAGATGAAATACGTCTAACACAGCAAGGAACCGTGAACTGTTTCTGTCTTTGATTGTAAAGTTAACCATCTGACTATCTACGGGATTATAGACAAGTTGATACTTCACCGTCGTTATAACAATAACGACACAAACAGTTGTCTAGCAACGGCGTAAAGTGCCTACATTGCTAGTGAAAACATGAATTTAGTTTTGAATAAAGCTTTAAAGAAAATATTGATTCATCAATTGTTTTGTTTGCTCATGTTTCTGTGATATTTTGTCAAGTGCATGGCGATACGACAAAAAGAAACTAACACACAGACAGCTTTTCCTCAACAATCGTTTCAAGTAAATAACCACCAGTTACTCAAAATCTGACAACTGTCGACACGTAAAAGAGTTAAGATCTGGAATGATCTTCCATTCCATGATACCTTTGGAACTCAATGTTGATATCTTGTTAGAGCTGGTTGAATGATTGGTGAGGCTGGTTAGACCTTCTTACAATTGATAATTCAGGATTTACTGTATTTTGTTATGTTAATGAAACCTAACACAGAAACGTGCAATCTAAATCTTTGTGTTATGGACCTTTACCACCAACATATCTAAGTCCTTATAATTTAATCACAAATCGCAATGATTATAGTGCATTTTTTGGTCATTTCTTACATCGCTGCATAGTCGAATCGTGACGTCAATGTTTATATTTATGAGGTATTAACATAAAGGATTGTCCAAATCAAAATTAATTGATGTTTCATGCCAGAATATATAATTCGCAAAAAAAATACAAATATCACATTTTTAATCACACCAAGATTCTCTTGCAATATTTTTCTTAAATATAATGTACAAAGCTGTGAAATTAATACCGAAACTATAGAGAATGCACGATCACTAATTGACGTTGTATTGCTCGACGTGCGACCATTTACAGGACATAATTGACTTACACAAGACCACAACCATCCTCTGTAGCTTATTCCTACCTACCTGACGTGTGACACAATGGTACAGAACATTAAAAGGCAGAAGACTGGGAGCGGCAATTTATTGCATGCTTGTAAACGCTCGGCACGTCTCTCAACGAATAGACATTTGAAAAAGAAAGATATAGGTTTGTACAAATACATTAATAAGAAGCAAAATTGTACAAAAGTGAAAAGCACTTTATAATAAATCAGAGTTAGCCAAGCAATAAATTAAACTGCACCATACGGCTGTTTCGTTCTTATAGGACTCGTCAGTGATGCTTAAGGCCTAAATTTTGAAGCCTAAGAGACGAATGAGGTAAATGCAAAGTCAACAATCCCATATTTAAATAAATATCGTAATTTTGATAGATCAGATAATTTTAGAACAACGTCAAGTACGTTTGTACAACGCGACTATCAATAGTACATGTGCTGTGTATGTAACGTTGATTCCAATGTGATCCCTACAACCATGCTTATATGAATACGTGACATTAATTCAGAGTGAAATGTGTGGTAACTTTCAGGTGATAAATCGTTTATGTATGACATTATTAACCTTTATTAATTAGAAGTGACATTACATTAGTGTATGCATACACTCTGACATTTAGAATCACGGTTAATCATGGTCCTGATGGTTGTAAACAGAAAACGTGCCATCAGTGATCAATCATAATCTAGGTCAGACATTTACAGAATACCAATAGACCCTAATTATATTGTTAAATGTATCGTGTTTGTCTTTTGAATTTTTTGTTCCTTTTGTGGTACAATTGAGAATATCATATTGTAGCTATGGAACAGTCAGCGATCTACAAAATTACATTTATTTTGCAAGATTATATTTTCCGAAAGGGTACTTAGTTTATAACGAACCTAATAATGATAAAATACAAATTCATGTTCCAAGGTTGACCACAAGACCACACGACAAATTACCAAACAGAGTAAAACGCCCATGTTCGATTAAATAAGAATGTTTTTATTAAAACTGTAAATTTGCACGAGGAAATGAGGAGATCAGTCGATCACATTGGATTTTTCTCAGCCGCCTCTTAGGCTTCAAATTTTAAGACCTGGACATAACTGACGAGTCTTACAAGGACAAAACAGCTGTATAATGCAGTTTAATTCCTTGTTTATTGTATCTCACTCTAAATCAGTAGCGGATGGTATTTCTCTTGTGTACAATCTTTCTAAACCAAAAGAGAGATTGTTCTGGTGACGATATTTTGAACCGTAAGATTTCAGAAAGTTATCTCAAGGAGCATAAACATCAGAATATGTGTAGCAGGTCCATTTTCACATGTCATTCTTCATATTTTGATAACAGACACTATTTATTATTTATTATTTTCGCGGCAATCTTTTACCGAATATCTTTCTCAAACAAAATATCATCATTACAGAGTATTGCAAATTATTTTGTTTCCGTAGGTAAGTCCAAAAACATGGCAAAATGTTCTAAAATACTAATATTTGTATTTGATGTATCGAAAATTGGAAAACAAAAATCATTTTTGTCAATTGTCAAATGAGAAAATATGTCAGATGGCAATGAACCATGAAGTGAACCAGATTTCAAGTCAATTAGACATTTGTCAGAAGGATTATGGCTAAATGCATAAATTAAATCTGGAAAATACACTTTAGGCTTTAAAAACGTCCAAAAACTTGTCAAATATGTGATAAATACTAAGCATTTGTGTAATAGTATCCTCTGTCAGAAATCAGCATTCTAAATTCCTTATCAACTACATGACAAAACTGAACACTGAAAACATTAAATAGTCCAAAGAACATTAAAAATTGGGTTTGGGTTAAATAAGGAAAACAACTGTATTATATGTTAAATGGTTCCAATGCGTGAACAAAATTCCAAGCCTGTTCGATGCTATGCAAATTGTAATTTTCAAAATGCTAAGACGGACAAAATTGTGTTTATGGGGTTTTTTTATAAAGGGGGAATAACTCTCTGAAAAGGGAGGTAGGGCTGCAAAGTCACTTCAGGGGGCACACCTCCATATTGTTATGGCCGTTCCCACAATATCTCAAAGATCTGTTGTAAGCTGAGCAAGTGCACAGTCGGACATAGTTTGTCTTCAGACAGACAAGCTTAGTCCAGTACATACACACACAAAATGGTTATAAAACGAGGGGGCTGTGTTTAAAACAAACAGCCAGTGTTTGTCCAAGATCAGGAGACAAGCTTCGACATAACAGAAAGTGGTCAACAGTCAGAATTTAAAATTTGTAATTAAAAGCGATAATCCACACAAAATTTATACTACAGAGAACTGCTTTAGCAACAAGATAACGTTGAAATAATTAAAGACATTAAGGGAATCATGCCCTCAAGACAGATCCACCAGCTTAATGTCTTCATAACGTCATAGAACGTTTCGCTGTTAAGCTGATAACTGTGTATAACAAAGCATTTAAAAAACACGAGAGGGCCAATCTATTACCTTGGAATTAATTTTATATTGAATTATGTCCTACTTCTGTTAAACATCAGAGGATTACAGCCTTGACATAGAATAACAAAAGCATAAATATTTACTATTCACCGTATTATGAAGCATGTGGTGAAAAGCAAAAAACACTCTTATTTTTGTTTTACTTCCCAGAAAAGTATATACTTAATGGATAACATTCTTTATTTTTGGGACGATATTTTTATTTTTGAAAATAATCTTTTAATAAATGTGATTGAATGATACTGCTTGATAAAAACAAATTTTGTGAAAATGCTAAAATTTCGTATTCACAACTACACTAGGCCGTGATTATCAATACTTTCCTGTATCTTCAGAAATCATATATAACGATTACGTTGTGTTTGGCAGTGGTATTAAATGTCCCTAAAACACTACTTGTTATTTAAAATGAATTAGATTCGCTTACCTTTTCACTCTAGTGAACATATGAAAGGAGGAGTGCCAGTTTGGGCCTTCTGGTGGCCATGACGAATACTTTTTATTTTTTGTCTATTAAAAACTTGAAGTCAGGCGGTAATGACATGACATTAATCTAAGGTCAGCTCAAGGCTGTTCAGTTGTTATAGGGGGGACGATTGGGGGATCAAATTCATAATTATTGCAATAGTTATCAAACTAAAACATTTCTTTTTAGTTTTTTTCTCTTAAATGTCATTTGATGATATATTTCAAAACCTTCATTAGAAAAAATGACCAAAAAATATGCCATTGTCGAAAAGTAGGTCACGGTAATTAAGTGCCCTAATTACTAATAAAGTCACATTTGGCAATTTTTGACCCGTGTGACCTTGAATATATATTAAGGTCATTTCTTTCAAAAACTTCGTTAGGCTGCCTCTAGGCCTATAAGCTTATGAGAAGTAGTCGTTTAAGGGTTTTAACAAATCTTTACCTGGTGGCCTTGGATATAAATCTAGGTCATTTCTTCTCGCAAGCTTTTTTGAGCTTTATCCTAGAACACTCAAGCCAAATATCATGCCTAAAGGCCCTTCAGTTCATGACATGTTGTTTAAAGGATTTGAAAAAATTCTAACCCTGTTACCTTGAACATAGGTCAAGGCCATTTTTCCCTAAACTTTGTCGTGCTCCATGTTAGGCCTTTTAGTTCATGAGATGGAGTAATTAAAAGGTTTTAACAAATCTGACCCCTGTGACCTTGAATAAAAGTCGAGGTCATTTCTTTTCACAACTTTGTCGGGCTTCATCCTAGGAACATACTAGCCAAATATCAAAAGATTTGTTCCAGTGGTCACTGAGAAGAAGTTGTTTAAACGAAAAAGTTGAGACTGGACGATGGATGGACAACGGACACTGTACCACATCACAAACTCACTTGGCCTTTTAGGACAGGAGTGCCAATAAATCAATAATGAATCTCACATTTCTTAAGACAATTTTTTTATTCGCCACTTAAGTATAATAAATAATAAATATGTATATTGAAATCTTTAATGACTGAGTGTAGACAGAAAATAACAATTTGATCACAAAGCCATGTTAAATAATTTATCACTGTCAAAAACAGAACATGTTGACAAACAAAACATGCATTTCCCTCCAAGAATTGCATAAGGGATTTCTATATATCACAAATAGATATAAATAATCTGTAACCTAAATACATTCACAAAACAAACTGTTCCTTTGTATCATAATGAAACCATGTAATATTGTTCTTCTTTCATATTGTTTACATGTTACTAACATGTCGCTTCACATAAATGCATATTTCTTGAAATTCTCTTAACGATCACAAACATTTAATTTTGTGTTGTTAACAATTTCACACACCTCAAAAGTCATAAAATGTAATATAACACAAATCTAACAGACCATACATCATCACTTTTGTTGTTGTAATGCCCCTATTCATTTTTATAGATATATCGCTTGTGATATTCTGTAGATATTCTTTCACTAAAACAGATAGTGGGGTATCATTTGAATGGTGTTAAAATGATGTCATCAAATGAAATACATTTGCAGGAGTCTTTCTCCATTTAAAATGCAATTATCATAGATAACAGATAAATTTAAAATACTGGCTTCCATAAACTGTGATACATACTGAGTAATAATGGATTTGAGCAGAGTGGTTGATGTAATAACACATGATTGATCTTAGTGTAGTTCACGAGTGAGCAGTCTTAGTCGTTTAATACACTTACAGCTTACTATTGTCATTTCATTACATCCAATACACTTTTCATTTAGCTAGGGAGAGTTAAATAACAAAATGATCCATACACATTTGATCATAAATGACATTCTAATGGATAAATTGTTAGACACGCACTCTTGATTACACAAAGGCATCTATTGGTCAAGCTGTACATAAAAGTTTACAAAATAAATATTGGATATCAGCAATTTGAAAACATGATTTCTATTCTAATCACCGTACCATAATTTGAAACAATGAAAATATCCAAAGTTGACATAATTTAATACCATACTACGACTACAATCCCAGGTCTACAAAATTTACTTTTGTACTTGTATCACCGCCAATAAAATATGATTGTGATTTCATTTAAACAAACAAACATTCATACTTTTTTAACTAGTATTTGTTATCTCCCCTTACTATTACATTTAATATTAGAGATGTATATGGAGTAATGACTTTGTGTATCTTATTTATATAAGATTTCCAAAGAACCAAGATTTACTTCATATTTACACCATAGTATTACAACCTGAAGTTCTATACTTGACTAGATATTGGTCAGCATAAACTAAGGTAAGAAGGTCAAAGGTTGACTTTTTGACATTGGTCTGGAGTTGATGAACTTCAGATCGATATAAAAAAGTTGATAGAACATTAGAATAATTTGGATTAAGCTACCACTTGACAACACTGTAAAATACCCGAGGGCAGGACCAATTCTTTGTGAGTCCTTCCTTACTTTGCTTGTATTGTCTTCATACTATTAATACCTATATATACATTTTATTTAAGCAATAAGTTGTTCCAATAAGGCAAGAAACAATGAAAAAACACTAACACAATATGTCCTACAACAATGATGACAACATCACACGATTGTCATGGTATCATCTCTAACAAATAACACAGGATTCTCACTTAATTATAACCAAGGAATTCTAGTCATAAGGGTGCACAAGATGATTTTGAAATGTGAAATAAATGATTTTTTGTGACATAAAACTTACATTTATCACCTTGTCCATAACAATAGTTGAAATAAAAAAATGCCAAGAAGGATGTAATGACCCAAGGGAGCTAATCAGCTTTCTCTTCTAAATGAGTATTTCTGTATAAACAACAACAGCTTTGAAGTATAACAACCTTTACCATCTAAATTCCAATAAAAATTGTTAGATTTTTTTTCAACATGAAGTAATCAATCTCTAAAACAAAAACATATATAGATTAAAGTCTAAATAAACAGATGTTTCTAGTCATCCTGCTGAACAAAGTTCTGTGTAGTGTCTTATATAATAGTATCCTATACAACCTGCACAGTCAGTGACTGTGAAGCTTACCAAAGGCAGCCATACCACAATACTCATATATTTCCTAATCAATCTTCATGTAAAGAATCACAGTATCATCTGTTCATGAATAATTAATTATTTTTGTCAAAATTTTAAGCACAGTCACCACTACACCACATACAGGAGCTTGGCACGGTAAACAGTCCCAGTCACCACTACACCACATACAGGAGCTTGGCACGGTAAACAGTCCCGGTCACCACTATACCACATACAGGAGCTTGGCACGGTAAACAGTCCCAGTCACCACTACACCACATACAGGAGCTTGGCACGGTAAACAGTCCCGGTCACCACTATACCACATACAGGAGCTTGGCACGGTAAACAGTCCCGGTCACCACTATACCACATACAGGAGCTTGGCACGGTAAACAGTCCCAGTCACCACTACACCACATACAGGAGCTTGGCACGGTAAACAGTCCCGGTCACCACTATACCACATACAGGAGCTTGGCACGGTAAACAGTCCCAGTCACCACTATACCACATACAGGGGCTTGGCACGGTAAACAGTCCCAAATCTAGAGGCTAATATTGGTCATCACTATACCACATACAGGAGCTTGGCACAGTAAACAGTCCCAGTCACCACTATACCACATACAGGGGCTTGGCACGGTAAACAGTCCCAGTCACCACTATACCACATACAGGAGCTTGGCACAGTAAATAGTCCCAGTCATCACTATACCACATACAGGAGCTTGGCACGGTAAACAGTCCCGGTCACCACTATACCACATACAGGAGCTTGGCACGGTAAACAGTCCCAGTCATCACTATACCACATACAGGAGCTTGGCACGGTAAACAGTCCCAGTCACCACTATACCACATACAGGAGCTTGGCACGGTAAACAGTCCCAGTCACCACTATACCACATACAGGAGCTTGGCACGGTAAACAGTCCCGGTCACCACTATACCACATACAGGGGCTTGGCACGGTAAACAGTCCCAAATCTAGAGGCTAATATTGGTCAGCACTATACCACATACAGGAACTTGGCACAGTAAACAGTCCTGGTCACCACTATACCACATACAGGGGCTTGGCACGGTAAACAGTCCCGGTCACCACTATACCACATACAGGAGCTTGGCACGGTAAATAGTCCTGGTCACTACTATACCACATACAGGAGCTTGGCACGGTAAACAGTCCTGGTCACCACTATACCACATACAGGAGCTTGGCACGGTACACAATCCCATGCTTCCTGTCAGGATATCCCATACAGCTGCAGGTAATGTTATAAGCATTTTGTTTTAAGCCAGGATACACAATTACAATGTTAAGAAATGTTATTTACAACATACACTGTAATGAAAGTATCCATTATGTTCCATACATCAAATTGATCACATTATGCATAAATTTTGCAAATCACTTTTTTTTTTAAATATTGCCATTCCTGAACTAGTGGTGACGGGTGTCATGTTTATTTAACTCAAGTTATTAATTTTAACATTCTTGTTCAATATATATATATATATATATTTGATATATATCAATACAATATATCCTGAGCACTTTTTTTCTCAATTAACCAATCAATTAATAAAAGTTACACAAACAAGACACCCATCTCTATTAGCAACCTGTTTCTCCTGTAACATGTCCTAAAAGTGATACATGTTTATAATTTGAGTGATACAGTGACTAGTAACAGGCACAATTCAACAGACAAACATGTCATTGTTTTTTAACTGAAGGCTTTCTGAAAAATAGCAAAATTGTTTCCAAGCTTGGGAACGGCCATTCAAATTCATTAGGCACAATACCATCACACTTGGATTCAAAGAATGAAAAAAGTGGAAACCATATCCGCCTGCGCTTTTTGTCACGCAGCATAAGTGAACGGTTGTTGGCAAGGACATGGTAGTAGAGAAAAAGTCTGGAGGAGATGTAGAAGGCGATGAAAACATCAATGGAGTAGTGTTCATGGGCAGCCAGGATGAAGAAAATGCCAAACATATTGGCCACCCATGTAAGCATGTGTAGATAATACGAGTTGTACTTTCCCTGTCGTGGAGTATCTGTAAAAAGAAATGAGTGAGGTTATTGTTTTGTCTTACAGACTAACTAATAATATCACATTATTCCTGTGAATGTGTGCTTCATTATCTGTTAGATGGTGGTATTATCAGAGTGACTTTTTATATCATGATCCACGCACCGATACATTACACTTCTGTCTTCTCTCACTCTCCTTCCCTATTGTCTATAATAATTTAAAGAAAGCCAATCTCCTACTCTGATTTGGTGTCTACCTGTATTAGGCTGTAACCTACCAATGTGTTTTTAAGTACAAGTAAAAAAGATTTTTCTTTACCTTCGCCAAAATACAGCTGAAATTACGAGACAGAGACTATATATTCCCTATGTGCCCTCTGACAGAGAGATTTTGAACCTCCCTATATTAAAGTTAGGACCAGATTCGTCCTGTTGAGTATCACCTCAGGACATTCAGTACAATGTTCAATGACCCTAATCTTAATGCTTAATAGCTGTATGTATTTCTGAATCTGTCTCTAAATATGTCAAAAAGAAATGTTAAAATGAAGTATATACACAATACTGCATAAAGTTCACATTTCAAACAATGAGGAGAGGGAGAGCATGGAAAAGAAGTCCACCTTGTGGGCAGTTTGGGATGTTTTAGTATTGTACAAGTCACCTGAAGCTTCTGTTGTAAACTGTTCATAGTAAGTGTGACCATATGATCCAAGGCATTCCCAGGATGTCCCTCGACATCAAGTGTGATAATCCAACAATCGAACAGGGTAAGAAAGATGCTGAGTAAAACGCTTTCTTTAAATAGGGTTAAATTCAAAGTACAGGTCACAGTGACTTCAGTATAAAACAGGACAGTAGTTGCTAAAGACATGATTTGGTTTGAACAGCATTAAAAGTCAAAAGGCAGATCATAGTGACTTTGTTCATGCAAACAGCACTCCTCTTAATCAGGATGTTCTTTTAAAGCATATTTATTGTCCTATATGATGAAGAAGTAGATATACAGCAGTATGCTTAAAACAACATTATTTGTTGAAATTTGCTTGAAGATGCAGATATAGTTTACAGTGACCTTGGTAAGTCATTTCTGCCAAAGATGAAACAGGGTAAATGATATAACTAGAACAAGGATTTTCCATGAACAGAGTCAAAGGTCAAAATATGGGTCATATGTTTACATTTTTAACCGACATTCTCTTAACTTCCTAGGATGTACCGCTGACCAAGTTTGATGTTCTTACATGAAATAGTATACTGGCCCCTCAGAAATGTATACTACTAGAATATAGTAACCAATTGTAAACCTCATCATCACTTAGGAAGGACTAAGGACCAAAGAGATAGCACATCGCTAAAGTTTGAACTTTTCACCTCTGATAATTTGTGAGACATAGTGATAAATCTTTCCCCCCACCCAGAACCTACAGGAAAAAAACTTGATAGGATCACACTACATGGTGTGACAATGAGGGCTAATAAAAACCTCATTGGATCACACTACATGGTGTGACAATGAGGGCTAATAAAAACCTCATTGGATCAGACTACATGGTGTGACAATGAGGGCTAATAAAAACCTGATTGGATCACACTACATGGTGTGACAATGAGGGCTAATAAAAACCTGATTGGATCACACTACATGGTGTGACAATGAGGGCTAATAAAAACCTGATTGGATCAGACTACATGGTGTGACAATGAGGGCTAATAAAAACCTGATTGGATCAGACTACATGGTGTGACAATGAGGGCTAATAAAAACCTCATTGGATCAGACTACATGGTGTGACAATGAGGGCTAATAAAAACCTGATTGGATCACACTACATGGTGTGACAATGAGGGCTAATAAAAACCTCATTGGATCAGACTACATGGTGTGACAATGAGGGCTAATAAAAACCTCATTGGATCAGACTACATGGTGTGACAATGAGGGCTAATAAAAACCTCATTGGATCAGACTACATGGTGTGACAATGAGGGCTAATAAAAACCTCATTGGATCAGACTACATGGTGTGACAATGAGGGCTAATAAAAACCTCATTGGATCAGACTACATGGTGTGACAATGAGGGCTAATAAAAACCTCATTGGATCAGACTACATGGTGTGACAATGAGGGCTAATAAAAACCTCATTGGATCAGACTACATGGTGTGACAATGAGGGCTAATAAAAACCTCATTGGATCAGACTACATGGTGTGACAATGAGGGCATTGTGATCAGACAATGAGGGCATGGTGTGGTGTGACAATGAGGGCTAATAAAAACCTCATTGGATCAGACTACATGGTGTGACAATGAGGGCTAATAAAAACCTCATTGGATCAGACTACATGGTGTGACAATGAGGGCTAATAAAAACCTCATTGGATCAGACTACATGGTGTGACAATGAGGGCTAATAAAAACCTCATTGGATCAGACTACATGGTGTGACAATGAGGGCTAATAAAAACCTCATTGGATCAGACTACATGGTGTGACAATGAGGGCTAGGATCAGCTAATAAAAACCTCATTGGATTGGTGTGACAATGAGGGCAGATTGGATCACACTACATGGTGTGACAATGAGGGCTAATAAAAACCTGAAAAACCTGATTGGATCAGACTACATGGTGTGACAATGAGGGCTAATAAAAACCTCATTGGATCAGACTACATGGTGTGACAATGAGGGCTAATAAAAACCTCATTGGATCAGACTACATGGTGTGACAATGAGGGCTAATAAAAACCTCATTGGATCAGACTACATGGTGTGACAATGAGGGCTAATAAAAACCTCATTGGATCAGACTACATGGTGTGACAATGAGGGCTAATAAAAACCTCATTGGATCAGACTACATGGTGTGACAAAGAGGGCTAATAAAAACCTCATTGGATCAGACTACATGGTGTGACAATGAGGGCAATAAAAACCTCATTGGATCACAATGGTGTGACAATGGTGTGACAATGAGGGCTAATAAAAACCTGGATTGGATCAGACTACATGGTGTGACAATGAGGGCTAATAAAAACCTCATTGGATCAGACTACATGGTGTGACAATGAGGGCTAATAAAAACCTCATTGGATCAGACTACATGGTGTGACAATGAGGGCTAATAAAAACCTCATTGGATCAGACTACATGGTGTGACAATGAGGGCTAATAAAAACCTCATTGGATCAGACTACATGGTGTGACAATGAGGGCTAATAAAAACCTCATTGGATCAGACTACATGGTGTGACAATGAGGGCTAATAAAAACCTGATTGGATCAGACTACATGGTGTGACAATGAGGGCTAATAAAAACCTCATTGGATCAGACTACATGGTGTGACAATGAGGGCTAATAAAAACCTCATTGGATCAGACTACATGGTGTGACAATGAGGGCTAATAAAAACCTCATTGGATCAGACTACATCAGACTACATGGTGTGACAATGAGGGCTAATAAAAACCTCATTGGATCAGACTACATGGTGTGACAATGAGGGCTAATAAAAACCTCATTGGATCAGACTACATGGTGTGACAATGAGGGCTAATAAAAACCTCATTGGATCAGACTACATGGTGTGACAATGAGGGCTAATAAAAACCTCATTGGATCAGACTACATGGTGTGACAATGAGGGCTAATAAAAACCTCATTGGATCACACTACATGGTGTGACAATGAGGGCTAATAAAAACCTGATTGGATCAGACTACATGGTGTGACAATGAGGGCTAATAAAAACCTCATTGGATCAGACTACATGGTGTGACAATGAGGGCTAATAAAAACCTCATTGGATCAGACTACATGGTGTGACAATGAGGGCTAATAAAAACCTCATTGGATCAGACTACATGGTGTGACAATGAGGGCTAATAAAAACCTGATTGGATCAGACTATATGGTGTGACAATGAGGGCTAATAAAAACCTGAATGTTGCTACTCAAGGAAAAGGCTTCTTTGATATTAACCAATCAAGTGTTTTCCATATATGGTATGGTACTTACATTCAGTGATAAAGAAATTGAGGAGAGTAATACAAACAGTGTGTCCACTGAACATGTAATCTCCACATGTTCTCACCCCTGACAAAGACATGCCCATCCCCATCCAGATCTCCATGGTACGCTGTGCCTTAGCCCAAATGTCGCCATACATCTGTAAAGACATACATACTTTAAACAACTAATTTCTTAATTATCTGAATCATCATATTGGTAATCCTAACATATTTAGCTATTGTGAAGTTTTAACTGGAGTCCAGACTTACAAAAGGCGTGTGAGGTTTGTTATCTCCCCTTCAACATGTTCCCCATTATTTGTTCTTTTTCATGGTTTTTTTTTTTTCATTTTACATTGACGTAGCTGTGAACAACTTAAACACTTGTCATGTGAATCACATCTGCATATCTTGAACAACAAAGTTAACTGCATGCAAAATTCATTTGTTTTTTTTACCATTATTTACTTTCATAAATGCTTTACAAAAAAAGTAAATTCAAAGTTCGTTATCATAGTTCATTTGTGTGGCTAGGTGTTCAAAACGTTACCTTATCTTCCCTTCATAATGAAGATGCCACGTAGCCAGAACACTGACATTTGTCAGTGAGACAATAGCCAGACATAGAAGGAGTGAAAGAGACAAAAAACATGTCAATAGGCCTAGGTGTAGACAGAGTTATCTTACCTTTCCCTCACAATGAAGATAGGGGCTAGGTGTGGACAGAGATATCTTACCTTTCCCTCACAATAAAGATGGGGGCTAGGTATAGACAGAGTTATCTTACCTTTCCCTCACAATGAAAATGGGGACTAGGTGTGGACAGAGTTATCTTACCTTTCCCTCACAATGAAGATGGGGGCTAGGTGTAGACAGAGTTATCTTACCTTTCCCTCACAATGAAGATAGGGGCTAGGTGTGGACAGAGATATCTTACCTTTCCCTCACAATAAAGATGGGGGCTAGGTATAGACAGAGTTATCTTACCTTTCCCTCACAATGAAAATGGGGACTAGGTGTGGACAGAGTTATCTTACCTTTCTCTCACAATGAAGATGGGGGCTAGGTGTAGACAGAGTTATCTTACCTTTCCATCACAATGAAGATAGGGGCTAGGTGTGGACAGAGTTATCTTACCTTTCCATCACAATGAAGATAGGGGCTAGGTGTGGACAGAGTTATCTTACCTTTCCCTCACAATGAAGATAGGGGCTAGGTGTAGACAGAGTTATCTTACCTTTCCCTCACAATGAAGATAGGGGCTAGGTGTGGACAGAGATATCTTACCTTTCCTTCACAATGAAGATGGGGACTAGGCACAGACAAAGAAGTTATCAGCATGGTGATACAGCGAAGGAGATAAACTGTGCCGATGATAGAGAAAGCCCTCCTCAGTAAAATAAATCTAAAACAAACAGAACACATCAAATTATATACAAAACAAGAAATATGACATGCCCTCTGCCAGTCAAAGTCTGAGAGGAGAAGCGGACATCAAAGTAATATCAAGCACAGCAGGCTTCTCATTTCATACAATGTTTAAGGGGAAACAACTCGTATAGGATAAATGATGGAAGATAAGATTAGATCTTAAAGAGTTGTAATTAGTGGGAATCGGGAAAATTTTAAAAAGAAACTCTTTTTTTTTTTTTTATAAAGCAAATCATTTTTCATTTAGATGAAAACAGCCATTTCAAATTTCATCATAATGAACAACCCTCGAGGTGACCATGAACATTCTCTTCAGTAGTGATTAGATGCAGGCAGTTATTAGCATCATCATTATAGTAACATAGTCACCCCATCACTTCAGACCATTAAATTGTAGAGGGGATATTAATTCAAAGTATTGTCCAATATGAGAATACACTTGTGTCTTATGTTCTAACTTTATATCTACAACATGCGGTCATGTGCGACAATCCTTAGGATTTCTCCTTTTCCACTTGCAGATCACTGTGGCTTCACCAAAAATATGTCGCAACACATTATTACCAAACAAAGACTTACCTGTGCTTATGGAACACCAGCACAATACTCCATATTGTACCTAGGCAGACAGCAATGACCTCACAGGCTTCAAATGCCCATGGTGTATAGGGAATATTATCTAGGAATATGTCAGGAAGGGGTGGGTACTTATCAGTGTCAGGAACTCTATCATGTACCACAACCATTACAAAAGAAGTCACCAAGAATACTGAAAATGCATAGAGGAATCCCAGCAGTGTTTTCCATATTTCTGAGTCTAGATGTTTAGAGGGTCGAGGACTTCTATCCGAGTGGTAACGTTGTCTAGGTAAGTATTCATTATCATCTCCAGACCCAGAGTCTTCACTATCAGAGTGACTGATTTTCGTTCTTCTCTTCGACTTTAATGAAGAATTAAAACCTTTATTTTTCCTGTATTGTATATTTTCCTGGCTGTTAATGGGGAAAGCAGAATTGCATTCTGATTGTAAATCATAAATACATAACATTAATCGCTTGATATCTCCTAAAATTGCTAACTGGAGAGGAGGCTGACGCAGATCTGTCTCACTAAGTGTTAGTAACACCTTTCCATCAATCTTGTGTTTTATTCTGAACAAAGTCTTGTATTGGCTGAAGTTATTCTTTTCCAACCAATCGGCAACCTGGTCACAAGTCCATGTATCAGCGTCGGCCATGATGACTGTACTTCTGAAAATGGATAAAAACTTTCTTTCAATGATTATTAAACAAGAGGCCTAAGAGTCATAACAGTCACCAGAGTACTACAAAAGAGGTTTTTTTGTTGCTGTAACATATCAAAAAAATATTACTATGTGAAATGAGATCTGAGTGGAATTTTGACATCTACCCTTGTCAGAAATTTACTTGGTTTTAAACTGTTGGATTTTTTCTCTTCTTTCTTCTTGTCCCTTCTTGCTCTTTATTGTTATATGCAATTTGAGAATTCCTCTGAAGATAACGGGAAATAATCTTAAAAGTAAAATCAAAGATGGTTGACTGTCAGCAACTTTGTTTTTCAATGATCCACAGAAAATCTACTTTTTTAATGGTCCACGCAAAATCTACTCTTTCAATGGTCCACAGAAAATCTACTTTTTCAATGGTCCATTGAAAACCAACTTAGCAAATCTATGGAACATCCATATAGTCCTTCTCAAGAAATAGTAATAACAAACTTTTCTTTTTAAAGATGGCCACCTGTCAGCCTTTCATTTCATTAGAAATTACCTGGAGCTATGATAAATACCTGTTATTCTTACCCCATAATTATAGGCAATTAGGAAGCACATCATCTAGACAAATCTAGGTTAAAACAGTCTCACTTCATAAAAAGCTCTGGTGAAAACAAAGACCTTCATAAGGTATGTTACCAAGATTTTGTCTGTTTATGTTTACCCTGTTATTAAAGAAATTAAACAAAATGATTTTGTTGAGAACGTAGTTGTATAAAAAATATATAAATTGTTTATAAGAAGATGCCATAGGTCATTTAGGTAAGCAGGATTAAATTTGTAAATCTGTAATTAAAAATATTTTTTCATCAATTGAGATATCAAGTTTATCTTTTTACCTCAAAAAATAAGTTTGGTCTTCAATTAAATCAGATTTTTTCAAATGGAACTCATAATTGGTGTGAAATGAAGATTTCACATTGCTGGATATGGAGTTTGCATCACCCTCATAGCAAGAAAATATGTCTCAGGTTATCCCTAACAGTATTTCATTTCCATCAAAGTGATACAAAGTTTCCCTGGGAGTAAAAACTGGATCACACTAAATCAAAATTTTTTAACATTACTTGCATTATTAGTCTTAAGAATCCTAGTGTAGAAATGACGACAAAACATTTTTAATCAATGTGATGCATCAGAGTAGTGTTAACCTAAGGTTAAATAAAGGTCGGCCATTCCTGCTAGGACTGTTTTTGCAGTAAGGCCATATTTGTCTGTACATGTCCACTTCTTTACTATTGTGGTTGTTACTCAATAAATGTGGATCAAGTGATCTGTATTTTGGGGTGTCAGATGTTCCCCCGCCCCGAAAACCGTTTCGACCCAAACTATTTTGACCAAAATTTGTTTCAGAACACCCCAACCAATTTATAATGGTTAAGGAACATTAAGGTAGCACTGACATGTATGTATTTTTTAATTCTGAATTAATTAAGTTTAAGTTAAGTGATGTTATTGTATGTAAAGTTTACTTGCCATATAATACTGTTGTTTTCATAACATCTTTTCAGGCCCATGATCTATTTTTCTATACACATATGGTTTGTTGTAAGCAAAATAAACAAACAGGTCATGTTTTTTCTTGGGTCAGTTACCCTTAAATGCATCTTCTTTTGAGGTCAGCATGTTTTTTTGTTTGAATCAAAGATTTGTTGTAGCAATCCAAGAAGAAAGTGAAGCCATAAGTCAACATGATGTAGGTATAGGGCCATTTACTAGAAAATATATCTTTTGTGAATATTATATACCTATTGTTCCGATGTGATGTTTGTTCCAGCTACAGGAAAAGCAATGGATCAAGATGTTTCTACGAAATGTCATTAATTGTATCATTCAAAACATAATTATATTTTGTATTGAAGTTCTAGACATGACATGTCCAGGCTTATGTCCGACAGTCAGGTATTGATGGCTATCCTGGTTTCATAGATCCAAACTTAAGCGGGTGGTTGACAAGAACGTGGTACTAACAGTAGGGTTAGGAATGCAGGACCATAGGAATTACTGACATTGATGGACAAGTTTTACAAATTTCCGACAATTATCTGAGAGCCACAGAAACCTGGATCTCCAAGTGGATTTAAAATGTTTCAAAACTGTTTGGCCTCATTGAAAGTTCATATTTAAGCACTGTACATAATTTATACTTCTGTTACAAGAAGTGTTTAAATCCAAATAAATACTGGTTTGTATCAGGATGATTTCATTGCCATGTTTGATTTAGCTTTTTCATAAATATCGATGATAAATATGATAGATATTGATGATAAATATGATAGATATCGATGGTAGATATGATTAATATTGATGATAAATATCGATGATAAATATTGATATATCTATATATCAGGAAGGAGCCAAGCTTCCTCTACAGAGGTAGATGGTAGATTAGGGAACCTTGACCTACCTCCAACGACGTTCATTAAACAAATTTCAGGGGGAAATTGGCACTAGTATGAAACTGACGTCATCCCCGTCATTGACTTTTGTTGCATGCTATTGCAAAGATCAATGGCCATGTTGTGTAGATGTAACATAACCCAAACATATTAGCGAGCGCAGTGAGCGCTTTATGGTATTATGTGTGATAATTCCACTCCAACAAGCTGCCCATACGATCAACTTTAAACGGAAGTGTGGCTGGAACTTCATTACCCACAATACACTTGCCGCAGCACGCAATGAAAACTGCCGACCCGTTGAATGGATTAAAATGATTTTGACAGACAAAATATCTTTTTAAGCTTCCGTGTGGAAGTGAAATCATACTTAAAGTCTTAAATAATTCAAATGAATTTAACAAACATATACGTTAATGGTTTGAAAAACATATAACAAATATCTCGTTGAAAAATTACAAGATGAGAGCATGTTTGTTCTCCGATGTACCTGATTTCCAGGTTGACCTTCGGGAACTTTCGTCACTTTCCATTAGACATCGTATCGTACGCGGAAGCAGTCGAAAGGTCCCGATTTGGCGAACAACCTGTCCCGTCTCTCAACTATATTAATTTTGCAAGATGTGGATGTTCTTTCGATAACTGTTTGAAATTGATCATAATCAAGTATTTGGGGTTCCAGAAAAATACAGTTTATGTAAGATATTGTGACTTTAATAAGAATTTCATTTAAACATTTATATTTATATTGATTTTCTGAATTACAATGTATAACAAAATAGCCTCAACAGTGATTATAACTTTACCCTCCTTTTGCTTAAAAAAAACTGAAGGTTCTAAAGCATATTATAATTTGTTAGTTAACAGAACGAAAACTCTCAATAGCAAAGAGAAAAGAAATCGGTGGGAGAGAACTTTCTGATTTTAATAATGAAAACTTGTTAAACATATAAGCACCGCCTTTACAAATCCGACTTATTCTATAATATATTGTCTTTCACCATATTTTGACTACAAAATCCTTTCTTTTTTAAAGCAAAGTATCTTTTGCTATCGAAAAGTTCTCAATTTAGATGCTTTTTATTGGTACATTTGTATGTGACGACGTTTTGTTAAAATCTTGCGAAACATACAACAAATTAAAAAAAAAACACGCTTCTGAAATAAAACTTTTCAGATTGTCTCAAATGATGAAACCCTGGCAAATTATTCAATTTATTATCATTTAAAAAGAACAAGTGTTCATCATTAAAACAATTGTTATGTTTTTATCGGAGAGTAAACTTGAAAGTCGATATAGCTTTTTGGGGTGAAATTGGATGTGGCGATATGGTTGCAAATTTTGGGCTAAATAGTTTTCAAAATAGGCATACTGAATAAAATTTAGAGCGAAATGGGTTGGAGATGTCTGTAATTCGTATTTACAAAGCTCACTAAAACCAATTTTCAATCGAAGATAACAGGTTCGTGTCAAACGATCAGCATTAAAATATTTCTTTTATTACGTGATTTCTACCGAAACGATGAATCCCGTTCAGAACAAAAGGGTGATCTTCATAAACACTGGTTTGTGTAATACAATAACTTCACCTTTATGAGACTAAGAACAATGTAAGTTTCATTATTACCATAAATACCAGCCTGTAATTTTAACCGTTGTACTTCGGACCAGATCTCTCCTTCCTCACGCATGTTTACAGTGGAAGCGGAAACCGTCAAGGTAAATGCATGACGGGAAAAAAAAACCTACCTGGAAATATCATAAATACGTTTTGTGATTTTTATTTCTATGCTATTCGGTGGTGAAACTTTAATCACATTAAAATTTATTAACCTTCCAGTCAAATTATATTTATTTTATCAGATCATAATAATTAGTCCGTTGAAATTGTATGGAACCCCCTGAAACGGAAATGACGTATTGACCTTCAGCTTGCAGTCGCTCCGACATTTAGGCCTGCGAAATCTTCTAGCCAAAGGTGAGAATTTGTAAAGAACAATTGGTCTCTTTAGTAGTGGCAACCGTTGCTTTTTTAAGTCTGCGTTTGGTTTTTTGTTTTCACTTTCATTTATATGATCAAATGGTTATCGAAAACGTCAAGAACATCGCAAAATATGATTGAATGGTGCAAAATGTGAATGAGCAAAATGCGTGTGTGACTGCCGTCGTCTAGCACGTGTTGGTTGTTTAACATTTCTTTCATCAGACAGCATTCTTGGATTGATGTGCTGTGTTTTGATTAGAGAGGTAATCGGTCGCTGACATTTTGTGTGTGTTTGAGATCCGCGATTGTGAAATTGTCCGGTTTTACGTTTCTTTTGACTTTTGCCTCAGTCTCGGTGACCTTGACTGTGTACTAAAAGCTTGCAGGATTGTGCTTTCACTCCGGTTGCAACATTACTGTATTTTACAATTGGTATTGACAGTTCTTTATTGCTAACATACATTTGAAGAATGAAAATTTCTTAATTGGCAGTGAGCCCGACGGATTTACTTAATTTTACTGGCTACTGGTGGACACACCTTTTTTTATTTGTACTTCAACGGATTCGACATTCACTAGTGACAGAAAGTCATTTTTTATTTCAGCAAAGTGTTATTATTTTGATTTAGTGAAATGCCTTTTTTCATTAATTTTGATCACATTATTGTTGCAAAATACATGATTTCAACAACCTCTGTTTTTCAAAATTTAAAGAGAAAATAGGATCTTAATGTATTGCTTTTTTAATGACAGCTTAAAAATGGCACCACCATCCTACAGTGACCTTGGAAAAGCAGCAAGAGATCTTTCTGACAAAGGTTACAGTAAGTATGCAGAAATCTACATGTGACATAAATAAGACTTAAAAGCCAATTTCCTTGTCTATAATGCTCATTTTCTGGTAACATTTTTTGAAAAATAAACAGAAAACTACATTATAATTTTGTAGTCATTCAATTATTACAGCTGTGTATTTGAGCTGTTGGGCTGCATTTGGAGGGATAGTTACCATTTTGAGTAGAGCTGTTATCATGGGAGGAAAACTGCATCACAATATCATCTAATTTCCCTGATTTAATCGTGATATATCACAATATTTATCAAATAAGAGGTTAATGTTAATAATGTTCCAAGTTAGTTATTTCTATCAGCAAATAAATGAAAACTTACTACCAATTCTGTGTGTTATTTTAATTTGATTTGAAATTATATAAGTGACAGAAATGTTACTATTAATTACACAGTTCTCATGTACATTTAAACCAGTGTCACTCTCAATTTGAGTCTGTCATTTTCTTTGAATTTTCGGTAATTGCAAGTTTTTATTGAGAAAAATTCATTTTTCCACATCATTATCTGATAATGTTGCACATTTGTAAGTGTGTTTCCAGCAAAACTAAAAATCCTTTCGGATGGTACACTCGAAACACAAAGTTTGACCAAAGCATGATAGATTGGGGTACACAACAGCCCAGTGTGTCCACCATGTTCAAGTTTTTCTCTTATGTTTAACAAATAAGAAAATGCTGAGAAAGTTTCCCAAACTGTCGTCTTTCTTAGCCCATTTTTCACCAGGTTCTGAGCAACTGTTGTCAATTTGATTGACAGTGTAAATCAGCTATACGGAAGGCAATTATGGTAGTGTGGGTGTCTTCCAACTGTTGAATCAGCTGATTGATTACTCTTGCAATCGGGTTAGGTCTGGATCACCACTTTTCCAAAAATCACCAGTCACTGCATGATGGGGAGCACTCAATAATTTAAAAAGTAAACTTAATTTCATACCTCGGTAGTACGTATTGATCCATAAGATTTCCCCTGCTTTGAATCCAGCCCCTCAATAACAGATAATGGCTTGAGGCCACCAACAATGAAGTCCACAATCCTGTTTGTTATGGAAACAGCCCAGTTTCTTCCAATAGGAAAACAATTTCTTGTTTCCAGGACACTTGATAATGTTGGCTGAAACTTTACTCCAGATTTGTCACCAGTAGGATCTGGAACGGTATAGTGATATCAATTTAAATGTCCATTTAAATTTGTTGTATTACCACTGTATTTAATGACAGCTTCACAAACATGACATACAGCAGATTTTTTGTCCTTATATCCTCCATCAGCATTCTTTTCCAAACCGAAATACTTCCAAACATCGAAAGTATTTCTTGACCAGAAATTGAGTAAATCAGCGACAGCCTTCTCAGTCTGCATCTCTGATTAAAGTGAACTGTTACAATATAAATAGAAGTTAAACGAATTGATGCACCCTCAAAGACAAAAATGGAATGTTCCATTACCACAGAAGACTTAACAGATGTGTTAACAGATGTCAAAAAATGGAATAGTCTAATCTTATAGGGTGGAGCTATTTCATTCAGAGATACAGTGACACATGACATGTGCTGTGTTACATTGTTTCAAAAAGCTGACTGACTTCCTAACACCATGTTTACTGACTTTGAATGAAATGCTGTTGACGACAACTTTTTGTGCTTTATTTGTCTGGAAATCATGTATGTTTTCACCTGAAAATTAAACTGTTACTCTTACTTTTTGCCGATGGCAATATCACAGATCTTAAAATTTTCCACATTATCGGTGTCCTGCTTTTCTAATCACGATACATTGCGATGCAGATATATGATAACAGCTCTTATTAGGTCATGTTAAAAAGAAGTTGCAATTTCCATTTTTGTTGTAAATTTAAAACAAAATTGGTGTGTTTCTGTTTCACAATGACCTTGCATTTGAGTAACTAATCAGTAGTAGCTATCCCTCAAATGCTGTTCTTTTGGCCATTTGAGGGGTTATGCCCAGTCTATTTGACGTCAACTGTGAATTTCAAATAAGGCTGTAATGTAAGATAATGAAATTAACTACCTTTTAATACACAGTTGATATGATTTATTCAAAATCAAGGTATTTTGTATTATAGTTACTGGAAGTGTTATCAGTAGATGAACCATTTTGTATCTGTGCATTTTTTATTTTGTTTTTTTATACAATTGTATATATTCTGGTTATAATTTAATTCTTCAGATTTTGGACTGTATAAACTCGAATGCAAAACAAAATCAAGCAGCGGAGTTGAATTTACAACAAAAGGAAGCTCAAGTCATGATTCTGGAAAAGTCTCTGGAAGCTTAGAAACTAAATACAAACTTCCTGAACATGGTAAGTAAAGAGAGATTAATCAAACACATAATGCAGATAATATAGTGATTTTTTTTCAAGTACATTAGTTGTAATATATAGAGTTTATATATAAGATTGCTGACATGAAATGTTTAGTTTGTGTTAGGCTCTTGTATGTATGTCAATTTTATGTTAGATTTAAGTTGTACATTATTTTGTAACTGTTATTTTTCTTAATGATTTTTTTTCTGTAATGAAATATATTGGAAGGTAGTTGAAGCTCCAGATAAAAAAAATTTGGCAGGTATGAACATTAGGAAATTAAGATTTAATCACATTTCCTTAAAAGATACCACTGATAGCTTCATCTGTTTTTTTTCTTGTAGGATTGACATTTGTAGAAAAGTGGAATACTGACAACGTTCTTGCCACAGAGATTACCATTGAAGATCAGCTTTGCAAGGGTCTTAAAGTTGCTTTTGAATCTTCATTTGCTCCACAGACAGGGTAAGATACCTGGTTTTGCAAGCGGCCCTTTTTTTCATTTTTTTGGATGACATCCACATTACCTTATTAGACCATCTTATAAGCTCTCCCCTTAAAGAGACAGGCAGCTTATATTGTCACCAAGCACCAGCTCCAGCTTATGGTTTCTAAATAACAAGTTTTCGATACACAAAAGGCATAAAAAAATGCTTTACAAATGTACTAAGTACTGATATTTGGTTGGAGGTTGGATGGTATTATTGGGTGTTATCTATGGAGTCGGAATGAATATTTTTCAAAAGGAAGTTGGGGGGTTTTTTTTTTTGGTTTTTTTTTTTTTTTGCGATTTTTTGGGTTTGGGTTTCTTTTTAACCGCTTGGACTTCAAATTTTTATGTCATATCTAATGTTAAGTTTTTGGTGTAAGTGTTGAAATGCACCAGTAAAGTCCTTTGTAAATGTACTGGGAACTGATATCGGGTTTGATATATATATATTTTGAGAGAAAACCTGTTTTCTACTACATTTTGGACACCAACTTTTTGGTCAAGTCTCTTGTCAAGTTTTTTGGTGCCAGTATTGTTATTAACCTTTATAAGTGTGTTAGGGTAGTGATATTTGATTTGAGGGATGCTGTTGGGGTTAAATATTACTTTCTGGAGTGAAAATGAATGACTCTGTAGGTGAAACACATCACGAATGCTAGTTTGAGGTTTAGTGATAAACAATGTGAAATTAGCTTTCATACCATTGGTTTAACTCTTTTGCTTATCATGCTCTGAATGAAAACCCTTCAAAATTTACTTTGTTTATTATTTAATCATCTTGATGAGAATGTGCCAGTTTTCCAAGATTTCTGTTGCTGTTGGTAGATAAAGAGAAATGGAAAGTTGTGTCGCTGTTCTATTGATTTCCTCAATAGTTTATGGAGTGAAGAACCTGGACCTCCTCATTTCTTGTTGTTGATTGAAAGAAAGAAAAATGTTTACTTAGAGGAAGTGTTGCTTTCTGTGTAGTTAATAGTTGCATCATTTATGTGGTAGAGTTTTGAATTGAAGTATTTCTAGTTTGAAAACTTTTGATTTCAGTAAGAAGAATGGACAGATTAAGACTGCCTACAAGATGGATTACTTAAATGCAAGTTGTGATGTTGACTTCGACTTTGCGGGGCCAACTGTTCATGGTGCAGCAGTCCTCGGGTAAGCATGAAATAGATTGAATGAAAATGGCTGCCCCTTGTATTGATCATAGCAAGCTCCGTAATCCCTTCATCATGGTTCGGGATCGAAATGTAGCCTCGTCTGAAAGAGCAACTTTTAGAACAAGGGATAATATTGATAATGATATATATATTATTTGATGTAAGATATTTCTAATTATTTCATCATATCAAAGGCACATACTTTCAGTTCAGTTGAATTTTAGAGTACTTCATTTCTGTAAAATAGAAGTACTTATAGAAAATAATACTTAGTTTCTGATCATCACACTGATAATTTTTGTATCACTGCAACAGTTACAACAACTTCCTGGCTGGCTATCAAATGTCCTTTGATACTTCCAAGTCCAAGCTTTCCAAGAACAACTTCGCATTTGGCTATTCCTCTGATGACATGACTCTTCATTGCAATATGTAAGTACAAGGAGATATCTTTCAATTTTTATTTCTATTAAAACATATATTCAGTGTAGCAATTCTATCCCTTGTAGGTTTCTGACTCGACAAACTTAAGAAAAGTTATTTTCATTGGTTGTCTCATTTTCAACCAGTTGCTTTCAAACCTGGAAATTTTAATCATAATTGCACAAAATTGTGCTTTCTGACTGACATTTTGATTTTGATAACACTAAATGCTTATCATCATTAATTTTGATATTTATATTTATTATGATACAATAAGTGTCTCTCTTTGACCTAATATGGGTGTGTAACAGTAATGACAATATTTCCCTCGCTTTACAAATGGTGGCTGGTAGCCTGATATTGGAAAAAGGAGTGGTAATTGGTTCCAAAATCATGATCAATCATTGAGTTCTTTTAAAAAGATCAATTATAAATTAAGAAGGAATTATTTATTATTCATTTAAGGTAGTAAATAATATGATAACAAATAAGTCTCTAGATTCCATTTAATATATAATTTACTAAAGAAGTAAAGGATTTGTAGAGGTTTGCCAAAATAAATACTTGTGTCAAGTTTTATAAACCATAGTTGGAGGATACACAGTTGCTCTAGAGTTTCAGAATGATTCACCATTACTGGACGGCTTGTGTCATTGAAAAATATATTTAGATATCTCTCCCTCCACACGCTATGAAAGTCTTTCACTTTTTGACGTTTTAAGTGATTCACTAGTGATTTTTAGAACCCAGATCTAAAAGTCCTGGACTCGGGATTTTCCTGTGGGACTCATTTTCAGGACCAAATACATCTCTCAGTAATGGGACTATCCAAAATTTAAGGAAAGGGGTTAACCTACTCCATTTTAATCCAAAAATCTGTTTAGCCGGATTTCCATTATCCCCTAAATATTAGATGGAGAATAATGTTGGGATCACATGTGTAATGATTTGTATTTATGTGTTATTGAAAATAAACTCTGATTATTCGGTTTGAGAAAAGGTGATAGCTTCATTCAAATAAGGATGTAAGAATGAGAGTCCAATGATTACATACTGAACAGCTGAAGGAATAGGATGTTTATGAATTTTGTGAATGATTTACATACTTTTCTCTTTAATAGAAATGATGGTGCAGAATTTGGAGGTTCTGTATACAACAAAGTCAACGACAAGTTGCAAACTGGAGTGAATTTGTCTTGGTCCGCTGGAAATAGCTCAACACGGCTTGGTTTGGCAGCAAAATACACATTAGATAAGGATTCCTATCTTAACGTAAGGAGAAAAAGAAAAAGTGCATTACATTGAATGTATTATCACTATTGATGAAATCTTTATTTTAGCTTTCTTGTCAAAAGGAGAGAGAGAGCAGGTACTAGAGTACATTTTAGTACAGTTTTAGAAATTATCAGAAGTAAAGGTAGTTTGGTACTTAAGGTAAAAGTAGGAAGGGGCGTGTGCTTCATGATTTTAGCCTTAGCCTACCATGATGAAATGGTCTGTCCATGGGCAAGCAATTCTTGTTCTTGTTATTTCATGGAAAGAACTGAAGGGATCTTTTTCAAATTTTATATTGTGTTTCTTCTGGCAGCTTGTTGTGCCCTTTTGATTTTGGGGCTGATAAAAAAAAAGTGCTGACAAGGGGACATCTTAGATTTTGACATTTAAAGTTTGTAATTGCTATTTGGAAAAGAATGAATAGATCTTTCTCAAATTTCATATATGGATTCCTCTTGGTCCCTTAGCTGTGGCATTTTGATTTTGGATTTTGGTACTGATCAGAAAAACACTGACTTTCAGAATTAAGACAATGTAACATTGTTATTGCTATTGTTTGAGAAGTACTGGATGACTCCTAACTTTCATAGGTAGGTTCCTCTTGGTCCCTAATTGCGGCCTTTTGATTTGGGGACTGATCAGAAATCAATATGGCTTACAGCCATTTTTTAATTTGACACTTAAAATTTGTTATCATTATTTCTTGGAAAGTAATGGACAGATTTTTCATTCAAATTTCATGTGTGTAGTTTTCCCATAGTGCCTAGTTGTGTTGTTATTGGGACAGATTTTCTACACAAATTTCATGTGTGCAGGTTTACCATGGTGTCTAGCTGTGTTGTTATTGGGACTGATCAGAAAAAACATAATGACATTGTCATCATGGATAACTATGAAAGTTTGCTATTGCTGTTGGAAATACAGTATAGACCTTTTCTGAAATATTGTGTGTAGGTTTCCTTCTGTGAAAAAATTGAGGAGGGAGGGGAGTCCCACTTTGAAAGAACAAAATAAAAGATCAGACAATGGTGGGCAAGAAGATCTGTCTGGATCTCTTTTTGATAAATCACGACATGTCAAGTCATCTCAAATTCAGATTATTCATGGATAGTTTTAAGTGTGGTTTACAAAGATTTCCATGTTTAATTAATGATCAATTTTATCCCAAAGTATTTTTCTTTTTTAGATGAAAGTAAATAATGCTTTCCAAATCGGAATGGGCTACACCCAGAACATCAGGGATGGTAAGTGTTTTAATTCTGGATTGGTATGTAGACAAAATGACCATGACAAATGATTTAATGCTCAAGTCTTTAGATAACATATTTTACACTTGTTTGGAGATCTGACTCAACAGGTAAAGATTACCTCATGCAATAATGCTGTAAATATTTCCTTTAAAGATGCTACTAACCATTATAGCCAAAGCTGTTTTTTACCAATATTAATCTGAGACATAGTGAGGGCAATCTTTTCTGACATAGATGAGGTTGATTGGATCTCTGTGGACAGTTGCAAAGGACCCAAAAAGTGTAAATTGGCAAACTACTACTTCAAAATTGTGTTAAATGTTGGAGTGGGTTTCAACAAAATTTTGTCCAAGATCTTGCTAGAGGAAACCAATACTTTCTTTAGATAATGAGGTTGGTTCGAGTCCAAGTTAAAGTGATTAGTATTGGGGAAGTAAATTGCGTGAAACGAGGTCAGTTGATCATGATATTTTATTTCTAATTTCAGGTGTAAAACTGAACCTTTCTTCTTTGGTGGAGGGAAAGAACTTCAACCAAGGTGGTCATAAGGTTGGAATGGGTCTTGAATTTGATGTCTAAATGTACCAAGTGGTTAGTGATATATAAAATACCTGTGGATGCAAAGCAGTTCATTCATCATCAGTGTTTAACCAGGTGAGGAGACACGTGTATTTATGGCGCATTTTGCTGGACTGGGGAACACCCCAGTCTTCACCTCATCTTTAGTATTCCCAGTGTTGACACTGCCAACAGCACAAGCATGGCAGAGTTTGGTGCATGCAGAGACTGAAGACAGTTTGGAAATTCACGTGTTACCTATGAATTGATTGTGGATTTTATAATAAAAACTGACCAATCAGATTTTGATTTGAACTTAGATTTATTTGTTTGCCGTTTCCATTAGGCTACATTTGTTGAATAGCAAACAAGCTGTTTTCCCAAGGTCTACCAATCAAGTATCCTTCATTCGACATAACGCAGGTCAGATGTGTCAGAGAATTTGTCCCTGAGAGCTTGTCAAAACATTCAGTGCTGGTAAATTAATGTACAAATGTGTATCTTAATTAAAGGATTATGTAATGTGCTACAGAGTTTGTGTTTTATTTGGGATGCAAGTTTTATGCAAAAAGTTTATTGTCAAAAATTTAAATCCGCTTCAAGAGAATAACAGACAATTTGAAAATGTTTGAAACCCAGAGAGATTGCTTAAATAAAACTTTGATGAATTGAACAGCATTGAAGAAAGTGTTTCATATCCTTGCATCTTTGAAGTAGGACAAGATCATTCATGTTAACGGTTCCCTATCAGAGCAGACTATTGACGGGACAGTGTTGTGACCATAATCCCTGGATATTCGGTAAATGTAAAGGGAATTTTGACTGTTAAACCCTACCAGTCTGGAACCAAAGGGTACATGATGGAATGAAGGCCTAGGAAATCTGTTCAAAAAGAATTTTGAAAAATACCAACATATCAATATACTCATCATCTAAACTCAAAATCAACAAAACAGATTTACACGGAGAGTCCTGAAAAAGGTACAATGAGAAGGTGATGTCTTAGTCAATCCAAATAGGTAATGTCACATTCTCAAATGAGAACGAGGTATACAACAGCTGAACCGACCGGCAAACTGACGATCGTGAACACGTTCAGCTTTATATCGCACAAAGAAAATTTTTCTCAATGAGACAATATCGATCGTAAAATTTTCTGATAATTTTTATCAACCTGCATCGTTTGAAAACTTGTGTTACGAGTTTGTCAGTTGACGACATCTTGCACGAAAATCGTGATAATGGAAAAACAGGTCCTTGGATATCGAATCAGCTGCGACATGTAAACACCATAGGTTGGGAATGCTGGGAAGTTGTTATCCAGAAGTGGACAATTCACAATCAAGGAAATTGAAATCATCACGCATATCATATAGCTCGGTGGAAAGCTGTCCATGTTGGTTTCGTTGTAGGAAAAATTCGAGATAAGCGGCAGATGTTGAATACTTACAAAAAAGTCGCTGTCACAACAAAAATTGTTAACAAGTTGAAGGAAGCATAATATAATTGTATGCATATTTACACGCGATTTTACCGATGTATTCGGCAGCAATTTCTAGGGGTTTGTACAGCATAATTATACATTCTAGGTAAGCTGGGTTTCTTTCTTCCCCGGTACCAGAGTTACAATTTGAAAGTTTACCTCAAGGGAGGTAACTCCCAGATACCATTTAGAAGCGTCTTTTCTCGTGTGAGTAGAAAGTTATATTCAAAGGAGCATAACTGCATGTGTTGCTGAGCATATCACATAGCTGTCCAGGTACTCTCTCGTAAAGGTCTTCAAAATACACAATGTGCATCGTGGAAGAAGCCTTATAGCCCATGCCAGTGTTCAGATGATGGTGACTGTTACGGCGTCTGGAATGTAGACTATTGAATGTATCCCCACGTGATAAATGTAGGGAATGGGATGTTCCCGAATGTAAACTAGCGCTTCATTCCTTGGGAATTTTGATCAAATTGCACACACTTGTCAAAAGGAGCATAATATCTAAATCAAGTTTGAGTTTCAAGGTTTTATGGTCAAGGTCACTATTCTTTTCTTAAATCCTTGTCAGGGCCCTAGTAGCCTTCGTTTTTTAGGCAGCCTTCGTCAGAAAGACTGTTCAAATCGTCCGTAGTTCGGTGTTCATCCATATGTCATTGATCAATCATCTACAGATTATTCCCCAGAAGTGCTGGATATGTCATCAACCATTTATCGCTAATTCTCCAGAAGTGCATGGATACATCATCAACCATTTGTCGCTAATTCTCCAGAAGTACTGGATATGTCATCAACCATTTGTCGCTAATTCTCCAGAAGTGCATGGATACATCATCAACCATTTATCGCTAATTCTCCAGAAGTACTGGATATGTCATCAACCATTTATCGCTAATTCTCCAGAAGTGCTAGATATGTCATCAACCATTTATCGCTAATTCTCCAGAAGTGCTAGATATGTCATCAACCATTTGTCGCTAATTCTCCAGAAGTGCATGGATACATCATCAACCATTTATCGCTAATTCTCCAGAAGTACTGGATATGTCATCAACCATTTATCGCTAATTCTCCAGAAGTGCTGGATATCATTTTCAATTTACATATGGATATTGCCCTTGGTCACTATTTGTTCCCTTTTGTTTTTGGGACTGATCAGAAAAACAAAATGGGTAATAGTTTATCAGAAATACTGACACAGATTTCTCACATTTGGATTAATCAGGGTAATATTGATGTAACAACTGACCTGTGTGTAATTAAAGTCGAGAATTGTATTCACAAAGTTACGTATAGCATATCACTGTTTAGCCGTGGAGACAGATATAGAAACACTGAAAGCTCTCACAGATGGTATATCTATTGTACAATGAATTCTAGTGGAGACTGGAAGATATAGAAACACTGAAAGCTCTCGGAGATTGTGTATCTATTGTACAATGAATTCTAGTGGAGACTGGAAGATATAGAAACACTGAAAGCTCTCGGAGATTGTGTATCTATTGTACAATGAATTCTAGTGGAGACTGGAAGATATAGAAACACTGAAAGCTCTCGGAGATTGTGTATCTATTGTACAATGAATTCTAGTGGAGACTGGAAGATATAGAAACACTGAAAGCTCTCGGAGATTGTGTATCTATTGTACAATGAGTTCTCCAGAAGATGTCATTTCTTACTTATATGTCAATATACCAAACCTTATACCTTATACCAAACTATAAGTAGATATATCAAAATGTATCACTGACAGTTTGTTTTTGAGCTAACTCAATTAATTAGTTTTTAAAATTTTCAAAAGTAAGAAGTAATTTGTGTAAATTTAAAATAAGACGAAATAATGTATATTTTTTATAAACTTTATCATGTGTACTTAATACAGATCCCAGCACTGTATGTCATGGCTCTACTTGTTAAAGAGCTGAAAAGTTCAGAGCTGAATGAAGAACCTAAATTTTTGTTTATGAAAACCAATCTGTATAATTAGTCACACATGGCGTCAGATAAACATGCTCACTACTCCAGTAACAAGTGTCGGAACGCTTTGTAGTGGCGCTGCTCACCTGTCAAGCCGACACGCGTGATCGCGGCACGTGAGCACATTCCGAGTAGTTTTCAGAACTCTGCAGTAATTTCAGTCACCATATAGGAGCACAGAACCCTTTCAGTTAGGGTCAGACGGAATGGAGGCCTCAGTTAGTGATCAGGTACGTACATGTATTGTTGTTATTTCAGAAACGGATCCGAAATATGGATATCGCAGACATACACCACAATCATAGTGAAACGATTACATTACATCAGAAGATAAATGGTCAACTTTTACAAGGTATTATTCCATCTATCATGTATAGATATGGCAGTTGCATGAAAGTGGTTCCCCTGTCTGCGAAATATAATGCATTTTTAGTTTTCACATGTTATATCTAACTGTATTTTTATAATTATGATATTGGCATGATAGATCAACTGGTCATAAAGTTAAACGGTATCAGAAGATAAATATAGGCCGTGCCTGTTATTAATCCAATTGCATATATTTATACAATGGAATTGTTAAAGTTAATTACATAAGATACTGTATATTGTTTCTTTAATGTTTAATATTATATATAGTCACTGTCTACCTGTACGATGTACTAATGAGATCTCGAGAGAAGATCCGAGGTACGTGATTCGATTCCCATTCGGTAAAATTTATTACCAAAGTTCCATCTCTGATAAATACCATCCCAGTCTAGATCCGAAGTACAACTAATTATAAATACGGATCCCGTCTATAATCGGACAAAAGTCCCACCACAGATAAATACAGATCCCTTATCTAGTCGGACAAAAGTGCCACCAAACGTCCCACCACAGATAAATACATCCCGATCCAAAAGTCCCACCACAGTCGGACAAAGTCCCACCACAGATAAATACAGATCTCATCAGTCGGACAAAAGTCCCACCACAGATAAATACAGATCCCGTCTACAGTCGGACAAAGTCCCACCACAGATAAATACGTCGGAACGTCCCACCACAGATAAATACGGATCCCGTATCTAGTCGGACAAAAGTCCCACCACAGATAAATACGGATCCTGTCTACAGTCGGACAAAAGTCCCACCACAGATAAATACAGATCCCGTCTACAGTCGGACAAAGTCCCACCACAGATATATACGGATCCTGTCTACAATCGGACAAAAGTCCCACCACAGATAAATACGGATCCTGTCTACAGTCGGACAAACGTCCCACCACAGATAGATACGGATCCCGTCTACAGTCGGACAAAGTCCCACCACAGATAAATACAGATCTCATCAGTCGGACAAAAGTCCCACCACAGATAAATACAGATCTCATCAGTCGGACAAAAGTCCCACCACAGATAAATACAGATCCCGTCTCTAGTCGGACAAAAGTCCCACCACAGAAAAATACGGATCCTGTCTACAGTCGGACAAAAGTCCCACCACAGATAAATACAGATCTCATCAGTCGGACAAAAGTCCCACCACAGATAAATACGGATCCTGTCTAGAGTCAGACAAAGTCCCACCACAGATCTCATCAACACACACACAACACACACACACACACACACACACACACAGGACAAAAGTCCCACCATAGATAAATACAGATCCCGTCTACAGTCGGACAAAGTCCCACCACAGATAAATACAGATCTCATCAGTCGGACAAAAGTCCCACCACAGATAAATACGGATCCTGTCTACAGTCGGAGAGAAGTCCGACCACAGATAAATTCCTATCCCGTCTGTGGTCGATGTACTCGGGTCATTAATATAGAAGTATGATCATTCTCAAAATTCTTATTTATCATTTTCCTTAGTTAACAACTTTGCAAATGTCTTCCTCTTCAGCAGCTTTCTCCGTCCATAAACTTATCAACAGAAACACTACCAGAGCCGCTGTTTGACCTCGACCTTGACCGGAAGTACATGTGTCCAGTTTGTTTAAGTGTTCTGAAGGAGCCAATGCAGACGTCTTGTGGACACCGATTCTGTAAAGCGTGTATCAGGGGAACATTCGATCTACCGACGTGAGTTGTCTTGTATGGATATATTAAGATTTTAAATACGATCAGTATTTTGTGTACACTTTAATAGAATGTTTCCCGCAAAATTTTATAAACATGCAAATTTCAGCGAAGATATACAACGTGCTCAAGCCTTTCAAACGATAACGATATATTCATAAGTTGTACACAAATTGTTTGCAACATGTCATGGCAAAATGGATACAATCACATGCTGATACGCTCTTTTTGAAGATTACAAAGGAGCAACAAGTCATTACAACATACCATTATGCGACCTCGAGATTTGTTTGATGTGCATCAAAGAATCAAACTAGTCTTTTTGTCTTGTCCACAAGGTGTCACACACGGAACCCTTCAATGTGACCATGACGTGTTCCAGGGGTGCAGAGACTGAACACGTTTTCCTAACCAAACAAAAGGCCGTGGTGTACAGATATTGATATATCATTACGTATTTGATTCGACTCTCCGCTGTTTAGAACATTGTCTTGTATATATATATACTAGATAAATGTAAAAATATGTGAAATTGTAAAATTACTTATTTAGGAGACATATACCTCATATAGAGATAGCTTGCCCTGGTAGTGTCTCTCCAGGCCTGTTTACATCACTTTGATTCCCCCCTTGCTTAACGACATCAGGTGACGACCTAGTCATTGGTAGAAATGAAAGGATAGCAATGCCTTATGATGAAGTTATACCGATTGTGGTAAAGACGAGGGATGGGATATCTTGTGATTAAGTTACACCGATACAGTCCGTGGTAAAGACGAGGGATGGGATATCTTGTGATTAAGTTTAAGTTACACCGATACAGTCCGTGGTAAAGACGAGGGATGGGGTATCTTGTGATTAAGTTACACCGATACAGTCCGTGATAAAGACGAGGGATGGGATATCTTGTGATTAAGTTACACCGATACAGTCCGGATGGGATATCTTGTGATTAAGTTACACCGATACAGTCCGTGGTAAAGACGAGGGATGGGGTATATTGTGATAAAGTTACATCGATCTGCATCACGTTACTAATAACTTGATTTCCTCGGTTGTTTACACATTGCTATGTACTTTAGTTGTGGATTTTGAACCTAAATGAAAATATACAAAGAAATGAGGCCGCTATTCTGTGACCATTGTTCAATAGTTGTCACATAAAGCGTTATTGATTGGAATCTCATGTGGATCTGGTGATTCTGTTTGTCTATCTGTCTGTCTCTGTCTGTCTATCTGTTTGTCTATCTGTCTGTCTATCTGTCTGTCTATCTATTTCAGAGTCCGAAACAACATCCGGGTACCGTTTTCGAAGTGTCCTGTAGACAACACATACTTCCACATCGAGAGAGAGGTAAAGATAATACAAGAGTTATCTTTCTTGTCACAGCGCTGAGCGTTTTCACTTTGTGTTATTTTCGTGGTCATGTCGTAGCTTCATAACCATACTGGTTACAACAAAATAAAATCCCCTGTCATTGGAAGCTGACTTAAGTAAAACATTAATACTATGTATTATTTCAGCTGTTTTCTGATAACGCCATGAAGCGGGAAGTCCTATCATTAAACGTACGATGTCCTAATATCCAAAACGAATGTGACTGGAACGGGGAACTGAGGAACTACAGTGAGGTGAGTTTTATCCAGTAAATGGGTGTCACCCATACAACCACGCTTTGACCTTTAACACCTTAACGACACTAAATGGATTCCAAGTTGATCAAGTGGTAATGTGTATAATACATAATACTAAATGGTTGTCCAGTATAGACTGCACTATCTATGAAATGAGTCTTACAGTGAAATATAGACAATAGTTTTTACAACGAAATATGAAAACATGCAAAAAAGGTTGTTTCAGAAGATTTGATATTAAAAAGTTTGCACTGAGATGTATTTTCAGGAGTCAATAGGTTCAGGTGTGTCAATAGTTTGAGGTGTATCATTAGTTTCAACACGTGTCAATAGTTTCAGGTGTGTCATTAGTTTAAACATGTGTCGATAGTTTACAATGAGATGTTGTCTCAATAATTATAGCGGAACATTAACGCATCCTTTCTGTTCGTTCAATCCTTTTAAGTGAATTTAAAAACCGATCATTTCAGCATGAGGAGCAGTGTATGTATAAAGTGGTAGAATGTGGGAACGGATGCGGGGTCCGAGTGATCCGCCGGGACATGCCTAGTCACCTGGAAGAGTGCTCCCTGAGGATCGTTTTCTGTCCTCACTGTCAGAAACAGATGACCTACAATATAATGTCGGTAAGTCTAGATAAACGAGGACTGTTATAACCTCTAACACCACTATACATACACCGTTACTGTTTAGTTATATACTTCTATGTATCAATACTGACATTTTTTTACACTTTTATCTAAAATTTGTTCATTTATATTCAGGTGTACCCTTTTCACATACATTGAACCTGTATAGGAACACCATACATTAAACCTGTATAGGAACACCATACATTAAACCTGTATAGGAACACCATACATTGAACCTGTGTAGGAACACCATACATTGAACCTGTATAGGAACACCATACATTGATCTCGTATAGGAACATCATACATTAAACCTGTATAGGAACACCATACATTGAACCTGTATTATACATTAAACCTGTATAGGAACACCATACATTAAACCTGTATAGGAACACTATACATTGTACCTGTATAGGAACACCATACATTGAACCTGTATAGGAACACCATACATTGAACCTGTATAGGAACACCATACATTAAACCTGTATAGGAACACTATACATTGTACCTGTATAGGAACACCATACATTAAACCTGTATAGGAACACTATACATTGTACCTGTATAGGAACACCATACATTGAACCTGTGTAGGAACACCATACATTGAACCTGTTTAGGAACACCATACATTGATCTCGTATAGGAACATCATACATTAAACCTGTATAGGAACACCATACATTGAACCTGTATAGGAACACCATACATTAAACCTGTATAGGAACACCATACATTAAACCTGTATAGGAACACTATACATTGTACCTGTATAGGAACACCATACATTAAACCTGTATAGGAACACTATACATTGTACCTGTATAGGAACACCATACATTGAACCTGTATAGGAACACCATACATTAAACCTGTATAGGAACACCATACATTGTACCTGTATAGGAACACCATACATTAAACCTGTATAGGAACACTATACATTGTACCTGTATAGGAACACCATACATTGAACCTGTATAGGAACACCATACATTGAACCTGTACAGGAACACCATACATTAAACCTGTATAGGAACACCATACATTGAACCTGTACAGAAACACCATACATTAAACCTGTATAGGAACACCATACATTAAACCTGTATAGGAACACCATTCATTAAACCTGTATAGGAACACCTTACATTAAACCTGTATAGGAACACCGTACATTAAACCTGTATAGGAACACCATACATTAAACCTGTGTAGGAACACCGTACATTGAACCTGTATAGGAACACCATACATTGAACTCGTTTTGGAACACCGTACATGCACATTATCAGAATTCATTCTTTCATTAAAGATGTCTCTTCATTATGCTTTAGTGGATGCAAAATCGTTTAAAATCCAAGACAATCTGTCCCCGCTCACTTAACCAATATGGTCATGTTAACCTTGTGCAATAACCAACTCCCAGTTCAGGATTAAGACATATTTTATCATAGCTTAATATCCTGCTTATGTTGGAACTGTTCAACTGATGTTTTTCTGTTACTATAGAAACATGAGGTTCTGGTATGTCAGAACTTCCCAGTTCAGTGCTTACAGTGTGGTCAAGTCGGCATCAAACGCAAGGACATCAGTAATCACATGGATAAGGAGACCGGGGACTGTCCCATTACCATCATCGATTGTCCTTTCCAAGTGTATGGCTGTCAGGTTACAGTAAGTCGCCAGGACTACCTTTTGATAAATGTATCCCTTAATTAAAGTATGCTATATCATAAAGTATAGGTAGTTTAATCCTTCTGTAAATACCATTTAGAATGGTCGAACCTGTTGTTTTAATATTCAGTGCAATAGGTAGCTACACCTGAAGGATGTCAGGTAGCTACACCTGTAGGATGTCAGGTAGTTACGCCTGTAGGATGTCAGGTAGCTACGCCTGTAGGATGTCAGGTAGCTACGCCTGTAGGATGTCAGGTAGCTACACCTGTAGGATGGGTGTGTTCCCTTTACGCCAACTTTCTTAAAAACACATACGGCAGTTGTTGTTTTTACCTTTTAAGTCAACAAAATTGGGGTACCTCATGGGGGCTCTGGGGAACAGCTACTGTGAAGTAGTTACCTGTGACTTGATAATATTTAGCCATAAATGGGGATATTTTCAGATTTTGAATTGAGAATTAAATTGAAATGTTAGGAAAAGAGATGTTTTTGAATGCTATATTATTTAAATTTAAGGAGAAAAAAAAATTATTTGAAATTTATATTGTTCAATAAAAACAAAGAATTATTTGAAAATTATATTATTTAACAATAGAAAAAAACCATTATTACTTATCACACTGAACACTCCAAGCCAACTGCACTCTGTATAAATACAGCGACTGCATCATACTTTATATTCATACTTTGACACCATTTATTGTTATATTTAGTTGTTTTAACTACTGTAGCACAGAATATAACTGATGATGAGAAGTCCAAGCTGTTAACCTGAATACTTATCACACTGAACACTCCAAGCCAACTGCACTCTGTATAAATACAGCGACTGCATCATACATTCATAGTGAAACACTCATATCAAGTAACATGGCAAACGCACAGCTGAATTTGAAGTTCGTAATTAACAAGAAAGGGGGCCAGAATTTAGCCTATAATGGTTTCATCTACAGAATCATACGCAGAAATGGTGAAAAATCTTGTCGAGGATCCCTCTCTGCCCTTAACAACATACCAGTTGCTTTTGGAAGACAGGAACACAACCATCCAGCAGATCATGCAGAAGTTGTAGCACAGCAGATCAGAAACAGCATCACCAGGAGATGTCTTGAAGAAGTCAGACCCATACCAGCAATATACGAAGAAGAACTCCGCAAGCTCCGAGATGAAGAATGGGATGAAGACTGCAAAGCGGTGGTACAGCGACTGCCTACCTTCAATACAGCCAAGTCGTCACTCTACAGAGCCCGCCGAAAGGAAACCCCAGCGCTACCAAAGACTCTTTCTGACATCAGACTGGAAGGGAAGAGGACAGAAACATCAACCGGAGACAGATTTCTTCTTTTTGACGACGGAGACCAGCAGAACCGAATTATAGCCTTCGCCAGTACGGAGAACCTACGATATCTCTCAACTGCCGACACATTCTACTGTGATGGAACATTTTACACGTGCCCGAGCTTGTTTCATCAGATCTACAGCATCCATGTGGTTATTGATGGAAGGATGACGCCAGTCGTATTTGCGCTACTACCAGGAAAGAGTCAAAGAATCTACACTCGACTGTTTACCCTACTCAAGGAACACATAGCTCAACTGTACCTGCCTTTCGCCCCAACCCATGCATTCGCCGACTTTGAAGTAGCAGTACACAACGCCATTCGCCAGACATTCCCAGGAATCACCATGAAAGGCTGTATTTTCCATTTCACCCAGAGTGTATGGAAAAAAGCACAGACAACTGGACTGCAAACTCTATACCGGGACAACGAAGATGTTAGGACCCTTATCCGCCGTGCAGCTGTTCTACCACTGGTACCCATGGACTGCATAGAAGACGTATGGTTACAGACACTAGAAGATCTAGAAGACGCTGAAGTACCACAGAACACAACGCCTTTCACAGACTATGTTACAGAGCAGTGGGTGGAAGGAGACAGACCGTTGTGGAATCACTTCCAAACAGATGGACCACGAACAACAAACAACCTAGAAGCCTGGCACGGGAAACTAAAGAAGAAGGTGAAACACGCTCATCCGACTATATTTGCCATCATACAGACATTCAAGGAAATAGACAATGCCGACGTCATCAACAGAATGCAGAGAGAAGCTGGAGGAACCACCCGACCGCGTGCGAAGAAGTACTGCAACATTGACCCCCGCCTTACAACACTCAAAGAAAGATACAGAAACGGAACCATTGACCTGATGACCTACGCTGATTCAGCATCACAGCTACTTCATTTTGGATAAATAGACTCTGTGCTTTATGTGAATATTAATTAGTGCTACATACGTGTTTATGAACATTCTAATAATTAGTGCTGTTAGGTATTTACTTTATGAAAATAGTGCTTTTATATCAAATATTGAAAATTGAAAATCAAATTTAGTTTAGTATGTATATATTGAATTTAGTGCTACATTATAAAACTAAAAATAAAAAAGTGATTTCTGTGCTTAATTTAATGATGATATGCTTATTAATGTTTATTAATTGTAATCTTCATATGGTCTATCATTAATGTCATATTAATAAAATAAATAAAATGTGTTAAGTTTATATTATGTCTGAATTTCTTATTACTTACCTTAAAAACTGTTACCAGTATTTATCAGATATATTTACCTGAGTTTACCTGTATACCACCCCAAGTACCCCTTCTTGGGGCCCCTCAATTATCTTGAACAATTGAAAAATAATCCCTTTGATGTTCTGCAGAGTTGGCGTAAAGGGAAACAGCCGTAGGATGTCAGGTAGCTACACCTGTAGGATGTCAGGTAGCTACACTTGTAGGATGTTAGGTAGTTACACCTGTAGGATGTCCGGTAGCTACACTTGTAGGATGTTAGGTAGTTACACCTGTAGTATGTCGGGTAGCTACACCTGTAAGATGTCAGGTAGCTACACCTGTAGGATGTCAGGTAGCTACGCCTGTAGGATGTTAGGTAGCTACACCTGTAAGATGTTAGGTAGTTACACCTGTAGGATGTCAGGTAGCAACGCCTGCAGGATGTTAGGTAGCTACCCCTGTAGAATGTCAGGTAGCTACACCTGTAGGATGTCAGGTAGCTACACCTGTAGGATGTTAGGTAGCTACACCTGTAAGATGTCAGGTAGCTACACCTGTAGGATGTCAGGTAGCTACACCTGTAGGATGTTAGGTAGCTACACCTGTAGGATGTCAGGTAGATACACCTGTAGGATGTTAGGTAGCTACACCTGTAGTATGTTAGGTGTTAGGTGGGTTACAATTTTATCTATCTTATATTGCTAAAAACATACAATACTATAAAAAGCAGCGTTCTTAAGTAAAAATAATTCAAAACAGACTTTTAAGTATTAATTAAAGCAAATAGGACTCCATTTTCTTTGCAGACAACGAGGCTGTGCATGGCGTCCCATCTTCAAGACAGCTGTCACAGCCATCTGTCTCAAGTGATAGCCCATGTTCAACAACAAGATCGACATATCACCGAACTTGTGGATGAGGTCACAAAGATCCGCAAGATTCTAATGCAGCGAAGTGAGCAACAATCGGTCAACCATACAAACGGAACAGCTGATGACACGAACTCTGTCAACCATACAAACGGAACAGCCGATGACACTAACTCTGTCAACCATACAAACGGAACAGCTGATGACACTAATTCTAGGTAGTTCGTCGACAGTCGAGATTTGTGTCCGAAACCTGATAATGTCAATAGCGTCAAACTGTCAATAGCATCAGACTGTCAACAGCGTCCGATTGTTATAACTGTGGAACTTAATATTCAACATCAAGCTTCCAAGAGCGTCAGATTATAGATAAAACGGCCAGTTTTCAAAGGCGTCAGATTATAGATATAACGTCAAGCTTTCAATGGCATCAGATTAAAGATATAACGTCAAGCTTTCAAGGGTGTCATTATATATATAACGTCATTTCCATTATATATATAACGTCAAGCTTTCCAGGGAGTCAGATTATATATATAACGTCAAGCTTTCAAGGGTGTCAGATTATATATATAACGTCAAGCTTTCAAGGGTGTCAGATTATATATATAACGTCAAGCTTTCAAGGGTGTCAGATTATATATATAAAACGTCAAGCTTTCAAGGGTGTCGGATTATATATATAACGTCAAGCTTTCAAGGGTGTCAGATTATATATATAAAACGTCAAGCTTTCCAAGGTGTCAGATTATATATATAACGTCAAGCTTTCAAAGGTGTCAGATTATAGATATAACGTCAAGCTTTCCAGGGAGTCAGATTATATATATAACGTCAAGCTTTCCAAGGTGTCAGATTATAGATATAACATCAAGCTTTCAAAGGTGTCAGATTATATATATAACGTCAAGCTTTCAAGGGTGTCAGATTATATATAACGTCAAGCTTTCCAGGGTGTCAGATTATATATATAACATCAAGCTTTCAAAGGTGTCAGATTATATATATAACGTCAAGCTTTCAAGGGTGTCAGATTATATATATAACATCAAGCTTTCCAAGGTGTCAGATTATATATATAACGTCAAGCTTTCGGACTATACATACATGTGTGTCAGACAGCTAATAGCTTCAGGTTGTCAACTTTTCCAGCCAAAATACTTTAAAAGCTTATCAACGCTGATGATACCGTTGTTTATTACATTTTAGACCAAAACTACCAGTTACCTAAGATGTCATTACCGACAAGACTGTGAATAACAGACGGTGAATATCTTCAGAGTTTGAGAGTGTTTTATTTCTTACATTTATGTAAATAGTAAAACGTTAAGAACCCTTTTCAGATTGTCAGAACGTTTATCACTATCAAATTGTGCCAGAATTCCAATAACATTAAACCGTGTCGGCAATATCAGATTGTTGATGGAGGGGGAAGGAATATTTCATCTTATCTGGGTATGATTAATCTTAACACAAACACCAAAAATAGACATGGAAATTTATGTAAAACTCGTACGAGAGATTAGGGTTTTTTTGGTTTATCATCTGAAGTAAAGTGTTTTCAATGACACAACATATTCCCAAGTAGTCAGACACTTTAATTTGGCTTCTAAGCATTGTTTTAATGTTTACTCGAGATGTCGTTCCCAACATATAGATAGGGACCGCAATCCATTCTCTGGGCTATTGGCGACCTGTTTTTTCGGACTATGAACATGATTTATCTTACATTCCAAATCACCAGGTTATTTTTTTTATGCAATTATAGAGATAAATATTTATACAAAGGCATGGTTTGAAATACTGATTGTGTTTGTGTTTGGTCGTCCGTGGCTTTATTGTGAAATATATTTTAATATAAAGAGACCGAAATACATGAACATATTTTAGAATATTGCATTTAGTTTTGGTTGTTGTCCCCGATTGATAGTGTTTAATAAAGTTAATAATGTATGATTTCTGAGTGTTATTGTTCTTTTCAACGGAACTAAACTTTCTCTGAATGCTACCCTTACCGGGGAAAACCACTTCGTAACACTAATTAGGTGTATTAATTAATTCAGAGTTTGACTTATAGACCGGTATCCTTCTCTACTGTTCCTCATTTGAACTGGAAACTCAATATCGTCGTGTTGAAATATTGACTTGCGTACACGGTAATACACGCTGGGAATATACTCGATCACTTAAGGAATTGTGTACCTAATGTCGCCCATTTCATTATAATGCTTAAGTCAAATCCATGAAAAATTCTGCGTTAAACATTTTGGGCATGTGGTCGACCTTTTCTCTGGTGCAACAATGTGAAGTCATAGTAGAGATGTAGAATACCAGGGTCATATTTCTAATAAACATCAGAACGAGTGATATTAAAATACTGTACTACATCGTTCGTACAAAATGTCAGTGATCCGACCTGTAATAATAGTCGTAACATCTGGTTTTGGAGGAGCGTAACCTCCCCCATTGTGCGCTACTCTTCGTTAGCGTGTAAAGAGGAGATACTCAAAGTTGGTAAGTTTAGTTGGATATCAGAAATTGCATTTAATCTCGCTCATGAGAATATCAATTCCGGATAATGACGCCCCTTTCTGACTATGGTTTTAAAACAAGAATGCCATTGTGTACTTCCGGAATCAAGCAGTCGAATCAAGTGTGGTAAGAGCATGTGGACTGGATACGGCGGCCGAGGCATCACGTGATTAACTAGCTATAATACAGCCAGCTTGTAAACCTGTGTGACACAGCTTTCCTGCCTAGGGAGATAAACGAATCATATGAGTATGAGGTCAGTAGACTAGACGCTGTCACCGTGACACGTAATCATCAAGTCGCTTGTTGTGATGTATCAAGGAAAGCACATCATTAATCAGACTGGGAAGGTCGTTTGACAAACGGTTAGGCTTCACAACATCTTCCAGCACATAACATCACCATGGAATTGACATCTGTGTTACAATCTGGTGATCTTGCAACATATTTGGTGGCCTGTCTCGCCTGCTGTTTTATTTATGCTTATTATTTCCGTAACAGACTTGATATACCCGGACCATTTGCATTGCCGTTCCTTGGCAATTTCTTTACCTTAGTTCTTCAAAGGAATCGAAACGTGCTGTACAGACTTCAGAAGATATATGGAAACATTTTCAGAGTGTACTTTGGACGGCGTTTGGTCGTTGTTATTTGTGGTAAAGACCTTATCAACGATGCTTTCATCAAGCAGGCTGATTCATTCAGTGACCGTCCAAACGGAATGTCGGGGATTAAGAAAAAGATGGAACCAGGATTAATTTGGTCAAATGGACATACTTGGAAGGTACTCCGCCGATTCACGGTACAGTCAATGCGAGATTTTGGACTTGGAAAAAAAATTCTAGAAGAAAGAATTTTAGAAGAATGTAATGTTGTTCTGAGAGAAATGGCAAATACGGAATCACAACCATTCAGTATAAGGGATCTGTACAGAAACGCTGTATCAAACGTCACACACACCATTATATTTGGGAAAAGATGTGATTACAATGACCCAGAGTTTCGTGACGTTATCGACAGCATTAGTTTGATATTCAACATGTCACTTGGAGGCCTTTCGCCCACAACTATTTGGCCATTTTTGAAACTGTTCATTAAGGACGAAGCAGTCACAAGATGGAGGTGTTTAACCAACATAACCAATTACATAGAAGCGCAAGTGAAAGAACACGAGTCATCATTTGACGAAGAAAACATCCGTGATTTCATCGACGCCTATCTTCAGGCGAAGAAAAATGATAAGGATACAGACATCATCACACCAAAACAACTGTTCCGAGTTATTCTGAATCTGTTTAACGCCGGAACAGACACTACGGCAGCTTCATTGGACTGGTCAGCACTATACATGATCAGCTACCCGGATGTACAAGAGAAATGTCAACGAGAGATTGATGAAATAGTTGGTCACGGACGTAAGGTACAAATGTCGGACAAATCTCAACTGCCTTATGTAGAAGCGACTTTACTTGAAATTCAGCGTCTAGCAAATGTGGCCATTGCGAGTCTTCCGCATGTAGCGACGCGTGACTCCATTGTTGGAGGTTATCGTATTCCCGAGGGGGCTATTGTTTTAGCACATCTTCAGCTCACACATGAAGATTCTAGTTGCTGGGATGATCCGCTGGCGTTTAAACCAGACCGTTTTTTAGATTCGGACGGCAAGATAAGGAAGTATGATGCATTCATGCCGTTTTCTATTGGACCACGTGCCTGTCCCGGTGATTCCCTCGCTAAAAAAGTGATGTTTTTGATGTTTTGTAACACACTTCAGAGGTTCAATTTGATAAAGAGGGAAGAAGATGATGTTTTGTCACACGAAGGAGATGTCGGGATAACTAGATCACCGAAGCCTTATCAATTAAAGCTTTTCCCTCGGAAGTAAAAAACTTCATGGTTAAATTCTTAAGAATTCCTGTTGATCTTAAGGAGGGTCGAAATACTGTGTGAAGGCGCGAGCTTATCTTTGTACATTACTTATTCATTAATTCAACGTTTATGAACCTCCCGATTAATACATAATATTCTGTTGGAAATAAATTTCTTTCAAAGATCTTGCCTTTGTTATTCTAGTTTATCTGTCGGTGTAAATACAGTACTATCTACTGACTATTCTGTAAAGTGAGACAACTCTTAAGTATGGCATGCAAATTTTGAAATAGAAGATATATAGCGAAATATTTAGACCCGAGTTCATAACGCTTACTGTAGTTACCCCGCAATGAATACACATCGATGAGGACACGGCAAATAAAGAAAAAATGATACAAAAAAAACTGTATGAAAATAAATATGGCAAGGCCTGTAAACGACCTGAGACGTTTGTAGAAATAGGTCAAAGAATTAATTTGAACGTGAGAAGACATAATCACAATTCATTATCACCTCGTACGATGTACTGTATATGACCATAGAGTTTATAGGTAGCAATCCGGATATTATTAACAGGTTTGTTAGGACATTAGTATGTACCTGATTCCGGATTTGGCTCTGTAAAATAAGAAACCATGAACTGGACCGAAAAGCGTCGTCGTCACTAATTTCCCCTTTTATCTGCTGAAAAAAGTGCAATTCCTCGTGCTGAACTTCAAAAACTTAATCTCTCGTCGGGATGAAAAAAAAAATTCCCTCGGGTTTTCTCGCCACGATTTCCTAGTGAACGGAGATTTTGGAAGTAGACTAAGTTGCCTGTTTTATATACACAAATCTTATCAGAACAGTGGACATATACCCTGTCAGCTTATACCATTAAGTGATATCGACAATGTGTTGTCTTTGATAGATGTTTGTAACCAACGATACTACGCAATCCTTATTATCAACGTAAATAAATTTGTAACAAGTCACTCAAATCTTCAAGATTTAAGTGGTCGTTTTCAGTACCAAGTGGTCCTACATATTCCATACGCATCGATGTGGTGGCGATTGTCCGGAAGCGAGTGTAGGTTTTTTTCCGGAAACAAAGAGTGACGACTGTCGGGAAGTTTAGTTGTGGTTAAAAGTTCCCCGATTTGATAGATTTTCCGGACATGACAATTTGCCTTCTTGGAATTCCAATATCTGCTCGTCTCATCATATCATTGATATTAAAATATGACTTATAATTCTAGCTTTCTCTTCGATAATCGATCGTCGAGTCTGGTGGTTCTACGCAGTATTACACACTAAACGGTCGTCTTGGTAGGTGCTCGATTATGGAAGGGTTAGATATTGGCATCTGTGATACAAATCACCAGGTATGTCCACAATGGGATCAAAATAATGTCGCTGTCATAAAATCTTCATCAGTTTACATCTCCTGAAACGATTTCTCTGTCAGATGTCAAAATGTACAACTCTGCCATAGAAACAGTACACGAAAAAACCGTGGTACATACTTGTAGAGATATTTCTGAAGATCTCTACTCATTGTTGATTACTCGATAAACTTTGTATTAAAAATGTTAAGCATGTTAGCAGTTGTTTCGGTTGTATTATATTTGTAGAGATATTTCTCGGACTATTAAATGCTATGTAACCAACAGCCCGTGTCCATATTGGTATTATACCTTGGCTATTTAAGGTTATGTAACCAACAGCCCGTGACCATTCGTTCTGCATATGGCGTAGTAACACTCTAAATCGTGTGACATGACAAACGTTTTGATTCAATATTTCCTTGAAAAGGTTATAAGCTATTCTTGCTAATGTCAACGTTACGGAAGAATGACCTACAAGAATACTTTTGTAATATCACATTATCATGTACAACAACCATTGTATACATGTAAAATCAGAATTTTAATAAAACGGCATCCATGTTTGTGATATGCAATGTGATTAATATATATTCATATACATATATATTTATATTTAATCAAACGTTCTTGTCAACAACAAAAAGTTGTAATTAGGACAACTACATTTGGCAGTTGAAAACTTCACAAGCAAACACCATCATGATTATCATCTTTGTTTACAAAATGATACATATATGTATATACAAAAAATGAATGGTAGTCATATACTCGATAATGTCCAACACACACATACGCCTTAATGTCATACCCACTATCAACACAAGCGAGGCCACGTACCTGTCAAACACTTCCTTACATTAATATCTATATATTTTAACATATACACAAAATTTGTAAAATGAAATCGTTGAAGCGTAATACTAGTAGTGAATGTCCAAACTTTTATTTCTTTCACCCCACGACAGAAGACGGGGAAAGAAAACAACACCCCTTGTTATACAGGCTGTATGTGAGTGTACTATATATATCATTCTGTTGTATAACTGGAGATCAGCCGGGAAGAGGAGGTGGAGTATACCATCACTACATCGCGTTACCTAGCGTTTAAGCAGCATCGGTATTCGACACAGTTAACAACTGACGAAATTCCAAGAAACATACCTGTCAACAAATGGCATAATCAGAGGGTTAAATGGTATCTTGGACTGTCATCGCCTTCAGAAATAAACAACCGGAAGTTTACAAATAAAACTACCACCTACTTAAAGGAAACCACGTCATTTTACACAATCTTTTACCAGATCTCAATTTAAGTATAGACTCTATGTAGACGACACAGAGTCACAAAACGCTTATTGACTGATTAGTTGCGTCCTTTAAATAAACTCCGAACGGTTGTCTGGCAATCTAGAGGTAAGTACTGCGCTGGTACCATGCTTGTTTCTGTAACATAAAGGTAACATTTATCTGTATACAAATGTATTTATCCACCAGATAAAAAGTACTTTGTACAGCACTGTCCCTAGCTGTCTAGTAACAATAAGGAGAGAGTGATTATACTGGTGATATCAAATCATGTTGCTCTCCATGGACATTCAGTCGATAAATCTGGCTCCAAAAACAACAATATTGTCTGACAATGTTAATTAAAAAAAACTGCATGCTTTCGTAAGAAAAAGGGCGTTGTATAATTCCATCAGATAAAAATAGGACATTATATCTATTTTTGTTTCCGTCAGTAAACAACAGGACATATTTATTTGTGTTGCTGTCAATAAAATATGACACTGCTTCTAAGGTTACATGTGATATTTTGATAATTTGGACTTTGTAGATATCAATTAAAGAGTAAATGTTTTTTTGTTTCAATCATGTAACCACCTGTAAAACATACGCCCAGCTGTCTCCAGCTGCTGCAACCTTGAGAACAATACATATGCTGTGATGCATCACAGACAGATTGCTGACTTTGTTAACTATGTATTCCTCCTATGTGTCAGGAAGTCGATATTCCAACGGACCTCTAACAGACGTGATTATCACAGTGTGAATTATATGGTGTTGGTAATTAAGAAGGCTGGCTATCTAATTCGTCTAGTGCTTTAAACATAGTTGGTTTTCGTGTTATAAAAAGATGTAGTCAGATGTAATATTAGATCACTGGTATAAAGTAACATCCACATTGACTTGAAAATCATTTTAACAATGAAATGAAAACTAATTGATTTTTACTTTTATGTGTTTTTCTTGATATTTTAAACTCTTGTGAGCGTTTTAAGTTCTAGAGGAGCATAAAAAAAGCAATATTCGTACAACACCTGTAACTATGTCGTTCAAACTCGTACTACTTCAACACATTTACCAAAACTTTGTGTATTAAAAATATACCACGCATGAACTCTGACCTCACACACCTGTACTCTAGCTATGCATGACCATGACCCCTCACTTCCATGTTAACTAATCGTGCATGAACTCTGACCTCACATACATGTATTTGTAATGTATCTAGTGATAAAGTATGCCACAGTTTGTACTAAAAACATCATTGTTGTGTTCGTTATGATGCAGGTATCGCACAAACATTGTCTATGTACAAAAATTTTAAGATTCGTTTCAATAAAAAGTCATGGTGATGTGGCTACAAACAGATGCTAATATAAGTATAAACACGTCCTTCACCTCACGGTTAAGTGACAACGTGTCACGAAATGGAAAAATGTCTAAAAATATCCAGAATGATAAAATCTGAAATATACATACGTTAATCACGTGGAAATCACTCCATTGTACAGCATGGAAGCTTGCATGTGTTGGATATTGGTCCGTCCGTTTGATCATATTCAGGGTAAGGGGTTAGTACATATTCTATAACTGTTTTACAGGCTAGGAATAGTGTGTCAATTTTATAGTATATACAATAAAGTTTGGGGACTGTTAGATATGTCTCATTACCTTTAGTCAACGTTGAGTATTCTGAAAACAGACCAGCAGGTGGCTAGACAAAAAGCGGGTCTAGTAATGAATAACTCGTTGTTTTCTAAAAGTTTTAATATAACCCAAAGACAGAACCAGGACCGCTGAGAACCACCACAAACCGACTGATTGTAGCCTTCCAGTGAGAGTGATGGAGACAAGTTAGAGAGAGAGAGAGAGCAGTGACATTACATAAGTCAAAAAGCAGTGTTATATAATGAATAGGTCGACATTGAATGAGATTAGAAAGACAAAACAAAAGTTTTAAAAGAAACCCTGAGAAGGATACACAATGTACCCATTATTTCTACATGTTAAAATTGTAGGAAAATTCAACAGACCACGTGACGAAACTCTCGTCATATGTTATAACTATTGATTGGAATCAATTACTTCCATCCGGCTCTGAATACGATAGAGTGGTACATGGTGTATTCAAGTGTAATGTCGAATGTTTCCTGAATAAGTTTTAACGTGACACCGACGGTAAACATTATCACCATGTTATATCTAATTTCATTCCAATATTTATATCGACCAGGTCAGAAATTAGGATGTATGACTGAACAACATGTATACAGATGTACAACATACCATCATAGTAATATATCAATTAAAACATCATGTTTAACGTGTTAGTGATGGATAGAAAGTGAGGAAATCAATTGAAAAGAAATCATAATTTATGAAATTATTCATGATTTGGATGTCACGTGAGGGATTTGTTTTCCCTAAATACATTAACTCGTTTCTTGTCTATTTTAGGAGACATCTATAAACTTATCACGTGACAGCATATAGCTGCTAGGATAACAAAACAAGATGATTTTAAGTATACG